AAGCAAGCTATTTTTATTCCTACTTTCGATACTATCACTTCTGAACAATTAGCTGAGCTTTTCATTATTCATGTCTTCTCCAAGCATGGTGTTCCTAATCATGTTACTTCTGATTGTGGTTCCGAATTTGTTTCAGTGTTTTTCCGGGCTCTTGGTAAAGCGCTCTCCATGGAACTTCACTATACCTCTGGATATCATCTGGAAGCCAATGGGCAGACCGAGCGTGTCAATCAGACTCTTGAACAGTACATCAGGATCTACTGCTCTTACCAGCAAGATGACTGGTCGCATTTACTTCCAATCGCCGAGTTCGCCTACAACAATGCTCCCAATGCTTCCACTGGTATTACTCCATTCTTTGCTAACAAAGGATACCACCCTAACATCACTGTTTGGCCCAAGGTCGACATGAAGTCTGATCTAGCCAGAGACTTCGTCGTTAACCTCGATGAACTCCACATCTTCCTTCGAGAGGAAATTCTTTTAGCTCAATCTCATTACAAGGAACAAGCTGACAGGAAAAGAATCTCACACCCGGAGTTCCCAATCAGCTCCGAAGTATTTGTTCTGGCTAAGCATATTCGATCTACTCGTTGATACAACCCAAAATAATCTGAACTTGAAATGTCAGAACTTCGGCAGCTCATGCAGAGGTTCAGTGGTATATCTACAAGTCTACAGTACATTGTGGTTTGATACAGATTGCACAGATGTTCACTGAAGATGATTCAAATAAGATTCTCGGCAGTATAACACAATTGTACTCACTCAGACCACTAAAACCCATTCTTTATGTTGAGTGTACATTGCTTAAAGCATATTACATGTATATCAAAGACTAATTGTACCAAGCAAGTAAGACAGAAGTAGAGACTAGTTAGTAATTATGGGCTGACATACTGCATATGCTCGGATTTCCAGAGCAATAGCTAAAGCAGCTCAAAAGCATAATAGACTCGGAATGTATGACAGATATCTGATGCAACCAGGCACAGTGGCACAATAGCTAAAGAAACTCAACCACATATTTATTATGATTGGTACCTGATGTTCGTGTGAGTCTCGGAGTTTATCCGGAAGTCAGATGGTTCAATAAAATATGCACATGGTTACCTCGGAACAAGATATTCCGAGCCATGTGCAGCATAATAAAACCCTAGACCCTGGGCTAGCTCTAGGCCCCCAGAATCGCATATATACCAGTAAAAACCTCGAGACAGAGGAAGCTTGCTCCACCCCCACTTCTGTAGAGATTGCTAGTCCTACAACTTGAAGGGAGTTTAGTTTCAGCATAGAAAGAACACACTTGATTAGACAGAAAGAATTGTATAACTCAGAAAGATTGTACTATTTGACTTAAAGAAAGAAAGTAAAGTTATTCAGTACAAGCAAGTAAAGTTATTCAGTTCAGAAGTTACAAAGTTATCTTTGAATATCAAGCCCAAGTTTTATGGAACTTGTGAAAGAAAATCTATTACACTTGTTATAACCAACTTAAAAGCATTTTGTACATTGAATATAATAAATCTTTCTGTGCACCCCTCCGAACTTGTGTTTGACTTAGTTTTGTGTGTGTTGGTGTTGGTGTTTGTGTGAGATTTGTTCTTGCATTTGCATTTTGCACTTAGCCTAAAGTCAGCATATCATCGTCCTACTGAAAAATTCTCTGAAGAATATCTTGGTCCTTTCAAGGTCATCAGTCGACCTGGTACTTTGTCTTACGAGCTCAAGCTCCCAGAATATCTTTGCCGGATTCACCTGGTTTTCCACGTCTCACAGCTGGAGCCAGTTACACCAAACCCATTTCCGAATCGAACTCAATCTCCTCCACCTCCAATTGAAGTTGATGGTGAAGAGGAGTACAATGTTGCCAAAATCCTAGACTCCAAGCTGGATGGAAGGTATAAGTGTTGTCCTCTACGTTATTACATTTGGTGGGCCAGTTACAAAGGTACCCACGATGAATTCTCTTGGGTTGCTGCTGATGAATTACATGCTGATGAGCTGGTACTTGCATTCCATGCTCGAGGCGCTTGCGGGTTGGGTTTGCTCCTCCCTCTTGTTTCACCGTCGAAGGCCGTCTGAAGTACGAGCATCGTACCTTTGCGTTGTGACAGGGCTTACAAATAATTGAACTCCTCTTGCCAGCCTGCATCTGGCAAGAGATCTTCTTGCTCCTGCATTGTTCGCAGGAAGCTTGTTCATCTTCATCGTTGTCATCATCTTCCCCGTCGCTGCTGTCATCGGGATCCCCGCCAACAGGCTATGAACAGAAATGTCAGTAAGGGAAGGGGACCAAGAATTTTCGGGACTCACCTGGGCCTTGGCCTTGCCTTTCCCCTTCTCCTTCCTAATCTCCACCACCGGCCGCCGTGGTGACACCAAACTCTCTCCTGGCAAAGAGCCCTGTCGACTACGAGCAGTGGCCGCCTCCGCCAGTTTCCTCCTCTGTTCCTCCAACTCCCGCGCTGCCACCTCCTTCTGCTTCTGCGCCTCCTCTGCTGCCTCCTCCTCAGCCTTCTTCTTCTTCTTCGCCGCAGCCGCCGCTTTCCTTGCCTTCATCCTGCGGACCTTTTCCTCTGCCCGCTGGATGATCTCATCTTCGTCTCCCTCCAAATCTTCCTCGTCTTCTTTGACAGGTTCGGCGGGAGGTGGTAATACTGGGCGGGACCTCAAAGGTCTGACGGTAGAAGAAGAAGTGGCAGTGGTAGTTTGAGTACAACTGGCAGACATTGTTGGACTTAGAAGTTTTGGAAACTTAGGCCCATAACGGCAAAACTCTGGCCATTTTATACCAACAAAATGGTGCATGGACCAACGAAAATTTTCCTTCAAATTATACTTGGCTTACAGTGGACCAACGGAATTTTCCTGCTGACTAAAGGGATAAATGCCAATGCTGACAGGTTTCAAAATTTTTCTCTGGTGACTAATAGTAATTCCTGATGCTAATGGCTTTCGAGGGCTCAAGCCTAAGAGGAGGATACTGTCAAGCCCATGCCTCGGTGCCCCATTCTGCTGCTCGGTATTCCGAGATTGACCGTTTATTGTAATCTCTTCCTTATTGTTCTTTCTCGCTACACATACCCTTTCATTCTAGTCTCTCCTTATTGTCTTTTACTCTACCCTGCAGGCACTTAGTAGTTAGTCTGGCACTCTGCACCGATCCGTAGATATAAATACTGCCTGTACGCTACTGTAGTTCGTCAGTTTAATTATCAACTTAGTTCTCCTCTTAGTCTTCAGGCTCATTGCCTCGAAGTACTCTCTACACTAACCTTAGGACTTATAAGTTCTTTGGTTCACTCCTCGTCACTGGTGACACGCCTAAATTTTGGCTAGACGTCTATGCTGTGAATTGTGACATTTTCACGCATAGATTTGTATCGAGAGGACTGTAATTGAGACCCAGATTGACAGTCAAAGTCAATACTGAATCAGTCTAATAAGTTGAAGGGACCATATACCCATACTACCACAAGTTGGTTAGTTTACCCATCCCCGATACTACCTTCGGATAGCAGTCTACCTGTTTGTCAAGCAGGATTATACCAGACTCGGACTACATCCGAAGGATGACCATTCACGTATGACATACCAAGGGTATCCTTATTGGACCTTACACTGGCAGGAGTTTGGAAGAACTTACTCAAGTGACCATGAGCCGAGGATTGACTCAAAATGACTTTCTAGAACTCAGGAATTATCAAATACTCCTTCTAGAACGAGATCATGCATTAATCTAAAAGACTGCAATTTGGTCTAATAGACCAATCAGGTTGTATGGTTGAGGAAAATGACTAGAAGAACGATTGAAGTACTGCGAGGCTCCGAAGACATATCAAATGAATGTCAAAGAGTCCTGACGTAGAAAATATTGAAGAATGCAATTAAATGAATACTATGTGTAACTCCCTTGATAAGAGTATAAACACAATGGGTGTCTATTGAAAGAGAGAAGCAATTAGTTTAATCCAGATGAATCAGATTGATAGGATTAGAATCGAGGAGAGCTGATTTGCCTCCGGACGAGGTGACAGACGATCAAAGTAAGTGTTGAACAGCGATGACAGTTGAACACTATTTGAGTCATTCTCTAAAAACAATTAAATTAAATAAATATTGAAGTACCTACCTATGTTTGGAGGTATACTAGAATCTTGGAACCAATATGGACCAAATAAGGACCTGTAGATTCAAATTAAATGGTATCTGACCGATTGTAGAAGTTTCCTTGCGGTTCCGAACGTTTATTGTATTAAATTAATTGTACTGTGCGATTCTATATTCTGTATGTATAAATAGCGATCCGATGTATCTGGAATACAAGTGATTTTGGGATGACATTGCAGTGCTAATCCGTAAAAAGGAAAGACACACTCCTGCCAGACTGAAACCTCTTCGCTAGCAGCCATTCGGGCCCGGCACTTGTGAGTATAGGAACATCGTGTTCTGCTCCTTGTGACTGTGAGAAGTATATCCAGTTGTTGGATATTCTTCGAACTTAGGATCAGTCGTTGGTCTTAAGGGCAAATCACACTGTGTAGTTGTGCCAGCACATAGTTCTAGCCCTCTGTAGGGGTCTGTGTGTTTCGGTTTTAATTTACTTTGATTCAAATCCCCGATTCTTGATATACCCATATCAATACAATCAAAGCACAAATTGTGCTGAATCTACCTTGATCAAAGGAATATATTGAATCTTTAGAACGATTCAAATTGATTGATTAAAGCTTCTTACTTAGCTCTCAAAGCTTTGCGGAACCTTTGCCAACGCTACCCCTTGCTATTAAATAAATTTGATAGCAGTGAACTTGCATATTGTGTTTTAGATTGGTTGGTTGGAGTGCCCATTAGATTCCTTCCTTTCTCTTTCACACAAAAACGAGGCAAGCTTGTTAGCAAACAGTAGGGCGATCCACCTTTGAGCTTTTACCGAACCTTTGAGGGATAAAAACATGCTAATCAGATGATGAAAGTATTGTTGAACATATTTATACTCACTGCTCTTCAAATCTATCATACCAACCATTATTCTTCCAGTCATGATACTTTTTAACAGTGAGCAAACCAATAGATTTCCCGCCTCGCTTAGCCAGAGTAAGCCGTTGCTTGTGCCATTCATCTGACTCAGGAATCATGGACTGAAGGTCAGCATCTCCGCCACCACCAGTGAATTCCTCATACTCCCTAATGTATGAGTACATTGAAATGCTTGCAGTCACCTTGTTGGCAACTGAGCTGATCGTAAACCTTTCAGCAACCAAAGGATTGGCCTCAAGATACTGTTCGCAGGTGGGCTTTAGGAACGACAATACAAAAAACCAGTGACAGTACCTTCTTATACACATGATCCTTATTCTTCAACCATTTCGTATGGATATCATCACTGTCTGAACTGAATAGATGTGTGAACAAGGAGGTTTGTTCAGCAGTAGTCCATCGTACGCTGGTGAACACATCGTCATTTGGTGGATCAGTCAGAATCACTGCTTTTGCTTTCAGTGTTTTGGTACCTACAGTAGTCGAAGTTTTGGAATGGGTGGCAGCCCCACGTCCACGGCCTCCACCACGTTTTGGAAGTGGCTTTTGAGGTGATTCAGAGGCTGGACGTTTATTAGAAGTGATGGGAGGAGGAGGAGTGGTTTGGCGGGAAGAAATCCGAAAACGTCCTTGAAGAGAGGCTTGTGCGGCAACATTGCCATCAGAATCCTGAGCTTGAGTCTCTACATGCTCGATTGCCTGAAAGAGAGCATCCTGTTCAAGTAATGTTAACAGCACTCATTGCATTAACAATTCAAACACGCACGAAGCCACCATTATTCATATTCAAAAAGTCTTTCTGATGAACACATCGCTCAATTGATTCGCTCTGACCAGCAAGAGAACAAAGATATGTTGCACTAATTCTTTCTTAGATATAAAAGAGTAAAGGCGAGAGTGAACAAGAGTCAAGGTCATTCAAGGCTTCGAGCACAATGTCTTGAAGAATAATTTCTATATTTAGTAATTTATTACAAATTCCAGAAAGCCGTGAAACTGTATTTTTTACAGTCGATCCGGAAAATAATGGGAATGTCTGAAGTTTTTTTGACATGTGAATTATGTAGATGGTGACGTGTGTCACTCATTTTATCCAAATTAGGAATAATATTTCACCACCCCCATGAATTGCTCAGTATCTGCTGAGCCCGCAATCTCCTCCAATGAACTTAGTATTTATCTAAGAGCTCTTTGAGCTAGACACTGATCCTCTTGCAAATGATACAGAAGATGATTCGAACATAGAACACCTGGCTGGTGCAGGCAGGATAACTTCAGATTTGATCAAGGATGTTCATGCAGGACCCCGGAAGCTCCTACCAGACCCCATCTGAATTAGCGTACTTTAGGACCCAATTTTGCCATTTTCCTTGGCCGAAATTAGCGTACTTTAGGCCTCAGAAGGCTCAATCCCTGTCCGAGATAGCGTACTTTGGGTATCTATTGGCTAGACTCGAACCAGTCTGCTGCTGAGAAGCGATATGCGGAATCACTTTCTCAGCAGAGAGACTGGAACTTAATCTGGCACTTTTGGCAGGTCGGGTTTTTATCACGTGCTTCTTTGTACTTCATCTTATTCCACAATATACTGTGTCCCCAAACCCACTGTACGACCTTCGGATTACGATAGAAATCTTCGCCGCTATATCACGAATAACGAGTTATATTTAATTTTCCCCAATTCGCGTTACTTCGACCGCTAGCGACTGATCAATCACTTGCGACGCCCATATCCACCAACCATTTCCTTCGATTCCATGCCCCCGGAATACCCTCAAGTACTTGACGAAGCGCGGCTGAGGAGGGCAGAGAATCTGCTATGTGATATTTTCGGTGTTCAGTCACTGAGGAAGCACCAGAAGCTTGCTGGAAATAACATCTTGCGAGGCAAGACTACAGTCTATGATGTTCCCACTGGTGGAGGCAAGACCCTTGCATTCTGGTATCCTCTATTCTACGATTGGGATGATAGAGATATGATCTCAACATCTCAGAATGTTGTCCTGGTCGTGAGCCCTCTCAATGCACTCATGAACTCACAGGCAGAGGCCTTACAGGAGAAAGGCATACCAGCTCTTGCTGTGAACTCGGAAGGAAGTAAAATTGAGGATATTTTCGAGGTGTGTACTCATTCATTGCAGTACATCATCTGTTACTAACTACTGTCATGCTAGATAGACGATAATACCCACCGCTATCATTTGAAGCATCGTGTATTATTTGTCTCGCCGGAGACTGCCCTGTCGACTCAGTTTCATGAGAAGGTCTTGAAAATCAAGTCGTTTCGTGTCAACTGCATGGAACTTGTGATTGACGAGTCACACAGTGCCAGTGAATGGGGTGAAGATTTCAGACCAGAGTATGCTGAACTGGGAAAACTTCTCGCGCGACTGCCGAGTGGACTTCCGGTTCTTCTCGCCTCTGCTACGATGCCCGAGAATGTGATACACGATGTATTATTCAAGGTCGGCCTTCCCCAGGACTCTGCACGTGTTGCCGTCTCAAATGCAAAACATAATGTTGCACTTTCGGTCCGTATCCTCCAACATCCCTCGAACACATATGCTGACCTTCTTGCACTGTTCCCAACCGAGAAAAATGGTGGATTCCGCCAGACACTTATCTATGTCAATAGTCAAAGTGAAGCTGAAGAAATACAAGATTTCCTACGTCGTAACTGCCCGGAGCACATTTCAACTGATGCTATCGAGTTCTATCATCGTAATTTGACTGATAAACGAAAACGCAACATCCAGGAGGGTCTGCGAACGGGACGTCTTTGTTGTGTTATTGCGACGGACGCTCTGGGAATGGTATGTCATTTCTGTCATTGATAAGCTACCACTGAAACTCAAAATTACATAGGGCATGGACTTCCCGGGTATTCAGCGTGTTGTTCTATGGCATGAACCACTCTCTTTTCTATCTCTCATTCAGAAAATTGGCCGATGTGTCCGCCGGCTCACTGACGTTGGTGAAGCACTAATATTCATCACAAAGGCATCGTATGCGAGACATCTCACCATATTGGAAACCGAACGTGAACATGAGGATGAGGAAGACTCAGCCGATGAAGCACCAGTTGATCGTATTGCCATCATCGACCAAGAGGATTCCACTGAGACTGAGAAAGTGTGGCGAGGAAAGAAGAACAACCCAAAGTCTGCACTTGAAGCTCGTGACCGCAAGTATCTTTCACTCTTTATTGCAACAGCAGCATGCCGGCGCATTCCGTGGGATGACTTCTTTGGCAACAATGCAAAAAGTATGTTCTCAATTGTGATTCTGCTTATTTCTAACACTCTCTAGTGCCTTTCTTTGTCCGACCTGGGAACGCGCGCTGTTGCGACAACTGCCAGCCTGAGGATTTCCCCGTTGAAACCTGTAAGACCTGGGTCAAAATAGGTCTTAGGGTAGGTTTTGGTATGTGGAGGTTTATGTTGTAACGTGCTAGGAGCAGGCTGGAGCTCAAAGGGAGCTACGAGAACCGCGACCGAGGACGGGAATGACCTAGTAGTGGCTGGAACGACGGGATGGTGACCCTTGAGGGGTTCCTAGGAGGTCCAGGGAGGTCCCTAAGGCGTAGGGAGGTTAAGGAAGAGTGCGGGACCGTACGATATTGCGTAGTAGGAGTTGTACTCGCTAGAACGTCAATATAGAATTGAGTAGGTTGTATGCGTAGATGGGTCTCGAGGGTGTAAGCTCCCGAGAAGGGAGGTGCCAGGGAGGGTAGGTCCCTGGGGGCTAGGCTTGAGGATGGACGTCCTCGAGTGTGGGAGGTGGTAACGGAGAAGCAGTACGTAGTTCGACGTGAGGGGTAGCTTCAACGTTACCTAGATCGAGGTCCTGAAGCCTATAGAATAGCTAGGGAGCTCGAGGAGGTTTGGGGAGGTTAGCTCACCAAGGCGGTAGGCGTTGGGGAGGTTAGCTCACCAAGGCGGTAGGCGTTGGGGAGCTCGGGAACTCACTCGGATTGCTTAGACGTGAAGTAAAAGCGTGTATTGGATCATATAGACAATCACAGAGACGATAGACAAGAGTTGAGAGAAACAGAGGTAGTGAAACAGAGAGTAAAGAGAAATCCATATGGTTAGCAGGTACAAAGGGACAGGGACTGGACCTATGCAAAAGGGTGTGTGTTCAAAATATACCAAGCTGGGGCTTGGGGACGTTGCGGAGCTACTTAAATAGGTACGGGAAGTGAACAAGGGAACATCAGAACCTAGGAAGCATGAGGCAGATAATCGAGAGAGAGTCAGGCGATCGAGATTGGTACTTAATGGGGCTGGTGTCGGAGGGCTTCATACGCGTGTCGGAATGGTTGTCCGGACGTTTTCAGGGGGTGGTGGTACTGTCTTGGGGAGGTGCGTACTGCCTCAGGGATGTCCTGGGGAGGTGCAAGGAGAGTTGGGAATGTGAGAACGTGTGGGCTGATGCTGGGGCTGGTCTGGTTATGGTCAGGGCATGACAAAACCATTCAAATATCATATCCCTATCCAACTCGTGCTCCTCGTACAACACGACCTTCTGAGGAACTTGCTGCTGAAGTAACTGCTGCATTGCGCCGCTGGCGTTCTGAAGCAGTTCGTGTCTACTATCCTGACCAAGTCTTGATTTTAGCTCGCTATCTTCTGTCATGCCCTGACCATAACCAGACCAGCACCAGCATCAGCCCACACGTTCTCACATTCCCGACTCTCCTCCCACCTCCCCAGGACGTCCCTGAGGCAGTACGCACCTCCCCAAGACAGTAACCTGAAAACGTCCGGACAACCATTCCGACACGCGTACGAAGCCCTCCGACACCAGCCCCATTAAGTACCAATCTCGATCGCCTGTCTCTCTCGATTATCTGCCTCATGCCCCCTAGGTTCTGATGTTCCCTTGTTCACTTCCCGTACCTATTTAAGTAGCTCCGCAACGTCCCCAAGCGCCAGCTTGGTATATTTTGAACACACACCCTTTTGCATAGGTCCAGTCCCTGTCCCTTTGTACCTGCTAACCATACGGATTTCTCTTTACTCTCTGTTTCTCTACCTCTGTTTCTCTCTACTTCTGTCTATTGTCTCTCTGATCGTCTATACGATCGAATATACGCTTTCACTTCAAGTCTAAGCCTTCCGAGTGAGTCTCCGAGCTCCCCCGAACATTACTAAAGCTCCCCAACGCCTACCCGCTTGGTGAGCTACCCTTCCCCAAACCTCCCAGAGCTCCCTAGCTACTTCGTAAGCTTCGGGACCTCGATCTAGGTAACGTCGAAGCTACCCCTCACGTCGAACTACGTATTGCTTCTCCGTTACCACCTCCCACACTCGAGGACGACCATCCTCAAACCTAGTCCCCAGGGACCTACCCTCCCTGGCATATCCCTTCTCAGGAGCTTACACCCTCGAGACCCCGTTGCATAAACTACCTACTCGACTCTATATTGACGTTCTAGCGAGTACAACTCCTACTACGCAATATCTTACGGTCCTGCACTCGTCCTGAACCTCCCTACGCATTAGGGACCTCCCTGGACCTCCTAGGAACCCCTCAAGGGTCACCATCTCGTCGTTCCAACCACTACTAGGTCATTCCCGTCCTCGGTCGCGGTTCTCGTAGCTCCCTTCGAGCTCCAGCCTGCTCCTAGCACGCTACAACATAAACCTCCACATACCAAAACCTACCCTAAGACCTATTTTGACCCAGGTCTTACATCTTCTTGATGACGAGGTCATAGAAAAGATTGCCGCTCGACCACGAATAGTAACGGCAGTTGACATCTTCCAATATATCATTCCATGGAGGCTTGGTGTTGAGCGGTATAGTGTTGAGGTGGTGCAAATTGTCTCAGGTATCTGCTCGCTTCATCCTGACCCTGTGCAACTGGCTCGCAAGGAACGAAAGCATGAAGACTTGGTGAAGGCTGCCCACAAAGAGTACCGTGAAGCTCTTGAACAAGCTTTTCGAGAGTGTTATAATGCTGTTCATGATGTACGAACTGGTCGAACAGTCAAAAAGGGGCCTCGAAACAATCAACATTTTGAAGAAGAGCGCAAATGTCAGCCATTCTTGGCCCTTCCTCGGAGAACAGTAAGTATGTTTATACCTTACTGGATATGGGCTGACATTTCTGTACAGACTTGGCCTTTGTATTATGAGGTAATCAAGGATCCAATTTCGATGTCCCATATTCGAAACCTAATGCTTGCTGGTCCTTCGAAGGGTTATTCAACCTTGTCAGAATTTGTGGTTGCATGGCGGCTTCTATTCAGTAATGCACGGACATTTAATGAACCAAACTCACAAATATGTACGTATGCAAATGAGCTAGAGGGTGTGTTCAATGTGCAACTGGCAAGTACTATGGAACGGTACAATCTCTCGATTACAGAAACTAAAATAACTTTAGATATAGAATAAAGATACCACTCTTCTTCAATCAATGACATGGCACTGTCCAACAGTTCGTTAGCGAGTTCAATCGGCTCCTCGTCATCCATTGCAAGGTCTTCTGCGGTAGGGATGTAGTACTCCTCATTGTCTTCCGAATCTTCATTGGGATCCTGTGCCGAGTCTGCCCCTACTGTCTCACCTTGAACACCTAGATTCTTCAAAATAGCATCGCTGACCTGGTATTGTGCATATGCAGATTTTCTATTTGCATACTTCACTCCTTCGCCAATGAGATCACGAACAAGCTCGACTTCAGCATTTGCAGGACGGTCAAGAACATATTCTTGAATTTTCTCCTCTTTCAACTTCTCAGCAATCAGTTGAACTTCTTTCTCCATGTTAGGTGTTGTATGCTGAGTACCGTAAATTGGGATATCAAATGTCTTCTGCACTGTTCGAAGTGCTTCACGCAAGGAGTATATACAGACCGAAATCATCGTAAGCCATTCCCAGTTGCGATTAACTCCTTTTGCACCGTAAACCATCTGATTATGTTGTCAGTAAGCTCTTATACCCAATGTGACCTACGTACTTTGATCCAAAAATTAGTATGTTCTTGCAGAAGGTCAACCTCTTTGAATCCATTTGCACGACCAGTGAGATTCACAAGCCAATTGTGAAGAAACATTTTGCGGAGACGCTCAGGATATTGCTGTAAATGGCCAAGAGTTTCGAAAATCGCATTGGCATAACGAGGCATGGTTTTGGGTATCCGCATCATGAGCATCCAGATCCTAAGAACCAAAACTACCTGGCCAATATCACCTGCCTTTATTGACTTCACCAACAGCCAGTAACGGAGTGCATCACGGTTGTAGAGGATATTGTTCATTAAAACAGTGTCAGGTTGGTCCATTTCCCTTTGCTTCTCATATCCGGCAGAGCTGAATAAGTTGGCGTATACTTTCTTGGAAATTGCATTCAGATCATCTAATGTAGCTTGAGAGGCCCAGTGGTTGAAGTTGCTGTTGCTGCAATGGAGCCGAAACGCATCAAGAATATGCCCAGCAAGTGATATCTGTATGAGTTCATGTGTTGGTTTCCACGGCGCAGCTTTTTTCGACTGCCATCCAGCACTAATAGGTTTCCGTCGCAAGAGGTTGGTATGTTCCCACCACAAGCTTCCTGGCCATGGCGAATTTGGTTTTCCCCAATGCTCATTGATTACCATGCGAGCACCAGCCATTTTAGCATGGAACAGTCCAAACCGTCGGATTACTGCTCTAAGACTTTCGAGGATTTCTGTTTCAGCACTGTTGCGACGACCAGATTCAACCTGAAGATAAAGCGAATTAGTGGTATAGGTGAGATTTATTTTCCAATGAATTACCTTGTCAACTAATGAATCTGTTAAAAGGTCACCGTCTGTGAAGAAAAGCCCAAGTTTCTGGATGTCGTTATCACTAACACCAAGATCACGCAGAATTTTCAGGTACACCCGGATTGTGCCATCAAGACTTGATTCATCTTCATGCATAGCTGGGGCAGGGTACTGTTTGGTGACATGGAGAGCAATTTGCTCAACAGTAGGACAGGGGGAGAAGCAATCTTTGAGATGTGCAAGTTGGGGTTCATGCTCGAGTGCAAGTTGAGTGAGTTGCCATATTTCGCACAACTCCAGAGCTTTGATATCATCAGGAGATGGAAGGAGAAGTAAAGACTGGTTGCTGATTATTTGGTGTGTACTAGTCCGTGGTGGTTTCATATCGAAGGAAAGTGTTCCGTGCTTGGCAGGTAAGCCAGTATCGGGATCATGCTGAACAACTACTGTTACAGTTGTCCCACTGTCAAAATGGTCTTTTGATCCTAGACGCTGCGAGTCGATATGAAATGCGAAGTTCAAGTTGTCCCAAACTAGTGAGCACAAAAATGACTGGATAACCTCCTGCACAATTGCAATATTCTCCCGAGAAAGTTCTTTAACGTATTGGTTGATAGCAGAGGGGGAGACACTGAGTCCTGCCTGTGCAAGTACAGCAATTTCGCGCTTTCCAGCACCTGAGCCCAGGAGGAAGAAGCCCATTATGACCTGGAAATTATTGGCCTTCTGAGAACGGACTAGGCTGAGCATAGCACAGATGGCCGTGAAAACCTTCAAAGGAATATTTACATGTAAGTGAAATAGGGGGAAATATCAAGAACATACAAGTTCTTTTTCCCGTTTCGGCTGTCCTTCCCGTGAGGAAACACTGGTAAGAACCCCCCAAAGAGTTGGGGCAGCTTTCTCCAGGTCTTTACCAAGGTCTTGCATAGAGAAACTTTTCAGTAACTCAGTCATTGATGTGTGAGTTGGACGGGATAACAATTGCTGGATTGCCTGCCCTTCTTTTTGCAGCTGAGTACCAAATGTGGAGTTCAGAAGAAAGTTCTCAAACGCTGATGATGAACGTTCAAATACTCGGGAGGCAAAATCTGAACCTTGAGTATTGCACCAACGAGTTATGTTTGCCTTGATTTGCGCATTGTCACCAGTTCCTGTCATATGCATGCAATTCACCCCATATGCTTCCCGGCCCGGCCCGGAGCGGCCGGACTTCGGAATAATTACCTTGTGACTTATTTATTATTCCGAGCTTTCATCGAGGTCTTATGACTACTGTATTTGGGATGTATATAAGCTAGAATACTTTGTACGTTGTAGTCAAGCTTGAAATCAAGTGTACCATCTTATCCCAGTCTTTAATATCTTCTTTACCCTTTGCTTCTGGACTCCCGGATCATCAGGAACCCCATTTAGGCTGCTCATACCAATCTTGCACTCTTGCCATAATTCCCGGGAACACCAACAGTGTGTGAAGGGTGTTGCTAATAGCTTCACCGACGTCCCACTCCCAGTGTGTACTACAGGCCAATACTCAGTTCCGGACCTCGGAATTATCCCGGGCCATTCCCGGGCCAGATCCGGCCTCAGAACCTCTATAGCTATTGACCTGTAGGCACGGTCTTGTCAGTTCCAAACAACCGATCAGCAAAGTGCTTCATGCTGCGAAATCCAAGTCCTCCCTCTTCTTTTGGTTGGGTAATGGAGTTGAATAGGTGATGCGCTTTATTCACTTCCTCTCGTTCCAGCTGTTTGGTGTTCAGATCCTGAACAGCTTCTGTTGCTGCTCTCTTCATCCGAATTTCTGCTTGCTTATCTTCCCACTGTATGGGGGATGCACGGAGCTCAGAGTTGGCTAATGGATTATGATGTGAACGCCGTATACGAGGACGGCCATATAACTGAGCTGGACTGCTGAGTAGCACTGTCATAGGGGTCTGCAGTTGATTTCTACTTTTGGCATGAGTGGGAGTAACCGGAGGAACAATATATGGCTGGAGGTCGAGTGGGGATAGAGGCACATTATCCCCATCGTGGTCGAATCGTGGTGAGGCTGGAGCGCTGCTAACTGGTATTTCGAGAGGAGAGACATCTGAGTCTGAATTGATATCTTCCTGAGAGGAAGGTGCAACCAAATTGGGTGGTGGGGAAGGGATATTCCGTCTCAAACGCTTTCGGACTGAGCCAGAAGGCTTATAAGCAATATCCGAAAGCCGTCGCTTTCGAGAGGGGGGTGGCATGATAGTAGAAATGAAAGATCGAGCTCACACCCTTAATTTGAATATTTTTCAAAGATCACTTAATATCTCAGGAACAAGTGCAGTTACAGAAAATCGGTAACAAACTCGTTTATAAGAATGTTAATTCGCACTTTTCGCTCTATTTACATTTATTCTCGGTGGAGGTTCGGGACACACCTATTTTCGAAATTTTGTTGAAGTCAAAAGAAGCACGTGATAAAAACCCGACCTGCCAAAAGTGCCGGATTAAAAACCAGTCGCTTCGCTGACACCTTTGAGCGCCAGTTTCCAAAGTGTCAACATCCGAAGCTACTGGCTCGAGTCTATCTATTGGCTGACTTGGTGGCCCAATGGACATAGGTGGAGCTCTGGCACCGGAGTTTGGGCAAAGAAGCTCAGAAGAGCTCCGGATGCAGCGATAATAGTCAAAAAAACATACAGAAAGATGATTCCAGGCTTGGGGAAGAAAATTCGGTATTTTCAGAGCAATTTTTACGATTTCACGTGACATTCCTTATCCGAATTAGCGTACTTGAGGCCTGCTTGAGGCCAAAATCGTAGCGTACTTGAGGCCGCCTGGGCGGGTGGGGTTTGGCAGGAGCTTCCGGGGTCCTGTTCATGCCGAGCTTGGGTCAAATCAAGCATAATATTCCTAACTAGTTCCACTGTTGTGGACTGCACCTTGCTTGGGAAAGGATAAATTTCAGTTAAATTGATACTAGAACTGGTATGGCAGGAACTAGGGAATGATGCAGGATTTATGTATGCAAAAAGTGTAGGGTGGTCTAAGTATCATCTGAGTGTCTTTGTCAAGGTGTAGATTTTAGTTCGAGTATCAAGTGAAAAAAACAATGCACATAAGGTGCACTACAGGATATACACACTTCAAAAGCCTTGTGGAAATTTGTTTGATTAATCTGAGTATTGAGGAAAGAACTGGGAAAGAATGCGGCACACCTTATGTGCGCCACAAGGCAAAGCACAGAGCTCAACTTCCGGAGTGCAATAGACCTTGCAAGCAAGGTGATTTGGATAAAACGAGCGTCACGCGTCACCGTCTACATAATTCACACGTCGAAAAAACTTCAGGAATTCCCATTATTTTCCGGATCGACTGTAATTGAACACGCCTACTAGGTCTGGATAACGTCGGCCGTTTGCCGTTATTCAATTGCGACATTGTCGCTAGCAGTGGCCCCAGCAGCTCTGCTCGTAGCTTTACCAATCTCAACGCTATCGTGTGTTTCGACCTTGAATCCGCACTATTCAATACAATGGTGTTGATTGTACATGCCTCTTGGATGTGAGCTTTGGTTGTCTTTTTGCACAGTTCCTCCACTTCTTCCACTGTCTGCATTGCTGATCGTGGTGCGTGTAGTGTACAACAAAATTTATCAATTTCACACTCATGTAATCACGCCAGAGGGGGGGAGGGGGGCGTTGCATAACGGTTACTCGTACAACCTTCTACTGTGGCCGTGCGATACTCCATTTCGCGTTTAGACGAACAACCTCCGCCTGCCATGTGCTTCTCCTGTGCTGTGTGGTATCCTATCCCTCGGCCCTCCTTTTGACACCTTCACCGGATCTTGCAGCATGACTCGCGTACCTATCTTGCACCCTCTATCTGCAGTACGGTTACAATCGACGGGTATCCTGTAAAGCGACGCAACAATTTCCTTACCATCCTTTTTTTGGTTCCTCGTTAGGCTGTGGTACCTCTGCGATCGGGTTTTTTTTTCTAAATTTTCGTGTCTTTCAGCCCATCTGCTATGCAGTACTGCATTCATAAGTGTGCATCCAAATCGGACTTCCACTTTCAAACCCTGTCTTGCGCCCCCACCCGGCCCACCTGTTACATTCCACTCCATCGAAACAAGATGTGCGTCGTCATTGAACATTGTTCGCTGTTTCTCTAATTGTCATCTATATAGCATGAACGACGTTCAAATCCACCAGTATCATCAGCATCTGCAGTCTAACAACACTTATCTTGGTCGCCATGATGACTCGTTACCTGGTCCTGGCTTCTTCTTTTACAACGATTCGATGCACTATTGGTCTCACCCTATTCAACCAGGACAAGAGAAATCACAAAACTTCTTACCAAGTCAGATGTTGAACCGACCCGATACTTATGGTTCAATGAAGGAGGCCACCAGAATAATCTGCATGTGAAATTTGGTATTGCATGTTTTCGGGTTCGTACCTCTTCCTTCACCAATTCTTCTTTGTTGGAGTTCACGTTTTTGCAGCCCCGATCATACGCCGAACCCATCGACGGTGAGTAATAGCTCGATATATATACAATCGGTTACTCAATCTTGTACAGGTCGTCTTGCCGACTTAATCCCTGCCCAGTTCAAAACCAACACTCGTTGGATCGAAGCCGCGCCCACCATCTGCATGGCGGATATCAATGTCATAGATCACACTGGTGCTGCGGTCCCCGAAAACCTCCTTGCATCAACCCTTGGAGGTGCCACCGTGGACATCGCTTTTACACTGCGTGGTTGGAAGTTCGGTCGTGATGCGACCTGGGGTTTCGCTTTGGATGTTAAGCAAATCGTTGTACTCCGACCTGAACAAACAGAAATCGCACCTCCCTTCCCTTTCTATAATCCAATAACGCCACCAAGGTCTAACACTGCTTACTACCCCCCTATGCCAATGACACCTTCAAATACTGCCGGTACGCACACTGGCTTCTTCTATGCGTCTTTTCCTAACTACAATCACAGGGTCTTCAATTACACGCACAATGATGAGGTCGTCAAATGGTTATCCGGTGGTTCATGCACCTGTTCCCAGTAAGTTGCTTTCTTACTGTGTCATACACCCACTGACTGGTGTTGCACAGATTACATGGGACCTTACGCAAACTTTGCAAGCGGGGGTGGTGTCGGTTCCATTGGTAATGCTGTGCACCACTCTGACCAGGCGCTGTGTGAGCAACTATACTTACGTTCAGTTGGAGATGCTGACGAACATGTAGTGCATGGTGGGGGGAGTAACGTTCCCTCCATTGATACAGGCGTTGCACCTTATATCAACAATGCAAACATCATGAACGGGCCAACCAACATCCGCAACGGCGTCCATAGCAACGGCGTCAATAACGCGCCATTCCCATTCTTGAACACAATCAACCAACCGACTGACTTCAATCCCGGGGCTTCCTCCAATGGCATCACCTCCGATACCCAGAATTTCACATCAGGCTATATGGCGCAATATATGACCTCTTCTCATGTTGATGGTCAAACTCCGTCGTCAACGATGGTCGCAAATACTGCGGAGCCTCTGAACCCCCAGGTTCTTACCAGTCGCGTTCAACTTCGGTCGCCATTCCATGGATCCGCTAATGTAAACAATACCGCCTTGCAGCAACAACTCTTTACACACGAAGCGGAATTCATAACTGATGTCAATCCACCCAGCCCTAGTAAGCACGACTCTTTCATGCTTTGCCAATGATGCTTATACTCACTGTAGGGTGTTCTCAACCACCCTTTCCTCCAAATGAGGAACCGCGCTCAAACATCGTTATGCCCAACTTCGAGTGGGAGGATGATTCAATCGCCAAAAGCCCTTTGGTTATCTCAAAACGTAAACGTAGTGTGTCTTCTGTTACTCCGACAATCCTTGCTTAACATATACTTAACCCAACAGAAACGCGCACGTTCCCCGATATGCGCACATCTTCCGCGGTGAACACGACAGTGAATCGCAGTAGTCCTGACCACAGCAGTACCATTGGTAGACCAGCTGTTTCACAGGCCCAAGTACCGACCGGTACGTCTATCGCGACGTTGTTTCTTTTTCTTCACGTTACTGACGGTGTTGTAGTGCCTTATACGACCGACAGTTACCCAAACAACGCAGGTCCTGCTTCTGCGCGACCACTCAGCGGTAAACCTCCTATTTCTTTAATACCGACTGTCCATTGAACTTTGAGACAGCTTATCACACAACAGGCGAACACCACACCGGCACCCATACTCCCACCAACGAGGGTGATGCGGGTAACGTTAAAGGCCAAAAGAGGGCTGCACCCGACGAATCGGGGGATAATCCGATTCCGTCCAAGTCCGCAAAGTCAGATACCAGCCACCACGTTCGTGGTGGTAAAGGTAACTGATATCAACATTTCCGTTATATAAATGACAGTAGCGTTAAGTTGTCGAACGTTCTTAAAAGGTCTATGTATGACCACTTTCGGGATATCCATCCAACCCTTCTTAAAAGGTCTACTTATGACCACTTCCCGTATAACCTCCCGATCCTTCAGACTCTTTTGAACATGTTTGCGATCGTGTAATGTTGATCATTTCGGTCCCTTACTTGAAATTCAGTGTGATCTTCATAAGTTATTTCAGCTTTTGTGAATCAACAATGCGTTGACCAGTTCCGCTTCATCACACCAGTACAGGGTGGGTACACGAAGCCAAGCAAGGTGTAGGTCCCCGCAGGAGTACACTAGTACATATTATGTTCTACTTCCCCCCCAACGGTCATTATGTACATTATTCTTGTTATATATAATATATACTCAATAAAGATATGTAGGCCTCACAGCGATGTAAAAATGCTGAACTGCCTAGGCAACAACGCCAAGGTGCACGTCGGGGAACCCATTGGCCTTGATACGCTCAAGGAGCCACCAGAATGGCGTGGCATAAGTCAAGTCAGAACCCTTTGTATGGCCAGCACCACCAGTAATCATGCCACCAATACGGCCACGCAAGTCAGCAATTATCGAACCTGAATCACCAGGCTCCGAGAAAACTCCAACCTTATAACCATAGTTCATAATCCCCCACTCCATGGAGGTTTGGTGGATCGACATATCTAGGAAGTACGTACGAACGATAGAAAAAGGGCCGTTTGCGCGACCATAAGTGGTGCCAGTGGCATTACCATTCTTGACAACTACCAAGCATGGTTCGTGATTCACGTCCCACATGTCAGGGGTGTGCATCAAGCTATCAGGGATGATACTTTCGAGGGGAAGCAAGCGTTCTAAAGGATCATGTGCAAACTGCCAATTGTCGGAAAAACACTGGATATAGAATTCATCAGGTCCTCCCTTTGGTCCTAGGTATCAGTAATATTAGTATGTACCCTTATAGTCAAATACTCAAGAACGGAACGCACCGAGATCTATTTGGTTGCCCTGGAAGCCATCACCGAGCTTGGTTCGGTCGATACTGAATATTCCCCAATCCTCCGTGAAGCGCTGTTCACCGACACCGAGGCGGAGGGCTGGAGAGCAGATGATGTGGCCAAGAACGCGATTGTTGAATCTTTTCCAATTCTTGTTAACCTGCTCATACAACGCTCCGAGTGCCTCCATCGCCTCCAGGGAACTCTCGATTTTTGACCGATATTTATCATTTTCATTGGCAGGATCCTTCTGCCACTCCTCCCAGAGCTCGACCCAGGTGCTATGGTCTGCAATTCTGACTTTGATCGACTGAACGAGGTTGGCATAAGATCTCTTCCCGAACAAAAGGACGTCTTGGAGAAGTCCACCGGGGTGGCAAACATAATCAACATTGGCCTCCTTACGTCCAATGAGGACGTGACGGCAAGACAGGCCCAGGAGGTCATTGCTACCGTCACCCTTGGCAAGATAAAGAGCCATAGTCCCTTCTGTGTTGGGCCTGGCCCTTGTAGAGATATGAAGGCCAAGGGAAGGAGTAAGGGGACTAACGACGTCAACGACTGGGTCCCGAAACCGAACAGGTTTAAGAAGTTGAGGACCACTCTTAGACATGTAGAATGATTCGCGGAAGTCAATGTCGACATCAGTAATTTGGTAGACCTTGAGGAGATCCAGAAGTATCTGAGCCACATCGTGGGCAGCCGTGGCAGTGACAGACCCCGGGAAAACACCAACCCAGATAGTGACGGGACTGAGGACTGGGTACCCATATTCATCGTTACCTAAAGGTTCAGGTGCCCTGAAGCGAACAACATCAATAGTCGTGAAACGAATCTAAAAAATCCCAGTAATGAGCAAGCCTGCGACACGATAAAGATAAAGAGCTTATCAACTCCCCTCGTGCGCATCCATAATTTTGACAATCTCCCAACCCAGGTCGTCGTTCCACACCTTCGTAATCGGATGATTGAAAACTGGGGCTAACTCCTTCGAACGGTCCGGAGGCGAAAGAACGCAGGATTGGATCCACTTCTTGCCTGTACGGTAGAGTAACCTTGGTGCAGAATGGAGCCCTCCATAGTAAAGCCGAGCCTCCGTATCAGAGACAGCGTGCGGATCACTTGTAACGACGACGGCCGGGAAAAGAATTTGGTCCGGATCGTAGTTGGCCCAAACAGCCTCGTGAAGGGTCCGAACGCAGTCCTCGATGAATTCAGGAGAAAGCATTGAACAAAAGGAGGGACTTAATCAGCTCTTACACAAATTCTGCCAGTGAAATACAAACAACATTGTTTGGTCGTGCTTGACAGACATTCTATTTCCAATGAGCGCATCACGCTCCGCTCCGAAAGCTTGAAGGCGGCAGCCCAGTTATTGGCTTTGAATTGCGGATTATCATGATTATCATTGCTGCGTTATCTCTCTTATGGTGGTCAGAGTAGTTTAGCAGACTGAGATACGGTAAGAGAATGCGCGCTGCGAGCAAGAATTATTTAAGATCTAGATGTAACCATCCATGGCACGTGCGCAGCGCACGTACAATATCTGCGCCAAAATTCCCTTCAGCGAGGATTCTTGATTTTCAACGTCAGCCTCCTCGAGGGGTGTGCTTAACCTTTAGGCCTACCGTCGAGCCGGATTTTCGAATTTTTTCTCTTGAATTCCGTTCTGCCGTGTCACTCTGCCGTGCTTCCTAAGACTGAAGGGATTGCTTACTAATTTACCTTCGCTTGTACTCTGTCTCCACTCCTTTTCGTTGAATCCCAACTTCGGCTCTGCATTATATCGCATAACTGATTGGAGGCATGTTTTGCCCCTTTCAGTCCACACTTTCCTGAGGGATATCATCGGGCTACAAATTCTTTGGTATCTGGGAAGGTTTCTGGTTCGTTTTGTTCTCTATACACAATGCTAAGTCTTTCCTCAAGGATGATCGCCCGCTCGACAGTCACCTGATGGGTACTCGATGTAACCAGTTTGTCTCTCCTTTATTTCTCAATTGCACTTCGCTTTAGCCTTTCATTTTTACTATTTATGTATACTCCCAGAACACAAGCCGCTCTTGACTGTCCCGGTCTGTCTTTTCTTTCTTGTATCTCCATGATTATTCTGTACTAACCATCGCGTTTTCTCTCCATTTTCCAGTCCTTCCGGCCGGATTCTCCCCAAAGTGCAGTAGTATTCAGAATGCTCAAGGCTCTTTGGATAAGGGCGAGATCATCTCTCCGACCATCACTACCTCGCCCTTCTCTTTTAGCTTTGGCGTCGATGCTGCATCGAGCGCCACTTGCAATACTAGTGATCCACACGCTGTATCCCAGTCGGAGGCTCTATTTTACTATGCAGGGCTCCATTCTCAACCAACATTACTTTACCGCACGGGTAAGAAGTGGTCCCCACCCCGCGGACCTGAGGCCCAGCGCCCTTCAAAGGAATTAGTTCCAATTTTCAACCACCCAATTACGAAGGTGTGGAACGACGACCTGGGTTGGGAGGTTGTCAAAGTCATGGATGTGCACGAGGTGAGTAGAAAAGCTATTTCAATGTGTCGCAGGCTTTCTCATTGCTGGGATTTTTTAGATTCGCTTTACAACTATTGATGTCGTTCGCTTCAGGGCAGATGAAGTTTCAGAAGACGATGAGTGCAGTGGTGAGGCTAGGTACTCAGTCCTCAGTCCCGTCACTATTTGGGTTGGCGTCTTCCCGGGGCTTGTCACTGCCACGGCTGCCCACGACGTCGCTAAGATAATTCTGGATCTTCTCAAGGTCTACCAAATCGCCGATGTCGATATCGAATTCCGCGAATCACTGCACGTTTCTAATGCCGGTCCTCAACTTTTCAAAGCTGTTGATGCCGAAGATCCACTTGTTCACGTTGTCAGTCCCCTCACGCCTCTCCTTGGCCTTTGTATCTCTACTAGGGCCAGGCCCGACTCACAGGGTACTATGGCTCTTTACCTTAACAAGGGTGATGGTAGCGATGATCTCTTGGGTCTGTCTTGCCGTCACGTCCTCTTTGGAAACCAGGAGGCCAATGTTGATTATATTTACCACCCCAGCAGCCCTTCTAAAGATGTTCTTTTTCTTGGAAATACAGCCTATAAAGACATCATTGAGGCGACTGAAGCCAGTATTTCTAATTATACCCACGCGGCTCAGTGCTCCAAAAATACGATCAAAGGGTCGGGAAAGGATGCCAACACCGTTCATGACGAGACCAAGGCGAATCAGTCAGATGTTGGGAGCTCCTTGGCTGAGGCGGAGAAGGTGTTGAAGGCATTTACTAAATGAGCATTGAATAATCAGGTCAAGAACAATTGGAGAACACTAGACAGTCGTGTTCTTGGCCAAATCGTCTACTCCCCAGCCCTCCGCTTCGGCGTCGGCGAACATCGCTTCACGGAGGACTGGGGACTTTTCAGTATCGAACGTACCAAGCTTGGCGCCGGATTTTCCGGCAACAAAATAGATCTCGGTGTGTTTTGACTATCTGACTAATGCAATCTACTAATTCAGACCTAGGAACAAACTCAAGCAAGTTTAAGGATCGCTGTTTTCCTCGGATAGATGCCACCTGGCATTTCCGACATCCTGAAGGGCGTCTGCTTCCCCTGCAAGGCGTCATTCCTAACAGCTTGATGCAAGACCCTGACATGTGGGACTTGGATCGTGAACCATGCTTGTTGGTCGTCAAGAATGGACATGACATGCCACTGGTACCACCATGGGCCGCGCAAACGGCCCTCTTTCGGTTGTCCGTACTTATACCTTAGACATCTCGACCCATCATACCTCCATGGAGTGGGGGATCTTAAACTTTGATAGCAAGTCTGAAGTTTTTTCGAGAGACGGTGACTCGGGCTCCATAATTGCTGACGTCCGTGGCCGAATCGGGGGTATGCTCACTGGGGGTGCTGGCAGTACAGATAGCTCTGACTTGACTTATGCCACACCGTTCTGGTGGCTCCTTGAGCGTATCAAGGCCACCAATAGGTTCTCCCAAGTGCACCTTGGCGTTGATGCCTAGGTACTTGAACGAGGACTTAACTACATATCCTTATCGAGTAAAACATGTATAACAAACTATCAACAATATTACTGTAATGTACATTTCAATGACTAGGAGGGGGAGGGGAGGCCCAGTTGACGGTTTCGATATTGATGGAAAAACAACACTTGTTCTGTTGGGCAAAAAATATTATTTTGTCTATACAAGCGATTGAGCACGAGGAGCTTACGGCAAAGATACATAGAGCAATTCCAGTGAGAGAAGGGTCGTCGACCAGAGGTTTGATTCCTACTAGTGCTTCATACACCTCTTCACCTTCTTCATCCTCTATTCCTCCCTTTTCGCATAAGAGGAAGGCCAGAGAACTGGACCAGGGTCAACGAAGGTCATGCCATTATCTTCGTAGACGTTGTATCTAGCGAAAGCACCATTTGTTGCGTATAAGCTATCGAAAGAAGAACAGGAATAGCTCAGAAAATTCATTTTTTTAAATATGAATGAGCAGCGAAGACTTACGATCCTGCTCTCGTTCCCCCGGGCAGTTTCGTGTTACCACCATTTATAACATTGATCTGAATGCAACCAATATATAGCTGAGTGCCAGAGGTATCATCTTGAGCATTCCAAGGATTGTGAATCGCTCCCACCTAGTACAAGAAAGTTGTGAGGACTTATCCACATCTACAAGGACACCTACTTCTTGGCGAATGATATATTGTCCATTGGCAAGACCTTTCGGTATGGTGACAGTCCAGGAGGAACTGGCCTCAACTAGGATACGAGAATCAAGGCGACTAAATTCTATGTTCTCTAGAGGACGGAATCAAAACCTACTAAATCGAGCCATGCCCCAAAGACCACTGGTTCCAGGCGTGGGGTAGTATTCTTCAGGCTTGTTCTTCATCGTCTCGCGTAGACCACTTGATATAGTTTCCGATTTATCAATCCCGAACATAGCGAGCTTAACCCAGGAGCCTTGAGAGGCATCATAGGTAGTGCAGTCATCGTTGGTGCATTTAGCGATGTAGGACGCCATGGTACCCATCCTTCGTGAATCCAACAACAGGCGTTAAGACACATTGACCGAACAGGGGAACTCAATACTAACGCGTGGACCCAAGGGTTTTGACCTGCCGGAACGTTCCCAGTCCCTGGCTTGCCATCGAGCTCGCTGGTCGCTCCAACCCAGTCGACCCTCAAATCACTGCCTGCAGAGACGTTGATGATTTTAGGTGCACCTGCAGCACCTTCGCAAGCCATTTTACTGTCATCAGAATGAGGGTAAAATAGTAAGGATTAGTTCTTAATCAGAGACGACTCGACCGTACGAGTTATCAGAGAAGTCCTGAGGGAGTACATAAGATGGGCCTGCAGCTTGGTACATTTTTCTAGTGGCGGTCTGTTCGTTCACGGGGTCTGCATCCCAGTAGATCTTTCAGAAAAAAATTGCCAATCGTCAGAATATAGGAATGGATCAGAACTGAAGAGCCTACATTAGGACCGTCGTTGTAAATACCGTTCGCCAGTACACCTTTAATTTGCCCGTGTGCATTGACCTTATGAACAGCGAGAATTGACGCCAGTGTGAGTACGCCGAAGCGAGAAGCGTTGCTGAAGATGACCATGTCTGAGGTAGTAGGTCAGAGAAACTGGTGGGATCGATAATGCGAATTTCTGCTGCAGGACAGGCCTGGAAGGGCGGATAAGACTGTAAGAGGGAGAAAACGAAGAAAGACTGATAAGCCTACAGTTTTTTGTTATGTATTTATATTCATCAACGAAGCCATCCTGAACCACATCTTCATCATGTCCGTGGAGGAGCCTGAGGATCCAAATTACAGTATCACCTCAAGAACAGCTTGAAAGAAGCTACGAGTACGTAAAGGAGGTTCTCGAATAAAGACTATAACCGATAGGACTTGCAAGTAACACTGAGCGGCGCAAGCAGCTCCTGTATCGTTACTATATGACTATACGCTAATGCCTACCTTGCATTATCAGCAGTGGTAGGTGGAGGCGGTCGGAGGAAGAGACATATATAGGTTCTGTCCGGTTAAGGTCTCCTTGGTAACAACGACGAGCGGGGCTTGAGGATGGAAGGTGAAGGGTGTCAGGAGAGGGGACGACTGACATCGGATCTTCTACCGTCTTCAATCGGAGAAGTCGGAAGTCGAAGAAAGGGACAGTAACAGACGGTAACCTTCGTCGACACAATGAACAGCCAGAGCCCAGAGTCAGCTACATAGGAGCTCCCAAAGCAACGCTTCTCGGAGCCGACCCTGCGCCGCAACTGCCACATGTCGGGGCAAGTAGATCGGTCTTGAGCAGGTCTTGAGTCTTCAGATCTGTCTCTTGAATTAATATTGCCACAAGATGATAGAAGATAATGTGTTGTTAACAGCAGGTTGTCGAATAATTTCCGCGGGAGGACTGGACTATCTCTGAGACGCACATGGAGATAAGGATGTTCTATAGATGATGGATAAAGTAGTGTCTAATTGTAGTATAATGGCGAAAACAAGTGCATTCTGGAAGTTGAACTAAATCACCACCGATGAACCTCCGTTAGTGAACCTGATCTGAAAATGGGAAGGCAGCGACACACAGTGTTCTTTTAGTATATACAACGAATCATTGGTTGCATTCACGCGCTCTTTTTCCCAACTTCTGCTCCGAATTCAGCGACAGTCTCCAGCGATTGAGTCTTAGTCTGACGAGCGTTGGCCACACTAAGGTAAGTATCTGAAGAAAAGCTAACGTTACACGTGCAAGGGGATACGAGCCGAGAGACACGTACTCCAGAACAAACTGATAACACTGACAACGACGAATCGGAGGTGGTGGGGTATAAGCGCGAAGTTGATAATTTGAGTTGGGACAAATACGCCCCAGTTGCGGATAATGGTAGGGACATAAGCCTAATTATGGGAAAGGATGAATGAGGTGGACACGTCGTAGGTTGTTCACGACTCACAGCCTGGATCCTCGGGATGGCTTCCTTGGGTTTACCCTCCAAGATGCTCATAGAGCCGAAAAAGAATCCGACCGCCGCTATGGGACAATAAGTATAAAAAGGCGATTGGGAGTCAAAGAATATAAGTTCTCACCTGGCGTAAGCACGGCCTGATCGAGGAACACCTGAAAAGGTCAGAAAGCATGAGCGATTTTGTTGACTCGACGAGAACATCGAGTACACACCCGGTAAACGACTGCCTTGGTCGGGCTAGAGAATTTTATCGTGTTCAACCATTGGTACCATTTTGTCATAATCGGTCCAAAGAGGGCACCTGGAGGAAGAATCTTTTGTAAATATCAAGGAGAAAATTCAAACTTGGAGCAGCAGCAGTGCACTGGCATGAGGGATATCACATACCACCGTAAAATGTCAATCTCGCCGTTCTTGCAAACTAAAAGGCATCCAGAATGAGCATCAAAATGAAATGCACATATTTATTTTTGCCCAATATTTACAAAGAACAGATATAAGATAAATTGTGAAGCTCTAGGCAACTTACGTCGTGATTCTTTCCCTTTGCTTCAACGCCTTGCTGTGCAATAATATCACCAGCACCAAACAAGAACGCGGCGGTACAGCACTGAGTGAACATCGGCCTACGTTGCAGGGCTACACTGCAAATTTCCAAAGCAAGGAATCAGAGAACGTCAACAGTTAAAGTACGAAGATATACACACTTGTACATTCTAAGCATGGATGCCATTTTACGCGATGAGTAGAACGAGAGATTCCTGAGCTTTATAAATTCTCTGAATACTTCTGGATCGGGACAGAAAAAGTGTAAAAACACGTCAAGGAAAACTCTACGTGGTTGACTGCAGGAAAAGTTCAGTAAATACAAGTGCAAAGTGGAGCCCCAACGAGTGGTCTGTGCGCATCATTTCGTCCTTACGCGTAAAAATTGGATACAATCCCTTTGACAGCCTTTGTTTGTATGGGCGTATGGTCTAGAGGTATGATACCTGCTTTGGGTCTATTGTTATATCCTTTGCAGGGGGTCTTCGGTTCGAATCCGGATTCGCCCCACATTTTTTTCCCCCACTGGCTCCCGATTTACTTACGTTCACTGCGGGCGGGCTTTTCCACTCATTAAAAAGTCATCCTCTAATGACGGGAGCATGCGTTATTTATGCAACGGTTAATTTCTACGTTCACAAGCAACGAACACAACGCCCCGATGACATTATGCACTAGCTAACATTTCCGGCGCTATCCTCTGCTCAACTAAATTCAACTTGTTCACCCAACTCTCCAGCCTTTTCGCTAATCCACCAATTTGCTGTCGGGACAACACTCGGGGCTGGACCCAGGTGATTTGAGCTTTCTGGTCTACTTGGTCCATGGAACCGCGAATGAGTTTCAAACTGCGAGAACAGATACATTCAGTTTCGATTCGGTTTTTTGGCAAACAAGATCGAAGGTCAGGAAGGATTGAGTCAAGGAACGGCGCTCACCTTAGAGCTTTCATAACCAGATGCTCCACTTCATCGATTGGTAGCCTTGTCTCCTCCGCAATAGTGGTAAAGTTCATTGTACGATTATCCGCACTTCGTTTGAATACAGACTCGATGAGCGCCATGAGACAGATTTTTTGTCGGAGGAAGGGATAATTTTCTTGAAGTATCGGCTGATCGTTCGAAGGAGGAGCAGAAGAGAAGAGTAATGTCAATCATGCTGGCACGGATGAATGAAAAGAGAGGTGCTTTCGCATACGCGAGAATGGGGAATCAATGAATGAAGTAAAACCTACCTCTTGAGGAAGCAGCGGCGCGAGGGCCTCAAACTTGCCAATACTACCCTCGTTGAAAGTAAAGAGCAGTCTCTTGATCCATTCAAACGGTGTCCCATCCAGAGCGTCGAGAATGGGATGCATGAGCTGGAATGCAATTCATTGAACGTCATGAAAAGGGTACCGAAAGGATCGACCTCACCAATTCTCCAAAGTTATAGATCGTATCACCCAACAACGCGGAAATTCCTAGATCGTGCGCGCGTCCTAATCGCTCCTCTACTGTCATATCCGTGGATGGGTCCACACATGCAAGGTAGAGGAGGGAGTTGCGATAGTAGGGCGCGTATTCTGCTTTGGCCTTGGGGGTATCAAAATTTTAGGTACTTAGATCGAAGTGAAGAAGCGAGCGTAGGCAAACTAGAGATGAACCTTGTAATAGTCGGCTGCCACACCGTAATACGCCGCATTCACTCCATTCTCAACACTCTCCACACTATCGAGGATCTTCCAGGCCTCATCCATGTCGGCCTTGGTTCCCTCGAGGTCTCCATAAAGTAACTTAGCATGAGCAATATTGGCATAAAGGAGAATGTATGCTTCTGGGGAGGTTTCCTTGTTGATCCGAGTGAGAAGAGAAGTAAGGAAGGTTAGGTGGGTTTGAGGGTCTGCAATTGAAGATACATAAGAAATATCGTGATAGCACTATCACGAAAACGCACTATCAATCTCCTTTGAGACCTTAACACCTAACTCAACCAACCGAAGCTGGTTCATCTTCGATTCGAAATCGGTAACGAACCGCTCGAATACATCAACTCGAAATGGTTTCGACAATGGGTGTTCGACGAATGCGAACAGCTTGAGAGTTAGTTGATGCCATAGCCTAGGTGTAAGGATGAAGTTGAGTCTATGGTTTGTGAATCGCGTATATTCAAGCTCACTTTCGCGTATGCAGCGTTCTAAAGGACTCAAAGAACGGATGTAGTTCTTGAGGTGTTGAGGATATTGCGGTTCCGATGAATTCATCAAGAACGAGTTTTGGAGCTGGTGGGTGTGCATCCACGGCCATTGAAGAAGTAGACATTTTCCACCAGAGAATGCGGAGTATATGAGAGAGATAATAATGTGATAGAAAACTCGCGACGCGTCACTGAGTAAGTAAACAAGACCAAACGACTGAGGTCAAAGCGTAGCTTTCTAATCGGTATGTTCATTATTACTCATTGGTAGCCTTGTATGGTAGCTGGAAGCTTGATCTAGAGCTTTCACTGTGTGCATACAACCAACACTCTTTGTGCGCCACGAGAGTACATCTACGACTGCGACCAGAATTGGATTTATGAATGTGCAGTTGGGAAAGTCAGTTATCTAAATCATAGAAGGTTTATTTGCTTTCCCCTACCGTACTTGACTAATACTGCAATATACCCAGTCTCGCAAGGCAGAATTCGCAACGAATGAAGAAAATTCGACCACCCATTGGAACTAACACGGTACATGTCGAGGGCTCTTGGATTTCCGACCCTTGAACACGACTTGTACACATTGCATACACGAGGTTGTTGTTAGAGTTTTTTTTCTGTTCATTTCTACTGCCGCAAGCCCTGCGCGAGCTCATTTGTATCTCCGCATAGCTGTAAAACTGTACAGTTCTACTTGCATTATGAATAAATACTCAGAAATGATCGAGTGTGAGACGTTTTCTTGATAGCCATAAATACCTCTTTCGGTAACCACCACTATCCACGGGAAATTCGGAAACAACGTGCTCAGTGACTTACCCTTCACCCAGCTCTTCATCTTGTCCAGCAGCCTAATTTTCAGCAACCACTATTCAATTTAGGCAACTCGATATTAAACTATCCGAACTTGGCAGATCTTTCTCGGACTTTGTGGAATCCGAGCCGTGAACAGTGATTATCTAGTCGACGTCAGAACTATTAGAGGATAATGACTACGACGGCGTCGACGGCAGTCACGCTTACCCAGGACTCGACGTCGTCCCCTTTGCCCAAATTCAAGGCACCCTCAGTCGAAACATTCTCATTCAAAGCACCCTTGTTACCCGCATCTTCCGTTGCAGCCGCTGGCTCTTCGAAGCAAAGACGTGTCTCTCTTGCTCTGCCATCTTCGCCTCGAGTAGTTCCAACCTCCGCCTGGACTTTCCGTGACGACACTGGTCTCGAAGAGAAGAAGGGAAAGCTGCGGAAGATCGTCACTGACGGCGATGAAGAGTCTCATGAAAGGAAGCTCAGAAAGAAATGGTCCCAGGAAGAGACTCAAATGCTTGTAGATGGCTGTAATAGGGTGCGCGCATTAATCTTGCTTCATTTTCAGTTTATTGACAGGCTGTTCTCTAGCACGGAGTCGGAAATTGGAAGACTATTCTTAGTGATCCCACCTTGAAATTCGACAATAGATCTCCTGTGGACCTGAAGGACCGGTATGTCCGAGCTTTACTACACTATGCAAATAATTAATCTCATTTACAGCTTCCGTACATATTTCCCGGATGCCTACAAACAGCATTATCCCAATGCCCGCACACACCTTTCCACTAAGATACGCTCAACGCTTCCGGATGGTTCCTCTCTATTCGAAAAGACGCGGTCAAAGAAACGCCGACCCTTTACAGAGGAAGAGGACCGGGCATTAAAAGCTGGTTACGAGAAACATGGCACCGTCTGGGCAACGATCGTTAAAGACCCAATATTCCAAGAACAGAACCGACGCTCAACGGATTTACGAGATCGTTTCAGGAATGCATTCCCCGAACTTTATCAAGCTGCGGGTTACAAACCCCGGACGGCTGTGAAAAAGAAGATAGCCCCGACTGTTAGTAGTACGGCAGCGACGGCAGCTTCGACACCAGTCTTCACTTCAGGTCCCAGTACTCCTGCTACTTCACCAAAAAAGCAACTGATCCGTGCAGCGACCGATGATCAACTGGCAATGTCCACAACTGGTCCCGTCCGTATGCAGACCCGACGTCGTCGACGGAATACCTCCCAGGGCATCTTCCGTGGTGGAACGAAAAGCGTACCGCAGAGTAATGCTCCTTCTGAAGATGAAATGAGCTCCGGAGGGGAAGACGACGACGGGGTAGTCAAACCCATGCGTGTAACACGCTCTATCAGCAACTCTCTCTCTTCTTCCAATCTTCTTGGCTGGGGTCATAAACCTTCGCCATCATCTTTTTCTTCATTTTCCTCTTCTCCTGTGACATCAACAACAGCTACGGACGACGAAGTTGATAACGTTGCCGAAGTCACTGATATGATGGATACTTCTCTTGGGGAGTATGGCTATGACTTTGTCGTACCTCAGAATAGCAATGGCGACGGTGACCCCGGGAATAGCCATGGCGGTCTTACCACGATGATTGGCAAGTCAGCCTGGGGGACACAGGACTGGTTCTCCCCCAATCCTCGATTGGACAATAGTACCAATCACCCTACCGGCGGCAACACTTCCTCGTCTTCCACTTTTATGGAGGGCGGAGTAGGAAACTTGTCACCGTCGTCCCCTTTCTCCACATTCAGCTCGCCCCCATCATTTTCTTTACAAACTCTGAATTCACTCAACTCTGATCTATTGAACCCAATGTCCAATGGGCTCCATAATTTCAATTTCGCAGGCAACAATGATTCTAACGAGCATAATGGACACGGCGTATTCGACCGGTACGATCTCGTTCCTCCGACTGCCTCCAACCTTTTTCACTCCTACTCCCACTCACACACGAACTCGTTCTCCTCTTCATCATCGTATACCCCTTACGCGTTTTCTTCTGACATCGGTCTCGGAGACGACTACGATTCGCGGTCAGCGTTCTCAGATGAGTGGGCCTCCTCAGGTGTGGGAGGTGGTGCAATGAGCAGCAGCATGAGCATGGATGGAGGTATAGGAATAGGTGGTCCCGGCGGAAGAGGGTTCACTCATCACTCTGATTATGCGGGTGATTTGATTTTCAGCGCGAGGACGCACCAGCCAGTGCAACCATTCGCACAACAGGGTCTTGGCTTGGGCCTTTCGGGAATGGGCATGCCAGATATCCCTCAAAGCTCAGGTATCCATCCTCTTCAACTACACACGCATACCCCCGTATTATCTGCTTTACCTGGCATAGACGAGATTGAACTCACTGGGATCACATTGGAGGACTCGGTCATGACTGAATCCTCTCCGGATCTGGATGTTGGTATCATGGACATGTCGTCCCCGCCGTCGTCGGCTTCAAATACCCAACAGGATATGCTTCTACAGCAGAGGCAGTCGCAACAAATACCGGACGCTACAATTCGTCGCCGAAACCCTCATCCGAGGTCACAATCAGTCGTGTCTGAATCTCGACTACTCAGACCGCTGGCGTTCGAGGATTTAGTTGATATCAACTTGCGCAACCACAATGACGATGAAGATGGTAAAGGAAAAAACAATCACCTAATCCTGCTTACAACTGATCAAGACAATCTGGAATATCCTTCAGATGACGACGAACAGCATCTTACCCCACCTGCAACGCCGATCACACGACCGAGGCCGCTGAGAGGGTCGAGGAGGATATCTAGGAGAGTGGGAGGAGCGGGAGGCCAATATAACTCAATTCCCACTCACGGCCGTTCGGTTTCAGTTCCGCCAGTGGACCGACCGGGATCGGATAGTCCAGACTTGCCACATCATGCAAATTCTCAACCGGAGCTGAACAGACTTTCATCTTCGTCGCTGAACTATCAATTGGGACCGTCTTCTAGTATGGATATTATGGATCACTCTCCCTCATCGACGCGACAGCAAGAAACGCCAGCCTCTACAATAGGTGGTCTATCGACTCCCGCTGCTGCTGCCCAGATTCCTCTACCCAACCCACCAACTTTCGCTTCCCTGTTTCTAGCAACACAGGGTGAAGACCTGTACAATCTTCCGTTTTTGGACTTGCATTATTACGGTGGGAATCAAAGTAGTGGTCCGAACATTAGCGGAGGAGAGATGGTGCCTGCAATCCTAGATTCGGAAACTGGATCGTCCCGACAAGCATTGGATTTGGCACAAAGCGTTCGTTCGGTGTCCGCAACAACGGGCACGGGCAATACTTTTACGTTGGCTGGGAGGCGGATGATGCTGGACAAGGAAGGTAGTACTATCGAAGGCAATTCCAATGTCACCAAGGCTGGAGTCAGTGCTGTACCACTCTCTCAATCTCCACATTCTCCACCTCCACCAATGAGGTCTCATTCACTCTCTCATTCGCATACGCATTCTCAGCAGACGAAAAGTCGCCATTCAGGACATTTAGGCCATCATCAAAGAGGTCAGAGTATAGCGAACGTGATGAATGCTGGCTCGAGTGTGTGTCCGCAAGATTTAATTCTGAGGAGCGAGACGAACAAGAGGAAGAGGGCGAGCTGGGATGGAGCGAATTCGTGATGGTGAAAGCGGTAGGTTATAGTGGTGGTAGAGTCGTGTTTATTTCATTTAGTTATCTGTATCATTGCACTCTTCTCGCATGGCTCATCATTGATCATCATTCGCATTGCTTTTTTGCCATTATTAGGATTTTCGTTCTCGTCGTTACATTTCTTCTATGTACATGTTATGCTACATTACTACTACTACTACCATTTATCAGTCTATCATTGCTCCCTTTGCATCCTAGTAGGCAGCAGTTCTACTTGCTTCAAGTCCTGAAACAATGAACTTTGTTGTATCTAACCATCCTTCAAATTGTTTATTGCATTGATACCTCATTGTGACTGTTGACGCACTGTGTATTGCCGACCCTGTGAACTATGTCCGTGCCATCGAGAGAATGACAAGAATGAAAGAGATAATTCCAGGTACTGATCAGAGTGAGAATTGAGCGTCCGTGTATATATTGGCGAATTCAGGCCGGCATTCTCTCCGTCACTCTGTTTATGAGAGTCAATATGTCCTACCTTAAAGTCTCTGGGACTCAATTCGTCGATGGTGCTGGAGCACCAGTCGTTCTGCTCGGTGCAGGGCTTGGTGGGTGGATGATGTATGTTGTGTTCGCATATACAAGTCTATCTTGCTCAACAATTAAATATCCTGAATCATAAATTATGTAGGATGGAGAATTTCATATCAGGTGTGTATCTATTCTGATGAAGCTTCATTCTAGAAAGACCTTACACGCTCTTGCACTGTAATGCATAGGGTTTCCTGGATGCGAATTTCATATCCGAGAAGCTCTTGTTGAAGCTATTGGAGTTGAGAAAGCATCTTTGTTTTTCGAGAAGGTCCATCTCACATCTCCTATTGCTTACTCCCTGGCACTCAAGACCCCCTCTGAATGTTGACATCTACAGTTCTTGGACAATTTTTTTGCTGAGGCAGATGCAAAGTTTTTCAAATCTCTCAGTTTGAATTGTGTTCGGATAGCTATCAACTACCACCATTTTGAGGGTAAATACTTTACTGCTGAAGATGGATTATTAACCTCGTGGTGCTGATGTTGCTTCATCAGACGATATGAATCCCCGCGTTCTCAAAATTGATGCATTCAAACAATTAGACCGAGTCGTCACGCTGTGCGCCGCAGAAGAAATTTACACAATCATTGATCTGCATTCAACACCGGGAGGGTAAGCTTTATCCCACTCCCTCTGCCCTTGCTCATTAGCATCTCGGGCTAGACAAAGCGGTGGATGGCATGCTGACGCTGGCACCCATTTTGGTAATTTCTGGAAACACAAAGACTTTCAGGACCGCTTCGTCTGGCTTTGGACACAGATCGCTGATCATTACAAGGATAATATCTGGGTAGCGGGATATAATGTAAGTCTACGTTGTGAGCACTTGAATATAATCGTTTGTCCCTTGACTCTTCTCTGTTCGTGTAGTTGATGAACGAACCTGCTGACCCCCATCCTCACCACACTGGTCTAATCAGTATCTACGACAGAACATACGCTGCTATTCATGACACAGACCCCAATCACATCTTGTTCCTCGATGGAAATACCTTCGCTACAGATTTTACCAAGTTCCCCGAAGATTCTGCCACCAGATGGGGCTCCAATGTTGCATTTGCGATTCACGATTACTCGACCTTCGGGTTTCCGAATTCGCCAGAGGCTTATGAAGGTACTAATGATCAAAAGGACAAAATGAAAGCATCTTATGCTAGAAAACGTAAATGGATGGATGAGAGAGGGTTGTGTGTCTGGAACGGAGAATGGGGGCCTGTGTATGGTAGGGAGGTGTACGACGGCGAGCAAACAGAAGATATTAATCGCAGGCGGTATATGGTTCTGAAGGACCAATTGGAGACATATCGAAAAGTAATGACGTTCGGTTTTTTTCCAATCATGCTTATTCAGTGCTGCATCCCAGGACTCCCTCAGCTGGTCTATCTGGTTATACAAAGATATCGGCTTCCAAGGAATGGTATATGTTTCCCAGGATACGCCATACATGAAGCACTTTCGGGAGTTTCTTCTCAAGAAGCACCGACTTGCCGTTGATGCTTGGGGAGCAGACGATAAATATGTCAAGCCCATTTATGAACCTATTGTAAACTTGATCAAGGAGGAAGTGGCTGAACCAAATCAAAAGCTTTACCCACCAATCTGGAGTTTAGAAAACAGGGTGACCAGAATTTCACGTACGATTTTGGTGGCCGAGTTTCTGGTCAAGGAATGGGCGGAGTTGTTGATCGGGAAAAGTGATAAAGAGTTGGTGGATTTTGCAGAGAGCTTTGCGTTCGAAAAGTGTAAAAAGAGGGAGGAATTGAATAGTATTCTGAAGCTCAATGCACTAGAAATGTAGTACTATGCAGCTATGCATTCTTATATCTGCATAGCATTGGAGGCAACGAGAACTGACGAGGACGAGATACCTTCCACTATCAATTGTGGGAAAAATACGTCAGTTCCCCTAAAAAAGAAACGCCAGTGTGGATATTTGTACACGAACGATATCATGTAGTTTTCTCATCTCACTGTCATCTCTCTTACTACGTCTCTTCGCAGAGCTACAATGCCAATATCTCGTCTTGTACCAGGGCGGTATCCCTCACCAAACACATCCCCCATCGCTGATAAAATCAGAGAACGACGAGGAGCAAGAGGATTGACTCCCCTTGATGGAACTTTGCTGCACGTTCCGCCTGTTGCCGAAGGATGGAATAGTCTTCTTGGAGCAGTTAGGACAAAAGGAAAGCTGAGCGCTGATATCAGAGAATTGATGGTGAGTTATAGTTGTGCCATGCGTGCAATATCCTTTTCAATGAAAGCATCGTTATAGATATTGCGAGTAGCAGCGATAAACCACGCTGCATTTGAATGGATCCACCATGAGCATGTCGCTAGAGACGCTGGACTGACCACAGAACAATTATATGTAATTCGGGATACATCTTTTCTCCCGTCCCCTGGAAATGCAATATTGTCTCCTCTGCAATCTGCTGCTCTAGCATTTGCGCATCACTCTACTTCCACTGTAAAAGTTCCGCCAGAAGTAACACTGTCTTTAGCCGATGCACTTCGTAGCTCTATCGCTTCCGGTTCCAATGATACAGAATCGTTGGCACAAGACCTTCTCGTTGAATCTGCCGCCGTCGTCGCCTCTTATAACATGGTTTCTCGCTTCCTTGTATCCCTCGATGTGGCAGCTATGTCAGATTTCCCTCCGCCTTGGCCCGCAACCAAGTCCACTTTCAAGGTACCCTTATCTGTAGACCCGGCCAACGGTGTATTGGAAGATGGTCATTTCCTTTATGCCGAAACTCACGTAACAGATCCCGATGCACCTTGGATTGTATGTGCAAATTCCCTCCTCACCACCACTGATATGTGGGAATGGGCTTTGGAAAAGATGCTGGCCCCGCAACCGCATGGAGCGAAGGAAGTAGAAACGCTTGGAACAGAAGGAATGCTGCCGGATGGTTTATTCTTGGGAAAATACAAGACTTTCAATGTTTTACTTCACGATCAGAGAGGCCATGGTAAATCGTCGTTCCCCTCAAACACGAAGCCAGACGGACTCCAATGCACAATTCCCATTCTTGCATCTGACATCGCATACCTCATATCCACACTCATCTTACCCTCATCTTCATCTGTACGAAGCACTATCGACTCTGAGCCCAAGGTTCATGCAGTGATTGGGGTATCTCAAGGTGGTGCAGCCGCACTCGCATTCACAGCAATGTACCCTTTGCTCACAAAATCGGTTGTGTCGTGCGATACGGGTCCACGAACGCCGGAAGGAAATAAAGCTGCTTGGACTGAGAGAATTGAGCTTGTGAAAGCAAACGGAGGTGGCGAGGATGGAATGAGAAAGCTGGCGGCTATCACGGTGCCAAGATGGTTCCCCGCCCCAAGTAGATGTTCGACAGAGATGTATCTTCCCGGGCAAATATTGTCTCCTCCTTCTTCCCCTGAAGTTAGCTCTATATATGGGCGTCGACCACGTTCTGAAGCACTCCAAGCACAACTTGTAACAACATCGCTGGATGGATTCATTGTCGGTGCATCTGCATTACAGGATTACGATCTTCTCGCCGGCACAGGCATGAACCGATCCCTTCTTGACGTTACCAGCCCTGCCGATCCCAAAGTATTACTTATCGCTGGAAGCTTAGATGGGGGAGGGAAAGTGTCGAGTGGAATGGGTAAATTGAGGGATGCGTGGAATGCGAAGAGGATACCAGCAGGTGGAGGGTCTGTCAAATTAGAAGTAATAGAAGGTGCAGGACATTTGCCGATGGTTGATGAGACGGAAAAGTGGTGGGATATTGTTGGTAAATGGTTAGCGGGGATCTGAGCGTCTTGTCAAATGCCAGTAAATTTCATATTTCCCATTCGATCTTATGCTGTACAACAAAGCGATCGACTACGCTTCTCACTCTCCGTAACACCCGCCTAGAAGTTAACGACCATACCAGGCGGCCAACTGTCAATCTTCCAAGTATGCCATTTCGCTACCGGCAGTCTAGCATGTACTGTGCCTTTTGAGATAGTTAATCGGTCGATATGCATGTTAGCCTTCGGCAACATCTTGCTTACCCATTTCGGCACAAACCACACGAAGTTTGAGGGGATTTTCCTTCGCATGTGGTAATTCTGGATAATTTGGAGATTGAAGGAGATGTCGGTTCAAAATTTTCATGAAGAATGGACTGCCGTCATTATGTGGTTTAAACCGGGATTTCGAGTATCTGCCAAACAAGAGATAAACTCCTGAGGGGATTTTTCTCAACTTGAGAAATTCGCCAACGCGGGCAAAAAATCCGGTAGGAATATACACCTAAGCAAAAGGGAGACAATCAACTTAAATCGAGATGAGTAAAATTGGGTCTCGTACCCGCTCTGCCGTTAGTATTACTTGCTTTTCAGTAGATACAACGCACTGAAAGCCGGGGACGTCAGTAATGGGAATGAGATTGAATACGGAAATAATACTAACCTCCCAGACACCTGGAACCTCCTTTTTCCAAGGCACAGGTTCAAGATATGCTCCACCTCCAAGGGGAAAATCCGCGCCAGTCTCGAACTTGCTTCCTTCGGTTATGGGAAAGGTGGTGAATCCATGCAAGCTGAACTCCCGTGCTCTGGGCTACCAATGATGATTCCAAAATCGATCCGTCGAGGCATTGGGGAAATTGACTGGGGTGTACTTACTTCATAGTCTGTGTACATATACCCCAAAATAGCATTAGAAGATTTCTCTCTGGCGGGCTGAGAGGCTCCAGCATCTCGAGTGACAACGTGAGGCGCTGGCGTAAAATTGCGCGGAGGACTCGGACTATACAGAGACGTGAGATTCATTGGAGAAGCAAAGACAGCTGAAATAAGCAAAAATGAAGCAAATAATATATGCATGAAGATGAAGATGTTGGAGGATGCTACTAGACAGAGGCCAGCTCTGCTTTGGAAAGTTGGGAGAGAAGATGGAAAACGAAATTTGCAATTCGCTATTACCCAAGGTCCTCCGACGGAGAATAAAGTGACCCCAATGACTATCTTCCCCCACAACTAAGCACAGAATTTTCTACATATTCATCCTTTCGTTGAAGTGTTGTAGTAGTACTGGGAAGAACTAAAAGACGGATACATGTAGACAGATACTAGGACCTTGCTAGTAGTAATAAAGGGTTGTAGGGAGACCACGATAGGAGAGAACGTCAAACAAATGAGCGTACAGTAATGCTTCAGCCTTTACAAACGTTAGCAACAAAGAAAGACGAAGTGAATGCAATGAGGATGATAAGGTAAGAGCTAGAGATGTGAAGGGAAAGTACTCATCCCGCAAACGAAATCGCCAGTGGAAAAAGGTAGTGTAATCCTTGGTCAATAGGAGATAGAATCTAGTGCCGTTACCCACTAGTCGCTCATTTCGGGATAGCCTTTCGACATCATTATGTATACCGCATAATGGATCCATATCCATTGGTCGGGCCATTCACAGTCCCAAGACAGCGCCGCACAGCACACATACAATGATCATCACGGCGCTAGAGTGTGGAAGGCCATGGACTTCGATTGCACCATTACTTGCTGCGCCTAACGCGGAACCAGAACTAGTTGGTGCGGTAGCACCTGTTATGCTCGAGCTGAGGGTGACTGCAAAGCCTGAAGAGGCTGGCACCGCTCCTTTATCTGCGCCTGAACCGACAGACAGAGAAACAGTTGAAGATTGGACAGTAGAGGCAATTACGGTGCTAATTGATCTGGTGGCACTCGAAATGGACGTGGATGGCGTCGCCACACTAACTAAACTGGAAGCTTCACTCTGATGCGAAGTAGCTGTGACCAAATCGGTGGAAGTAATAGATGAACCTGGCACGATGGTGAATGAGGTTTGTACCGCAGTGGATACAGCTATGGAGGTGGCCGTGACGAGTACGAGTAGAGGGGCGCTCGTTCTATGAGATGTAAAGGCTGGTGCTTAGAACTGAAAAAAAAACGTAGTCTGGAAGCAACCGGAATGACTTACGTCGACTCTGACTCCAAGCTACTTTGTGAGAGTGCCGCCGCCGCCGATAGAGATACAGCAGTAAAAGCGAGAGCCAATTGCAACCTTGTGAAAGCAATCATCATCGTGTTGTGCAGCTTATCGTTTTTTCTAGGCGAAGGAACTGAAGAACAGAAGTCTGCGAGGCTGAGTATGAAATCTCTAGAAACTCTTCAGGTGCCGAAGAGGGTGAAAGGTGGGGGTATAAGGACTGGTGGTATGAAGGAAAGAATGAAAGAAACGAAACCAGGATATATGTAAACGGTCAAGCAAGGTTGGAGCACGGAATATATACCCCACTTATATTCCCATCGTGTACATATTCCCCTGTGTGGATAGGCAGTAGCACAAATTCCATCTGTGTATATATCTGATTCACGTACACAATTACAGCCATATGGCGCAGTTGCAGCAACCGTGCAGCTTGTCCGAAGGTCCATTTGGAGCCAGTTGAGATTACTTACAAGCTCAGCCAGAGCTCAGCAGACTTGTAGATGATTCAGACCTGTTCAGAACTGGATCGGGTTTGTGTATAGCAACCAGTTACTTCCCGCCATACAACCATCAGGCGCTCAAAGCTCCACAAGTTCAAAAGGGCAATTGTAACTGCCAACGTCCAAGTGGAGGGGGGATGGGTGTGTGGAGTGGAATTACCATGGAGAGAAGCCGACTGGAAGGCTAAAGGAAAATACGCGTAAATCGGATCAAGCTCCGATATTTGTACAACAAACAACGGGAAGGGAAGTCGAATCTTACCTTCGCAGTCAGTCCAGTCAGAGTAACCTTTGGGATAGGGGAAGTTCCCTGGCACAAAGGTGTGGTCTGGTGTGGCAATGTCGATGATTGAAGCACATATATCGAGCATCCAATGATAGTATACAGCGGGCGTGTTCCATCTATCTATCTCTCTATCTATACTGCATTATATAGGATCGTACAACAAGGAAACCTAAGAGTAATACTGGAGTAATACATTGATATATTTGCCTTACCATCCACGAGCCTCATAATCGGCGAATGTGTCCTGGACTGTTGCTTCCTTTGTGCGATACTTGATACCAAGAAGTCGTTCAGCCTTGGAAGTATTGTACTGGATTTTATGGATGATTTGTGGGTCTGATTTGGATATGGGGACACCTTTCGGAAGATCAGGATGTGAAGGTAAATAGATAGGTGCGAGGGAGTTGGCTACATCGACTGCAAGTATAATCAGTTTCAATCAGTCCTTGTGATATGGGATTCAGGACTTACGCCATTCCTGCCATACGAATGCCCCCGCAGAGACGATCATCCTTTGATTTGCCACATTCTCGTTTCGCAGGGCCAAAGATTGAGCCTCTGCTAAATCACGTACGTCGATCCAACAATTTCCAGTGCTTCGCAACTCTTGGGGGGTTTTCCCTCCTGCGTCCGAGTGGCCCACGACTATGCTATGAAATTGGGCAGCCGACAGGTTGAGTGCGGACAAGGTAGGAACGTCATGCGTAACGGGGCCGAATACCTAAATGTGTAACGTGTAAGAGGAGCTAAATGCAGAAAGGAGTTGGACAAACAAATGGAGGATTGAGAACCACCAGATCCCACTTTATAGCATCTTTTTTATCTTCCAAAAACTTCCATGCGGCTATAAGAAGATCTGAAGTTTGGACAATGCCAATGCACTAAATGCAGGTCCGCGCACCTCGTTCAGCTAACGTCTTGCTTGCCCGATATTTGGTGATCGGTAATGCATCCTTGCCATCGCGTTCAACCTCTGCAACAGATAAATCATTCCAATTGTCCTCTGAGAATGTTCTTGGTTCAGGGTCAACTCGGAGGACTGCTGCAGCAGAAGAAGTGTAAATTATTCGTCGAACATTTGATCCCACTTCCAATGCACTTCGTAGAATGCTCTCGGTACCTCTAACGGCAGGTTGTATGAGCTCTGGATATACATTCAGGAAATTCCAGTGACAATAACGAAAGAAAGAACCTTGAGGATCAACCGCGCTGAAATTGACTGGCGAAGCTGTATGTACAATAGCATCCACGTCTTTTACAGCGTCGTCGAAGGCACCTTCCTAGCTTGCTAATGAGTATTGAACACTGCTGCGAAGAAGGATACTGACCTTGGTGATATCCGGCACTACCACGAATTTAAACTTTTCACCATATTTTTCAAAGATCTCCTGTAATCGTTTGCCTTTATCTTCAGATCGAACAGTCCCTTTAACGATGTACCCCTTATCCAACAACGTCCGGACTATCCAGGCAGCAATGTATCCATTGGCACCAGTAACAAGTATTGTGCTTCCAAGTGGTACAACAGGCATATTTATGAAAATATAAGGTTAAGTGAGACTATCATGGCGGGGTGTAATCGAGGATATTCGGCAAAGACACGGCATGTGCTGAGCAGCGGAAGAACGAATCACGATTCACGACTGCATTGTCCACTTCAGCACTATGTACATTACACATGCAACGAGCAAGAATAGATATCATAATTTAGATGAAGATAATTCTTAATTCTATATGGATACTAGTGTAGATGTGACGGTATATCTCGAGCCTCAGCGCCTCAGTCTAGATGGGCCTGCCACCGCATTTTCCCGAACCGCGCGAGTCTTACCTTTCCCTTTCCCTGCGCCAGACGTCTCACTCACAGCACTATGAGCATCGGGGAATGTATTGGTTACGTCGGACATCACAATATCCGAGTCCTCGGGCGGCAGAAGATACTCTAAATCTTCAAACATATGGGGGAAGAGGACCGCTAGCATGTCGTCAATCCTAAAGGTCATGGAATAAAATCAAATGGTTGGAATATAGCTGTACAAAATTAACTTACTTGGAGATGAAGTCACCCTTCACAGCTTTTGAGTTCTTCTTGGCCGGGGACTCGATAGCTTGTTTTTCGTTCGCAAAAGACGAGATGTTGAGAGTGCCAGCAGAGTTTGCCTTGGTGTATAAAGAAAGCCCTTGGCGAGCGGCAAGGTCGAGAATGTTTCGTTCAACAGTGTCTAGAGAGAGAGAGAAATTGTCTTCCCATGAGGGATCCCTGAGGTAAGGGAGAAAAAGTACCTTCAGCATAGTAGCAGTAGACTGGATAAGGGGATGAGCATGAGTATGGTGGTATACTGATGATGGCAGATATTTAGATACCTTCTGTAGGTCGAGTTTGACCCATACGGTCGATCCGAGCAATAGCTAACATGAGGATGTGAACACCATGTTACGATAAACGAGATGAATCACATACCTTGTATCTCAAACCCATGGTGGACTACGCTCTCTAGAAGGAAAACCCGCGAAGCGCAAGTGACATTGAGACCAGCGTTTTCACGTTCACTACGGAAAGGGATTTAGTAATGAGGTGCCGACCATAAAACGACCTGGACACGAACCCGTGAAGAAGAAGCACGGAAATTTCTGGTTTCACTTTGAATTTCTTTACTGGACCTTCTCCTCTCGTTCCCCGGTCTATTCGGATAGATTGTATGCCTAGGGAATTTGAGCTCAGACCGGTCCCTCTAGCACCGAATGAAAAATTCAAGTACCGTTGTCGCGCAAAGCACTTTGGACAACTGGAGATGGAATATCAGTACAAGGTTTGAAAATAGACTAAGATGTTCGTACTAGTCAATGAATCAGCCCAAGCAGAAAAGACAATACTTTTTGAACCTGGATCAGATTGTTCCAAGTACATGAGATGTCGAACCAGCGTCTGTATTTTACTGCCATAGTCGCCAATAGCTTGCATCGACTGAATGTCTTCAAAAATCGTGGAATCTATGCATTGGGTATAAACTGTCGTCAGGACAAAGCGAGAAAAAGCAAAACTCCATACCAATCATGTTGTAGTCTATCTTTCGATTAGAAGTGGGTACGAGTTCACCATTTACAATTGGGTTTGGCGCTGCAGGCTGCTGTGGCTCGTACAACTTAAAGCGTTGCAAGTTTCCCATATCGATCATGACACTTGTGAGAATTATCAGGCTCAGGCCGACGCTAATCTCATAAAAAATATAGCTTACCGACAGACAGGACAATTCTTCCCATCTTTTTTGCCCATCCATTCTTTCAGACAGCCTTCACAGAAGATGTGTGCACTGGAGACACAGTATAACCATGGCGATTCGACGAGAGATGGGTGAAGTAACTTACCAAGTGGTTATAAATCCTCTCTCAAATTCGCAGCGGCACAGAATGCAACACTTGTCGTCCTCATCAAGCTCATTTTCTTCGTTACTTTTCACAAGATGGTCGAGATATCGTTGATGAGCCCTGGTTGTGATCATGTTGGCTTCCAAATCCTTGACTTCTTTCTCCGAGTCATCCAAAGCATCCTCTCTTCTTCCTTCGAATTCGACTTCAGCCACTGAATCAGAGATTTCTTGCAGTTGACGGAAATATAGAACACGCTGATTGAATGCTTTCCGGAAGAGCGCAAGATCGGCGCCAACCTTGTCCATGAGCGTTTCTACAAGCAAACGTTAAGGGAGTAATCATACTAACAACGATATCCACTGACGTTGAGAGCTTATTAGTTTGCGCAGGTCTGCAACAGCCGCTGCGAGCAATTCCTTTTCAGGACCGGCCTTTTCTACTCGCGCATAAGCGCTAGTCAAGTCGACGAGGATCTAGAGAGAATGTTCAGCATTAGGCCATTTAGTAAATTTGAAGTATCATTTCGCTCACACTTCTAACAGCACGACCATTGAGATCTAAAAGTAAGCTTTTGTGCTTTTCGGAGAGTTGCTTATATAGGACTTCGTGTTCAGGCTGGATTTCGACATCATCAGGAACATCCAGTTTAGCATGGGCAATGGCTTTCATGGCAGCCTTTGTCTTTCGTTGTTTTACCTCCCTAGATCATCTTCAATTTCAGACCTGGAAGTCGATATTTTGAAAGCTTACCGCGCATCGTGAGCAGCCAAAAGAGTCCGCTCATTAATTAGAGCTTCTCGACGGTCAGCAAGAAGTGCGGCGTATGCCTGCAAGAACGTTTCGGCCTCTCCCTGATTATCTAGCGTACGCTGATACTCTTGACCATCGGCATCATCTTCTCCTGAATTCAAGCTCTGGGTGAGAAGCGAGTGAATTTTACTTCGCCATTCCCATAGCAATTCAGTTTGTTCATTCAAAACATTTTCGATGATTTCGTGAAGTTCCTCAATCTAAATAAAAAACTGAGTTATCAGCAACAGAGAAAGAGCATGATGTTTGACTTGCCGTATCGGCGGATCGTATTCCCCCTTGCTCAAGATATGGTACAGGTATCAGTAAGTCCGTCTTGCTCACCCCGGCTCTACCACCAATGATGTCGAGGTGTAACTGAGCCATTCCGTTCTTGGCATCTTGTTCGGTCGCTAAATAAAGAAATGAATGAACGAGGTTCAAAATATGAGAGAAGGGTTAGTGTATAATACTTTTTAAAAGGTCCCGACGAACAGCTTCAGCAACGGCGTACGCGCCGTTTTCTTGGGCAGTGTACATCTCCCCGAGGTTATGATAGACATCGCCTTGCAAAAATTTGACTCGATGAAATTGGACGCGGGCTTCACGAAGACGATGCATGAGAGCGCTTCGTTTGTCCCGATGTTCCTTTCCAGCCGGTGTCTTCGGTAAATCGTTATCCTCTACGTCATCTTCCTCATCTTCATCCTCGTCATCTTCAGAAAACGGTGATTTTTCCCTCTGCTTCTCTTTACCTTTACTTGAGGATTCTCCTGCATGTTTAGATGCTTGTAGTACCCGTTGTTCGGCAGCCTCCCGTTTGAGCGCTTCTCCTTTGATATCGTGTTCGGCAATTACTCTCTCGATTTCAGCAATCATCCCTTCGGCCTCCTTCTCAACTGCAAGAAGAACTTCAAGAACTGGTTGGAAACGATTCAATAGTTTCATATCAAGTTGCTTGAGTTGCGCAATTTTTATCATAGCTTGAATCTAAACGGCACCGTTAGTGGACAACAAAGACGAAAAATGTCGATGAAAGCCGACCTTAGATTTCCAGTCTTCAACAAGATTACGCCAATTCTGGTCTTTCATATTCTGGTATAGCAATGTTAGATACAATGGAAGGAATATAAACAAGAGGTTCACTTGTAAAACGTCTGCCATAGTTTTCAGGGCACCGGGCTTATAAAGGCGCTCGTTCTGCCCGACAAGTTGCCCAACCTGAATCTTGTTGAGAACACAGCCGAATCAGGACAGCGACAGAAACCAACCTGAGGATGTGTACAGATACCACGAAGACGACGGATAGATGATCTCAGAAGAGCACCATCAACTTCCCAACCTTCCGAAGCTGCAACCCCTCTCGCATCAAGTCCCAGGTCATTGAGAATGGCCTCAAACGATTGATCGTAAACCTGATAGAGGAAATAAGCACGGGCCATAGAATCAAGTATGATCACGAACCAAACGTTCAACTTTACCCATGTCTATACTGACCAGATATCGCGTCTGCTGAGGAATGGTCAATTCGTGCGAGACTTGGGATTTCATGGTTCTAAAAACCTATTTTAGGAAAATAGGCGCCTTGATGTTAAACAGTGACCGACCGAACAGAATAGTGTTTGAAAAGGCGGTAGAATTCGCCAGCGAAACCTGGGAGGAGGAGCCGTTTCCATAGACGAGGTTCAATGTCGAATCGTAGGAATCTGTGATATTCTCAAAGATCAAGCTAAAAAGATAGAGATAAACTACAAACTTGAGGACATGCGACAAATCCGAGACTTGCGCGCGAGCGGGAGTTCCGGATACCGCTAGTGATGAGCGTCGAGGAATTAGCGACACCATGTCCCTTGTACTAGTATGAGCATCAACATGAAGGATATGGATAAATAGTTTACTCAGTCTTTCCACCGCCGACCATTTGAACTTCGTCCATCACCACCCGAGCCCATTCGACTAAGATAAGCGGCGACCTTGACCTCGCGATATTAGTGTATACGACACCATCTCGCCGAGGGCGCTTTGGAGGCACACGAGCAACATTAAAATCGTTCTGAAGCACTGTATACGTAGTGATCACCACGTCAAATCCGTGCACGTAAGAACACCAATCAACGATCTCTTCTTCGACATCTACATCAATAGCACCAACATCAACTGCAGTTGCTTTTCCTTTCTTCTTGATATTTGCCTGAGCTTCAGCTTTTGTTCTAGCTCTACCAGATTTCTTTTGGGCCTTCTGCTGAGCCTTCTGCCGTTGTTGACGTTCTTGCTCTACTTGCTCATCGCTGATGGGGATCTTGATACTTGACCACCCATTGTACACCAACACCTTTAGGCCAGGGGCATGTACCTTCAGTTCTTCGGACCATTGACTTGCAAGATTAGCAGGTGTAACAATCAGCGTGGACTGGAGCAATGAGATGTGTTCGTGAGATCTCGATTGCAGTAAGAAATTAACATGTACGCACCTTGATTGCCTTGACAGTCACATTGGCTTCTGGATCCCAGCGTGTGAGAGAGGGCTTGAAGCGGTGTTGTGCGGGATTGAGCAGGATAAGTGAAATTGTTTCGATTGTTTTTCCCAGTCCTGGTTCCTCAGCTAGGATGCCACCGTGATAGGCATCGTTTTCTTCATCCGTAAACGGCGAATCCGGACGAAGAACGCCCGATAAGCGATGAAAGAACCATTCTTCGCCATCCATCTCGACAGCTTGCCAAAATGTAAACCCCGACGATCTGTCTTTAGGAACTATTTGGCCATCCTTTGAAACAGTCATTCCTTCTCGGTCTAGGAGCCAACCAACGGTGCGTCGTTGAAAGGGAAGAAGTGTGGGTTCGAGACGCTCAGGCTGCATGGATTCTTCAGCCACGGTAGAAGCAAGGGGTGGAGCAGGACCTAGAATGGAATAGTAAAATGGAATATTAACAACACCTTCGAACGACGGTGGAGCTGGGCTAGGAGGGTAAACGAATAAAAGCACGCGACGCTGCGCATCCTCGATGTATGGTCTCTTCGCAATGGTCTCGAATATGGTGGGTGTAACAAACGACCCAGAGAGTTCAATATGAAGTCGGAACGATGGTGCGTTATTTGCGTCTGGGATAATAATGAATTTTGAACGCAGGTAAGTCGCGACTCTTCCGTGTGGTGCAAGCACCTTAAGACAGTGTATGAGGTCTTTTGTGTCTGAATATGCGAAGTCGAAGGATTCCTGTTCCAAATTCCAAGAATTGCACACTGGTACCAGGGCCAACCATGTAGACGTCGTCGAAGATGGTGTAGTCAGCACATAACGACCACCACTTGTTTTTGCTAATTTGACTTCTCCTAGATCTATAGAAAACGGTTCGGAATGTCCCAAGCTAATGCGAGACAACTCATTTCGAAACCAATCTTCTTCTTCCTGCCATGAATTGGAAGACGAAAACTGATCCGCGAGCCCATCGACCGGTATTTCACTGGTAAAATCAATCTCCATGATATGATGGAATGCGGGGACGAGTTTTGTGTTTTCTTCCGGAAAAATGTGAAACGAAAAGCCGTCCAGATTCGATGGGTAGTCCATCAACGCGGGACAGGGGTCAGTATGAGCAATGGCACCTTCTGAAGTTTTCGAGCGCTTGTTCGAAGAGGTAAATGAGTCTGGTGAAGGAGAGTGAGCGCGTTTCTTTCCATTCCTGCCGTTTCTGAGTGCAGTCGCGGTGCTCTTTGTGTGAGTCCTTTGAAGGTGAACCAGTCGTATTATCTCTGGTAGGTTGAGAGCAGATCTGTAGCTGTGATGAGATGGGTCTCTAGTTCTATAAACCGTTTCCAAAGCTTTGAGATTATGGACATGGTGAGATTCGGTTGATTTGGGCATGAGAGAAGATAGTCAAGTCGCAAAAGTCTACGCGCGCGCATGTCTGGATGATCAATTTCACACGATGAGTCATTCGGCACGATCAACCGTTCAATTTATAATTTTATGACTCTGATTCTCACGTCGATGTTACCCGCAGGGCTTTGGAGGCGCAGAATATTTACTGCATCAGGTTCCAGGAAACATGAGAACCCTTTAGTGAGTCATTTCTTAGTCCTATAAATATTGACTTTTTGAAGATGTTCACCTTCAAATTCTCACTATTCAGCTCTAATAGGGCCTTCCTTCGAATAATACTCGTTCCCTTCCCCAAATTCCCCGCAGAGGACCCATCAGTAGAGGGTTACCTCCAAAACGCAAGATCCCAAACGTCAAGCGCGTCGTCCTAGTTTCCAGCTGTAAGGGTGGTGTTGGGAAGAGCACGATTGCCAGTATGTGAGCTCATCCGGTTAAGTGACTGAAGGTCGTTAATATCATCCACCGCAGCTAACTTGGCTGTATCACTATCACTGCTTCCGCAACGGCTACGGGTAGGAATATTAGACTTAGATGTCTTCGGTCCTTCTATACCGACACTTATGGGTTTGAAAAATGTAGAAGAGCCTGGTCTGACACGAGGTCCACCGAAATATCAATTTTTACCCACTTTTTACTGATATTCCTACAGACGGCGCCTTGATCCCAATCACGAATCACAGTATTCCGACCATGTCGATGGCATATCTCCTACCTTCAGCGTCCCACTCTTCATCATCGCCATCGACGAACCCAGACTCTGAACCACCGACCAACGAAGACACGCCAGTCGTTTGGCGTGGTCTGATGGTACAAAAAGCCGTACAACAACTTTTATTCCAAACCGACTGGTCCGCTGGCGTGTCTCAGGGTGCTTCTTCAGGCTTGGATATCCTTGTCGTAGACCTTCCCCCGGGAACAGGAGATATTCCGCTCAGTGTTGGTCAGTTGGTTGATGTGGATAGTAAGTGAATTGTGACTTGTGAATTGACAATCTCCTGCCTCCATATTTGCCTTCTACACTAAACATTGTTCATGCAATACGACCTTTATACTTACTGATTTGCCTCTTCAGGTACCATTATAATCACTACTCCCGATGTACTGTCCCTGTCCGATGTCCGCAGAGGTGTTTCCATGTTCCGCAAACTCGAGATACCTCTCACCGGGCTCGTCATCAACAATGGCTACTTTATCTGCCCAAACTGCACCGAACGACACTACCTGTTTGGTGGCAACCCAAACGACTCAGAAAACATGTTCACCAAAGGGGTCAAAGCAATGGGGATGGACGGTGATAGAATAATTGGGGAGCTTCCACTAGTAGTCGATGTGGGAAGAGGAGGCGAGAAAGGAATTCCGTATGCATTGAGTGGGCGGGGCGTAGGGGATAATGATCCAGGGAAGGTGTGGCTAGCAGCGATGACCAGTGTTGCGGAACGGATTTGGGGAGAAATACAATTTAACACAAACTAGTTAGTCTCTCAATATACGATCCAGATTGGATTATCTACAAAGGATCACAAGTGATGACTGGATAAGTAGTAGCATTGAATTCATGAGAAATCGTATCCGCAAGCAACGACCAGCACTACGTGAATCTTTGACGATGAACACCGAAACTATATGGCATTTATGTTCATGATATAAACGGGTTACATATTAGATTTCATTCCTCCTCATCCTCCTCGTTCTCGCCAGTGATGCTCATATCTAGCTTTCTCTTCTTACCAGGCATCTCCTTTCCAGCACCAAAGCCTATGCCAGCCTTTTTGCGAAGCATCTCCAAGTCCTGCTCTGCTTCCTCCGCCCACTCGAGAACTAAATGCCTTCCTAATAAGTGTGTATGACGGAGAGCGGCATAAGCATTTTCTGCTTCTTGCCTTGACACAAAGTCAAGGAACGCAAATCCACGTGTTCGCGAGTCAAATTTCTTGGGTAGACGGACAGATTTCAGTTGACCATGAGATCTTGATCGAAGTAGTGAGATTTCATGAAAGTGAGAGAACGAAACGGGGTTCACATACCCAAATAAATCCCGAATATCTTTCTTGGTCGCCTCAAATGGCACGTTCTTGACAATCATCTTGGTCGTTCGACTCTTCGAACTTACACCATCTTTCCTTTTATCAACATCCTCATCGGCACCACGACCAGCGAATTTGATATGCAATGCGTGGCCATCGAGGACAAAGCCCTGCATACTTTTCATGGCCTTCCGTGCACCGTCAACATCCTTGAACCCAATAAACCCATATCCCATACTCAACTTCCCGTCAGGTTTCTTTGGGTCCGGCTTCATTTGTACGCGCGCGAAAGCAAACGAAGGAAGGTTTCGGAACATCTGATTCAGCCGCTCCGTGGTAGTAGAAAACGCCAGGTTCTTGACAAATAGTGTGGTCCCAGCGGCTAATTCACCTTCATTCGTCGCTTCAGCAGTTTGTTCGGGGATTTTGACAGCATAAGCGGGAATGGCACCAGGAGTTGCGGAGTATGATGCAGAAGGAGGAGGAGGAGCATCGGTGAAGATGCCGATGGGAGCTTTTTCGAGATAAATCACGGAATTGCCTAATCGTCGATAAGCTACAGCTCTGAAGCCCCGGCTAGCTTCGTCTGGCTTCTCAAACTCGACAACCGCGATGGTACCGGCTGGGGGTACCAGCACCCGGGAGACAGTTCCATGCGGTTCGAACAGCTCCCGTATCTGAGTATCGGACGTTCCGTAGGGAATGTTCTTGACTAAAATTGTAGTATCGGCACGGGCGGTTCGAGAGGATGAGAACGAAGCAAGAACGACGCCATTGGATTCAAGATAAGCTTTCGTTTCATTGATAATGTGCGTCTCGGCGAGCGCAAGCTTAACGGCAGGATTGGTAGACGAAGATGGGTCGTCAGAATCAGGGTTAAGAATGTCGGCTTTGGGTATGTTCATACGGTCAGCAATGGACGAAGCCACAGCATCACTCTGGAATGCGACGATGAGCAACGACGCTGATAAACGATATTGAATCACAGACGTTCATGTATAACATACTCCAATTGAACTCCTTCCCTGCCGTGGCTTTGCGCTGCGCGTTATTCTCGTCCTTAACACTTCGTTTTGCACCCTCTCCTTCTTTGACTTCGAACTTGCCCTTCCGGTCAACAGCTGGAAGAATATGCACTATTCGCCCTTGGAAAGATGTTTTGTCAAGAACTTCATACGCAGTTACGGCATCTGCGGCTTTCGCAAATGTCACATAAGCAAGGCCTTTAGGTTGTCGAGTCGATGGATCAACAGGTATATGGACCTAGTAATGTGATATGTGTAAGAAATTGCAGTGGTGAGACGACGGAGGGAAAGCTCAGAAGATATTTCTACTATCGGATTTCCAAAAGAGGATCAACATTCCCGAAGGTCTGATGTCCCTATACAGATTGTCATCCCAAAAGGAGCGAGAGGAAATCATAATCACCTGAAAAGTAAAAGTAACAGTCAGCGAAATTCGTAAATTATCGAAAGAGAGAGGAAGAAGTTCAGAAGATATTTCTACTATCGGATTTCCACAAGAGGATCAACATGCCCGAAGGTCTGATGTCCCTATACAAATTGTCATCCCAAAAGGAGCGAGAGGAACTCTTAATCACCTGAAAGAAAAGTAAGAGTCAGCGAAATTCGGTATTTAAAAAAGAGGAAGTTCAGAAAAATATTCTACTATCGGATTTCCACAAGAGGATCAACATGCCCGCAGGTCTGATGTCCCTATGCTATACTATCATCACGCAAAAAAAATGCAAAGTTTGTTCACCTATACAAAAGAAAGCCACGTTAGCCTTGACAAGAAAGTATAGAACAATTGTGAACATACCTGAGATAATTCTCCAAATTTTCCAAACAGAGTTGTAAGATCTGAATCCGAACATGAAAAGGCAAGGTTCCGCACGAACAATCTGGAAGTCTGAAGTATGGCTTCTTGAACGGGTTCTCTGGGTTCCTCGATCCTCACTGGCACCTCTGACTAATTTCTCAATGAGCGCAAGATGACAGGTAAAAAATAAAGAAACCGGGTGCCGGTTGATCAATCACCTTTATACCTTGTTCAGCCGTATCGGTTGTCTCTGTCATTCTTCGCCGCATCCACTCCATGTCGGATAGACCTTCCTCTGCTGAAGGCTCGTCTTCAGCCGGTAACGGCGAGTCGTCCAGTTTTGTTGCGCTTGTAGAGGCCTCAGGTGAAACTCCATTTGCCCATGAGGGACCTTTCTTCGTTTGCATCACTTCAAGGAATTCATCCAACTGAGAATCCTTTTTCGACTTTTCAGACTTTGCCGTAGATCCCAAAGCTTTCGTGGTCGACTTGACAAGTACATCCTCAACGCTGGTATCGTCAATCCGCGGTCGTTTGTTCGGTCTAGGCTTCGGGGCGTCTTTAACTCCCTATCAACTCCAAGGTCCAGTCAATAACGCCGAGTGAAAAAAAAATCGAGCAAGAAGCTCACCTCGACGATGTTCACACTAATTTTAGAAGAGTCCACGAATGTTTTGTCAAACCATTCCTTCGCGGTCAGAGCTTCCTCGTTGGTTTTATAACCGACAAACCCGAATCGGCGAGAGGTACCGTCATTTTTAAAAGCAACTTTGACGTCTGTGAGGGTGCCTGCTGGAGATCCTTTCTGCTCGAAATGTTGCTGCAGGCGGGCGGGAGTGACATAGGGAGGCAGATTCTTTACTATGAGACGTGACATGAAAAGAAGAGGAGAAAAAAAATTGGTGGACCCGATCAATTTGAAAGCGCGCTCGGCATCCTCCGAACAGCTCTTTTAGCCGGGACGTTATCCACTACTCTACAAAATGGCCTCTTCTTCCGTTCTCAGCGAAGAACGAGGCGCAAGGGGAATACCCAAAGCACCCTTTATCGTATGCATCTGATCTGCAGACCTCAAGCATTCACTTATACACTACTACTTAGGAAGATGTAGAAAAGTATCTCGGAGGCGCAGATGCAGAGATCGAGGGACCTCTTAAAGCCATCCAGGATGCGATATCGTACGCGTCTTTTTTTCGGCTTATCGTGCTTTCCGTATCATGGACGCCTCTCATCGATAAATACACAGCAAGTATCGTTACATGGATTCCAATTTGAACCAACGACGGCTAAGCTTGGAGGAAAAGATTCCTGATATTCAGAAAACATTGAGTATGGTCGAATATCTTCAAGAGAGACGAGTGCGCCCTGCATCTTTCTCTTCATCCTGTTAGACAGCTCACTATGAGTGCCCATGATTAGGAAGGCAAAACTTCGCAATCGGAAGATGATCTTGAAGACGATCTTGAAGACGAAGAACCAACTTCATCATCCAAGCCTCTCAAAACCACATTTGAACTCAACGACACGCTGTTCGCGGAAGCTGAGCTCGAGGACACGGACACGGTCTATTTGTGGCTAGGTGTAAGTGTCTATATGTAATAGCTAAAACTTCGTTACCGTACTGATCCTTCATCTGTGCATCTCTAGGCCAATGTAATGCTTTCATACAAACTACCCGCTGCCATACAGCTGCTGCGCTCGAAACTCGAAGCGGCCGAAACAAATGTAGCAAGTTTAACAGAAGATCTCGAGTTTCTAAGGGAGCAATTGACAATGATGGAGGTGAATATGGCTAGGGTGTATAACTGGGATGTCAGGAGAAGAAGAGAGCGTAGAATAGCAGAGGAGAAAGGGGGAAAGAGTACTTCTGAAAAAGAGGGAGGTTAAATTCATTGAGTCCATTCAATTTTCAATTTTCCTGTGTACAAAAGGCGTCTTGAGGCCGTTTAAAGGTGTTCAAACATTCAAACGTGGGAATGACTGCACACCTATCTAATTGCTTTGTGAAACGTCGAAAACTGGGATCAGCGCGGGACTGCTAAAAATGCGGACTGACCCTACCTGACTTCGTCAGCTATTGAAAGGAAACAACTCGCTACTTGTCGTCCGGCTGATTCAAAAACTGTGGAAACCACATAATTGCGGAAAACTCTAAGTAGCTCGGTAACTTTCCGTACTTACTCACTGCTAGGAGTCTCTATAAATTCTACTGGGAATGGGATCGAGAGCATTCCTCACTTTTCCTCACACAGCTCGAACATGGTCGCCTTTGTTGTACATCGAGGTTTTGTGATTGCATCTATCCTGTCAATCGGGTTTGTTCATGCACGTAGACTGAACACTCAACGTGACACATCGTCAAATTCCTCCAATTCCACAGATTGTCGCTGCGCACCTGGCGACGATTGCTTTCCTACGCCTGATACATGGGCGCAGCTAAACAGCAGCATTTCAGGACGCTTAGTCAATGTGGTATCCTCCGCAGCATTTTGTAACGACGTGTCGGGCGGGTGTACAGATGCACAATGGAGTAGCTCGACGTTTAGAGCCAACATCCCCGGTGCTATGAATCAAGTGAGCTTACCTGGGGCCTACTATCGCGTTCCAATCGCTCGATTTACTAATATATTCGTGTAGCCATTATGGGAGCAAGTACGGAAGCTACTGATTGGATCTCATCTCTGTTTGACGCGCACTTTTAGGACTACTTTTCTGACCCGCCTTCAGTTTGCTTTCGAAACTCCTCGACTACAGAGCCGCCTGCGAACGTGACGCAATCCTGTGGACAAGGTTCCGGCGACGTACCTTTGTTCGCCATTTTAGCGGAATCCGCTAGTGATATACAAGTATGGCAGTGACGCCTTTCGTCTACCTGTCGTGTACTGATATGACGATACCTCCGTTTCTCAAGGCCGGGGTTAATTTTGCCCGTGACTATAATCTTCGCCTCGCCATCAAGTCTTCTGGCCATGACTATCTCGGACGATCCACTGCCAGGAATTCACTTCTGATCTCGACCCACAAATTGCAGAACATATCCCTCGTCGATAATTTCACAGTCGGAGGTGTAGACCAGGGCCCAGCGGTGACCATAGGGAGCGGGGTGCCATTAAATTCGCTGTATACCACGTTGAAAGCAGAAGGAAAGATTTTTGTGGCCAGCTCTGTGGCTACACTGGCCCCTGCCGGAGGATTTGTGCAAGGGGCTGGCCATTCGGCCCTTAGTCCGGTAAGCTATGCAACTTTCGTGCGTGCGCTTGAATCAGACTCAAAATGTGCTGCAGTCGTATGGGCTGGCTGTTGATAATGTTATAGGTGACAGTCTAATTTTTTGTATTTTTGGTCCTTGTCTGAATTTTTCGCATAATAGAATTCACCGTGGTGATTGCGAGTGGTGATATTTTGACAGTGAATGATGCTGAAAATTCCGATCGTGAGTGGTGTTTGCTCCCCTTCATTCCTCCTTCCAAGTCTCATTCATATCTCCTTCATAGTTTTTTGGGCCATGCGAGGCGGAGGTGCTGGAAGCTGGGGTGTCATCATTTCAGCCACTTTCCGAGTGTACCCCACCTTCAATGCGGTCTATTGCGACACCAATGTTACGACTTCCACTCCCTCCATCATGGGATCCGTCGCCACAGTGCATGCCCGACACATCTTTGACCTTGACCCCCTTAGAGCTGGTCAATACTTTTGGGTTGTACCCGTTGATGGTACTGGATCGAATTCCTCGCTACTTGCTATGCAGATCCAGACAATATTTCCCAACAATGCATCAGTGGAGGCTGCTGAAGCTGCATTGCAGCCGTTCATCGACGATGCATCGAATATCACGGATGTACAGGTTGAGACTGCTTGCGAGGAACAACTTATCAATGATATGTTGTTTGCAGCCGATGATTCTGTCGGAACTAATATAATCCTGGGATCAAGATTGTTCTCTGAGAGTCTATACGAAACATCACCGGAAGCCATTGGGGACATGTATGTCGGCTTACTAGAGAATGGAACTCTCGGGTGAGTCTCCCTATGCTTTCAACGATTCCGAAATGTTCATGTTGCGAAGAATTTTCGGCAACCTGGTTGCGGGTGGTAAAGTAGCAGAAAATGCAAACATCAGTATGGCACTCAATCCAGCTTGGAGAACAGCTAAGACACATGTACGTTTCCGGCTGTATAAGCTCTATCATATCTTATTATTTCACTTTGGTTCAAAGGTATTCTTAGCCCATGAATGGGCCGATTCTGCCACCATACCTGATGTAATTGCCACCCAGCACGCTTTTAGCAGCGGATATGAACGAGCTGCATTGGTTGGTCTAGCAGGGGAGGACAGTGGGTCCTATACGAATGAAGGGGATCGTTTTGAGCCAAATTTGCAAGTGACGTTCTATGGATCCACAGAGAACTACGAAAAATTGGAACAGGTCAAGAGTGCATATGATCCTGAAGACCTATTCCTTGTCACTGCCGGAGTGGGGAGTGAGCGGTGGGATGAGGCTGGATTTTGTAGATTGGCTTGAAATGCATGAGGCAGTGATTCTTTTGCAATGAACGGACTTGACTCTGGTACTTTTCTTCGATCCCGATCTTTTCATATCGCATCCGCATACTTTTCTCTCAGGATTATCAAATCCCGTAGGAGTTCCTACAGTACAAGTGAAAGTATTCTCAGCTACATACATAGATCATAATTATTCCTGCCATACGATCCTTTGACGTGTCTTTTCAGACGGTGACTGCTTATCGTCTGATTATCGGGGATATCGGTTCCCGAACTGGACTATTAAATCTCTATGAATTGGCAGTTGGATTGCTTGCTTCCTTCAGTTCCTATCCCCTCGAACCCCACGTCTTCTCGTTTACGAGCAAAAGCCTTGCAAAAAGGCTTAGCTTTTTCTTGACTCATAAGCTTCCTAAGAACATCCCGCTTCTTCCCGAATAAAATGGCAAGCTACGAAGTAGACATCACATCGAAGGACTCTTCCCCATCTCGCGACCTGAGTGTCACTAATCTTTCTGTTGGCCATGGTCAGAAGTTGACTTTAGACGATCTCTACGAGGATGGGACTGTAGATCAGGTATATCAAGCAAAAGCTCGGATACTGAACAATTCCATCCAAGAAATTGGCATGGGGAAGTATCAAATATACTTGTTCTGTTGCGCTGGATTTGGATGGTTCGCGTAAGTGCTCAGATCGAGTCAAAGGTTTCAGGTGTTGAATTTCCCCCAATTTCAGCGACAGCGTTTGGCCGGTGAGAATAAAGTTTTGCCTCAAAATCCACGATGATTATGAACGCTCAAACTCTTAAAGCTGATCACTGGACTCATTCTTACCCCGGTGATCAACGAATTCAAGTTCGATGGCCCCTTCCTCTCCCTTGCAGCAAACATCGGTCTTTTCGTGGGTGCTGTCATCTGGAGTTTCGGTTGCGACATTTGGGGTAGACGGTATGTTGTTTCCCTTCCGTGTGCAAACTTATCCTCACAGACATCCAGGTGGTCATTCAATTTGACACTTCTCATCGCGGGGGTTTTCGGTCTGGCTGCCGGTGGTTCACAGAATTTCGTCACTCTGGCCTCATTAATCGCTACCCTCGGTGTCGGCGTAGGTGGAAATTTGCCCGTCGACTCCGCTGTATTCCTTGGTGCGTATGCTGCTGTCTGTATGGCATCTTCCAAACTAATTGACCCTCACAGATCTTGTACCCGGGACCCACCAATATCTTCTTACCGTGATGTCGGTATGGTGGTGCTTGGGGCAACTCGTCGTCAGCTTGGTGAGTTGCGGTTCAGGTTATCTCCGCCCTACCTGACCCGTTATTTTTACAGCTTGCATGGCCTCTGATAGCTAATTTTTCTTGTGCCTCCTCAACAAATTGCACTCGCTCCGAGAACATGGGATGGCGTTATCTTTTGTTCATACTTGGTGCTTTAACCCTTCTACTATGGGGCATCCGCTTTTTCGTGTTCAAGTTGTTTGAAAGCCCCCGATTTCTCGTCGGCATCGGAAAAGACGCCGAGGCGGTCGAAGTTATTCGCATGCTCGCTGAATACAACTCCAAGACTTCAAATTTGACTGTGGATCAATTAGTTAATGCGGGTGGAATGAATCCAGAAAAGGCACGCGTTGCCCAGAACGAGCGGAGAGTTTTGAGTGCAAGTTCATCACTTGGATGGGATCATGTCAAGGCCCTTTTCAAAACCAGAAAGCTTGGTTTTTCAACGTCTCTCTTGATCTTTCTATGGGGTAAGCCTTTCCGTTGGTTGATTATGCGCGTCAGTTCACTTTACACAGGTATCATTGGATTGGCCTCGACTTTATACAACAGCTTCCTGCCGTTCTTGCTCGAAAGTCGCGGCAACGCTTATGGTGATGGTTCTCTGTACATCACATACCGAAACGTGAGTGCCAATAGCTGTCATCGATCCCTTTAAACTAATTCAAGTTATAAGACTTTCATTCTCAGCGTGATCGGTGTACCTGGAGCTTTCCTTGCAGGATGGGCCGTTGAACTTCCCTATATCGGCCGCAAAGGCACGTTGGCAATATCATCGGGCGAGTAGTAGACTTTCTCTGTTGGTTTTTCTTTATTCAACGACCCTTCGCGAAAGACAGGGCTCACTGGTGCATTTCTTTTTGCGACTACCACCGCGCGGAGCTCTAATGCTTTGCTCGGATGGAATTGCGGATACACTTTCTTTAGTAATGTGAGCTGATACTTACTGGGGCAATTCTAGACGCTTGACTATTCTTCCTATAGATCATGTATGGCGTACTGTACGCCATATCCCCGGAAGTGTTCCCTGCCAAAGACCGTGGCACCGGAAATGGTTTGGTGTTCTCAGCAACGCGCGTATTCAGTATCCTAGTATGTTCTCGATCCTTCATTTCGTTTCACCTATCTCACCATATCGCAGGCACCTATTATCGCACTCTATGCTAACCTCGAGACAGCAACCCCAGTGTACATTTCTGGCGCACTCATTATCTTTGCTGGGTTCTTGGCCTTGCTACTTCCCTATGAGCCTAGAGGAAAGGCCTCGATATGAGTATTTTGTAGACAACTAAGGTATGTATCTCTTGCTATAGGTAGTTTTTGATGATATACATAGTTTTTTTTGATTATTGCCTACCTGAAGTCGTTTATGGGCGGACCGTAAAAAATTTCTTCAGTGTGCGGAATTATGCAAAGGGTTGTAACAACCCCGCCTTTGTATGTACCGCTCCAAAGTCAGTACAAGACCGTGTGTCATAGATAGATTCTTGATCTCAAAATATATACAGACTCAACATTCAAATATTGTGACTCGACCACCTCCTATTGGGTTCGCAACCATCATGGCCTGCGCTTCAGACAACAATCTAGAGAGCGTAGAGCTAGCTATGCAGATTCCACTACCTAACTCGAGTTCTACACTTGACATCAACTCTAGTTCCGTCTCTGTTGCACTTCAGTCTGATATCCCTAGCGTCGACAACGTAGCATCTATTCACAGAAACCAATCTTCCTTACCTCCAGTAGATAGAGGTTTTGGTGCTTGGTCTTTTGTGCGCATTCTATCTCACGGGATGCATTATGACTTGACTCCGTCTTCCTTTTTCAGCTGACTGCAGCCTTTTTCGTGGAAGCTATCGTTTGGGGTTTTCCGACTTCATTCGGTGTTTTCCTAGATGGTGTGTGTCGAATCAATTGAGTTTATGATGTTTGTTGAAACTTGAGATGACCTTTTTCATAGCCTACCTGAATGATACGAAATACGCCTCTCAACCAAAGGCATCGAGCTTACTTCCTCTGATTGGTCCCGTCTCAACTGGTATCATTTACTGCTCTGGTCAGAGTTCGAAGTCTGCTCCGAGTCCTATCGCCGCTTCTAATTCCTTTGGATTAGGGCCTTTCATCACTCCTGTAATAACTAGATATCCATATCATAAACGTACTTCCATGTACGTTGGCACAATACTCTGCTGGGTATCTCTATTTGCGGCCAGCTACACCACTCAGGTAAAATCATATCATGTACTATTCACCTCAACTCTCACATTTCTACACAGGTCATAAAGCTGGTTGCATTACAAGGTGCCTTGTATGCAATCGGAGGATGTGAATATCATACGAATATAATGCTACAAACTTATCCATTTAACAAATTTTCTCTTCCTTCCCCTCATAGCATTACTCTACATTCCCTGCATTTCCTATTTATCCGAGTGGTTTCATCATAAACGCGGATTCGCCAATGGCGTGGTTTTTGCCGGAACAGCAGTAGGAGGCATCCTCCTCCCCCTCATCTTACCCCCGTTAATATCCTCCTATGGTCCTCCAAAAACATTGCGAATTCTATCCATCGCAATAGCTCTTCTTATTGTACCACTACTTCCCCTGATTAAGGGCCGTTTGCCTGAATCCCGCATTCGAGCCATGGGACCAACACCACGGGGACGAGGAAACGCAGAGTGGACGAAGAGCATATCGTTCTGGATTTTAGTGCTTGCAAATACTTTCCAAGGATTTGGGTACTTCGTGCCGATTGTTTGGCTTCCTAGTGAGCTATGTCATACACTGTTAGAGGATGAAAGAATTTCGAAACTAATATTTTACTTAGCGTTTGCCAGTGATTTGAATCTCAACAGTTCAACTTCGTCAATTGCTTTGGCACTACTCAACTGTGAGACTCCTTCAAAACGAAACTTTTTAATGATCTGATCCCCTTCGTAGGTGGTTCTGTTATAGGTCGACTAGCTACAGGATACCTTTCAGATAAGATCAATCCCTGGTTCTTAGGACTCTCAATATTAGCTTCCACCTCTGCGGCCACGTTCATACTTTGGGGTGTTCTATCATATGATTTGGCTGGATTGCTATCGTTCAGTCTAGCTTATGGAATTCTTGCTAGCGGCTGGACGAGCACATGGAACGGGTTTACAAAGCCTCTGAGTCGTAAGTATATGTATGCTCTCATCCGCTGGCAGTATTCCAATTTTGTTAATTCTCTCAATCCACTAGCCAACGATCCGAATCTCTCCACCACTCTTTTCGGAGTCCTACTTTTCTCTCGTGGTATAGGAAATATATTCTCCACACCCATTTCTTCTGCGTTGACAAGCTTGCACTCTAACTCTACAACTTCATCTTTCACACATACTTCCAACCACCTTGGCTTTGACGTCGGCGGGGGAAAGTTTGAGAAAATGATTGTGTATGTAGGAATGTGTTTCGCTGGCGCTGCTTTGATCGCATTGGTGGGTTGGGTAATGGATGCAGCGATACGACGTAGATCATTTGGAAGGCAAGAGCAACAAAGTTGAACTAGTTGATTTACATAACAACCAGGAAACAATTCACAAAGCGAAATTCTTGAGGGTGATCAAGATCAATTCCAGTTTTATTCCTCGTTCTAATCAAACACGAAGACACACAAAGTTCGAGACAGGTTCAATGTAGCAATACATAGCAATAACAAAAGTTAAAGAGCGTCGTAAGGTAAGCGTATAAGAACATGAGCTAATGATACAGTTATGGGTATGTGGTGAGATCTGAGGGTCGCAAACAGTTTTAAACCATATCAACAGAGTCTTGGTGTACAGTGGAGGGCGCTTCGATGTGATGTTGAGGAATATCTGAAGCAGTCGATTCCACCGCAGGAATAGACATGACAGAAAGATGACGGATAGAGGATATCTCGATACGAAGGTCATGATCATCTTCGTCGCGGGTTACAGCACGCGGGGGGAGCGTCGGGGCGATAGTGTCGGTGGGGGACGGTTCTAAGTCAGAGAGCGCACCTCCAACGTCGGCTAGCGACATCGCACCATATGACGATGCGCCGTTGAACGACTTTTCCTTGAAACTCGTTCCGACACCAGAGACATCAGTGAAGGAATCCAAAGAGTCGCGCTGCCGAGAAACCTTTCTGTGTACAAACACTGGGAGTGATCCACTTGGCGCAGCAGAGGATTTTGATCTAAAGCTCGGTTAACGTTGAAGCCAAATGATTAAAATTTTCGACTTACCCTGTTGAACTCCAGAGAGTTGAACCGAACGAACCGCCAGTCGATAACCCAACGCGCTTAGCGACGGAATCGATCGCAGCACGATAATTTTTCCTCGCTTCATCGGCGAAGCCGAAGTAGGCGAAAAAAACCATCGAGCAGAAGATGACGAACCATCGACTGGTCTCCAGAGAAATCGCGGTTCCCTTGTCCAGATGCCAGATGACTGAGGGGTACTGGCCGACCCTGGAAAAATCGGAATGAGTATCGTCCCATCCCTTCCAGGGCTGGATGGGTTGCGACGTGACATTCAGGTAAATAGACCAACAGCTGAGCGGGATAGTGCAGAGGATTTCGGTGGCAGCCAGACACATCAAACGGAAGTATCTGTTCGAGTTGAGATTATTGTTTGCGGACAGCAGTTCCTTGAACTGCGCTCGACGCTTGTTGAATGATCTGATACTCAACACTGGAGCGCAGTGAGCGGACAGGTCCGGAACAAGCTCAAAAAGTGAATACTTACAACAGTAGACCGCTGAAACACATCCGATTGCGAGGGGCCAAGTGACATCAACAACATATGCAACCCAGGTGTTGTAAGTGAAAGGATAGCAACCAATATCTTCGAAGATATTGAAACGATGACCCTGATCGATGTATTCTTCACGAAAGGGTTAGATGCCAGGAAGAGACTGAAGCAACTAATTGACATACGCAAAACCATTTCAAGGACAGGTATCCCGATACCAATGCCCAAATCAACCAAAACAGCGCGACGCCTCTCCGACTTGGTGATTGTGACTGCATTCGCCGTTGCAATGTAGTACAAACGACGATTGATGCAAAGCGACGCAGCAGGAATAGCTACAGCGGAGCCAATCATGAAGCGAGTAGCTTTGAGAGGGCGAATGAGCATAAAGTTTTTCTTGCATTGAATCTGACAAGAAAACTCACAGATGTCGCACCAAACGGGGGCCCAGTTGATAACATTGCCATTCCAAATGATCGAGTTAATGAATTGGTTGAGACAGGCTAAACCAGTCCAAATCATAAAAAGACAAGTTCCTGTGTTCCAAGCTGGACGAGTCGAAATTAGCACGGGGCAACCAGGAGAGCGGAGGAAAACATTACCTTCCAAGTGCCACGGCAGGGGGATGATGGACAGCAAGAAGCCAATGAAAGCAAACATAGAAAACACCCAGTTAGGATAAGTGAGGACTTCCGAGTCGGCCGACATATTGATAGTCCAAAGCGCCTGAGGAGAGCAGTATTGGAAGAGCGTCCGCGAGGTTTTGAAAAAGTGGAATTTAGCGGGGGATCGACAATTCAAGAATCACAACCCGCTTTAAGAGCAAAAACTCCAAATTTCCCTCGTTGTACAATTTTTGGACGTCCCCTTGTACTCGGCTACGACTGACGGTACGATGAACCGTTCATAGACCATTCATGATTACTCCAGATTGGGATGTTCATTTGATGATACTATATTGAGCATATCCTAGTTTGGACGTAAGCTTGTTCTGGGCCGAAAATGGAAATGACAAGGGGTGGCATGATTTTAGTGGAATATCCGATAGAAAGTCTTTGGAATAAAAAAGCACGTTGACTCGAACTAAAAATCCAGGGCACCCTCCATTATCGGCTAGACTTGAGTTTGTCGAGCGACTCTTCCAAACCGGAGCATCCAAAAACAGGTGCGATAGACGGAGATAAGATAACCATCGGGGGTCGAGGAGGAGGTGGGAATAGAAAGAATGACGGCAGGGATAAAAACAGCTGATCGGGAAACAATGTTTAGGTGTCCTTGTTCTGCAAAAAGTACAGTTTCTTCTAGTCTTCGAGACGTAAACGTCGCAACGAGAATGCTCACCTTGAACGATACCGGAACGATACTTGCTGATACTTGGTTGAGGGTGTTATAATATTTAGCTCCGTCCATGTATTGAATATCTGAACTCTGAACCAAATTTCGATGCAACAGGAGCAGCTAAGAATGTTGCCACATATGTACACTTTGGCATCTGCCAAATACGCTGACATTTGTTCGCGGGGTCCATAGCACGATTCATATGTGTAGTCGATTGAAGAAAGTGATAGATAGGTGGTTTTGAGCAACGAATTGAGGAAGAGCAAGAAGAGAAGTGGGCGTAGCGCGCCCCATTATAAACGCGACGGAATTAGCCGAACTCTTTTGTCTTTTCGCGTGGGAGGGGCGCCTTTTCGTTTGCTTTATTGTTCCCCTCTGGCCAATCCCAGAGTGCGATTACGATTACAGCAATTGATATTCATAGCGTAAGTACGGATCGATATGATACATGTACAGAAAAGAGTAGGGCTACAAATGAGAAGGAAAGGGGATATAAGCGATCGTCGAAATACATAAACGCATGGAAAAGAAGAGCAATGCTGAGTTTAAGATTAAAATGTATAGTAGGAAGAACGTGGTCAGGTAGTCTCTTGGACTACGGTCATAAAGATAGCTTCGTTCGAGGGTGGATGACTTCCTGCTCGCAAATATTTCCTAGCCTTGTTCAACGTGGGAGAAGCCGCCCTGCTCGTAGCATCCAGATGCTTCACACTATCCGGGACAGGACGGACACCGGGCCCTCGAAAAGGGCGTGCATAGTTCCTGACTCGGTCAAACGGACCATCATGTTCACCAAACACTGTGTCCGAATACGCAGGGGATTGATGGCCGACGCGGGGAGTGAACGGCGGTGGTGAACATGGAGGTTGAGGCCACGCAGCATCAAAAATGGAAGAAATGGTGGATTGTACGTCGTCTGGAACACTTTGAGGAGCGTTAAGTTTGACTGGTACCTGCGGAGTTTCCCTCAGAGCTTTATCGCCAACGCTTCTCGGTAGAGGCTTGTAAACATGTGGTGGGGGAATAAGAGGTGACTGAAGTCCAAGGGAATGAGCTGTAGGCGAGTGCAAATATTCCGCTGTATATGCAGAAAAGGCGACATCTTCTGACGTCGTAGAAGTTCGAACCGGATTCGAGGATGGCACGAGGGATCGTAAAGTCTTATCAGGGATTGGTGGAGGAGAATGGGGCGGAGGAGTTGGTGACGAGGGATAGTTCACAGGCGAAGTTCCTGAGCGCATGCTGGCAGTGGACGTTGGGGAGCGAGGGGTTGGAGACTTCGACTTCAAATCAATCATATCGTCCCAACCGGAAACGAAGTTTTCTCCTGGCTCAACCATCGTCGACGAAGGATCTGCAGCGCGTCTTCTAATACTGTGAAAGGATTAAAATTCAAACGGTATTGAAATTCGATCCAGCTCACTGTAATGGTAGCAGAGGCCTACTAGAGATGTGTAAACGAGGTAAACGAGGCTCGAAAGCCTTGAGCCATTTCGTTATTGATGCATAAACCTTTGGCGATGACCTCACTGCATCTCGAATATCTTCGCCCAGCACAATGGACAACCCGATATAGAGCCACGAAATCGAAGAGACGCTCCACCACGCAAATTCGATGGGGACAATGTCCACATCAGATTTGACTATCGCGATTACAGTGAAATCTCTATGAACCGCGGCCAACGAGACCCAAGGTATGATATTGGAGCGTATAAAGTTTCCAAATAGAGTTATGATCGTTGTTGCGCTTCCGAGGATCATCACTGTTGATGCACGACGAGAGAAATCAGGAAATGATGACATGGTGCTCGCTGAAGTGTGGGCATCGAAACTCTTGAAGCCACGGGAAAATTTATGAAAGGCTCGAGCTAGGAGTGGTCTGCATTAGGAATACGCATTCGAGATTCGAAAAAGAGGACTGACTCGTAGAAAAGAAAGCGACGCCGCCGAGCAGCATAGGAGGAAGTAACATTAGAACTATAGCTTGATTTGCTGGGTAAACAGAGGCGCTACAGCCAAAGTTTTCCAATATATTGAATCTGTGATCTTGAACGATGAAATCTGTACCCAGTGCACGTAAATAAACTCTTCGATACACGAGGATGTAGAAAAACTTACGGAGACACATATATAACACAGGAATAACAAAACAGAATAAACCGTCGAGAATGTATTGCAAACGTTTCGAAGAGGGTTTCTTCTTCTGGTCATCGTGGATGCGCGCGAGCCTAGTCGATATACAGATACATGCACCCGGAATAGCAACCACTAATCCTAACAGTACTTTGGTCACTATCGAAAAGAAATTTAAACATATCAGATTTGTGCGAGTTCGGAAGCCCAACGCAGAGTTTCTTACCCAGATCACACCAGCGAGGAACATGAATATCGGTATTTCCAGCCCAAACCAAACTATTGATTCCCTGAATGAGGTTGCACACCAGAAGCCAAAGAACGAGTGCAAGTTGTGCGACATCAGTTCGAATTCGAGGACCGGCGGCAAAGACGCCGAGAATGACGACGCAAAAGAAAGATACAATGGGTAAAGCAACGAGCATTATGATGAACGAAAATGAATGATTAGGAAAGGTCGGATTCAAGGTGGAGAAACCTCTCTGATATCATTCAACAGAGATGGAAATTGGTAGACGAGGAATGACTTGATGGGCACAATTCTTATAGCATAACAGTAGAAGGACTGTAGTCCTTGTACTCTTTACCTCCAGTTAATTACAGTAGCATGGAAGGCGTAACTCTGGTTTCTCATCTACCAGAGATACAAGTTAAGGCCTATTTTCGAGAACAAGGCGTTAATGACCACTTACCGTTCAAATTCATTTATTGAGGGGAATACATTTGTGCATTGTTTTTACACAAGCTAGTGTTCAAATTAGGTATTCCCTGGACCCTATCTAAATACCACCAGCGTAGCGTACCCCAAAATGGAAAGTAGAAAGGAAACACTTCTTTCGGAACAGACGCAGATAGTGGCTGTGCGAAAACTTTGCAGGGAAGGACGAAACTTCAAACGCAACTTCCATTCATGGCAATGATCACTTGCCAAAGAGTTGTCCCGACGTTGAAAAAATTCATGACGGAGAAACGCCGTCGCATGACTCTGAACAGCTCTGAACCTGGCGCTAGCAAGCGCTGCCAGAGTGCTAGTGCCAATAGCTACCAATTAATGTGCTATAACGAGGTCATGATTGACATCTTGCAAAACTTGAATGTAGGAATGTAAGATAAGAGGGTACTTGGAGAGTACTTGATGATCGCCAAAGGGTTCTCAGCATATACGATCGATATCTTCGTTGCAAGACCGAACCAAGAAACAAAGAGCGTCAAAAACATCGTGATAAAAAAGCAGAACTACTCACTAGGCTACCTCCCAAAATCATTCTCAACTCTGCACTGAGCACCCCTCGCGAACATGTATATCTTGCATACGTCGAAACCATTATAAATTTTTCCCTTCATCACATGAATGTGTAGAGATGTGTAGCCGACCCTCTTAATCATTCCAGGCGGTAAGGAATTATGAATGGTCAAGATAAGATTCCAGTCATCATTGAGAGAAAGAGAACGACGAGAGACTTGCCGCCGGCTTCTTCTCTGGTGATGGGATCGTGCCGGTAGCTGACCGATTCTTCTGCCACCTAGTATATTTCGTTGCTTTCTTATTCTTGTTCTTAAGCTAGCTTACAAGGTTGTCCGGTCCCAGGTATAAGAATAGAAATTATAGTGAGCTACAATCTGTTATCCAACATGGTAGTTGATGCAATTAAGAAAGTAAAAAGGAAAGGACAAGAGACTTGCAAGTCCTTGATGGTGATATACAATGCGGGAATAATCCAGACAATACAATCGATATTAGAAAGAAACTGATAAATTAACAACGACAGCAAACACAGCGACTGACGTTCCGGCCAAGTTTCAATCGAGCTTTAAGTATACACGGAAGGACGACGAATATTCATCATATAGTCGGAAGACGATCTTCTCGAGGCCCACGAGACGCAGAAACACTCGAAGACACCACCGGAAAGGTAAAGTCGTTGCATACAAAACGTGCACAAAGAGGAGAATGGGTAGAGTCATGATTGAGACCATCACGAAGAATGGCCGGGAAATTATTGGTTGCACTGTAGATCCGGGAGAGGTAGGAGGAGACTTCACGACGACGGTTTTGGGGCGGATAAGGGTATTGTTGCTCTTCTGGCGGTCAGTATGGATCTCCATTAGTTCGGGAATGGTCTCCAATTTTGTCAGGACGGGAGATGAAGCGCCGGGATGACTGGGAGAACGGAGCAGATGCTTGTATGTCGCTGGCGACGGAGATCCATTTGGAGATAATGATTTTATAGAAGATTTAGAGGGGTGTGAACCTAGGAGGGATGCTGGTAGTTGCAGGACATACTCCAAAGCCTTCTCGTGCCTTTTGACTATCTTTTCGACTGAGTCTACCTGCTCGTCAACGTAATCATACACCTCGTTCGTCTCCTTCGCTAGTTTCTTCTTCAACTTTGTTATCAACTTTTCCATATCCTGCATTTGTTCATGAAGCCGCTCCAGCTGCTGTTTCATTTCCACAATACCTTCTGAACTTCCTTCCTTCACTGAGGAATGATAGTGTACGATGTCGTGCAAGTCAGTGACGCGCTGATTGAATCGTTGAATGAGATGGGACCATGGTCGAACCCCGGTGGCGAGAATGAACAAGCCGATACTAAACCAGGAATGGATGTCCTGGCCAGTAACAGAAAAAGTAACATAACGGAGGAGATAGGCACCGAGGAAGGGAGAGACGACCGCGAAGGAAAAGAAGAGGAACTCGAGGAAACGAAGCTCGGACGAAGCGCGCCTTGTATAGAAATCTTCCGCAGCAGGCAGACTAGTTGAATGCGGCCGAACTCGTGGTCGAGCATTGTAATATAAAGTCCAAGGAACTGAAGAAAAAGGATGAACAGATGCAAATTTGTGTGATGATGCTATACACATACTTTCGATGATTTGGTGTAAGTAAAAGACTAAGAGCAGGACAAAAAGGAGGTTCTTTATGTGATCGCCACCGGTGAGCCACTGCCCCACAGGCGATACCAGTGCTGCAACAACAGCCAAATCGAATTCGTACCAAGAACGAGCTTTGGCGGGATGATGAGCCAAAGGTCTGCGTTCGGCATAGTCAGAATTGAGACCAGGGTTTTGCCCTCCATCATCGTCATTAGCACGAGGAGTGAATGCAGACCGCCTGGGGCTGCCATTCCCTTCAGTCCTGCTGGATTCCGACTCAGTTTCATATTCCCCATCTGTTGGACCTGCCACCTCCACCTCATCATCATCACTGCCATGGATATCCTGAGGTGTCTTTGTTGCCACTGGCGAGCCCTTGCCCTTTTCAATGGAAGAATTATGATTCAGGTTTGACAGGGAATGAGCACGCTCGAGAATGTTCATTCGACGCCGAAGAGTCGAACCGGTGTTGGGTATTGAAATCGAATTAACGTCCTCCATGAAAAAATCACTAACAGGAAAAAGGTAAAAGAGAGGAAGGAAAGACCAAAATCCAGTTTGACAATTATACAAGGCGGAGAATCAGTGGCTATCAGTGGCGTGTTGTGTTTCCTCCAGCGCCTATGGGGCCGGGCATCACAGGCGCTAGTCGACCTCAATTCCACATCAAGGCTCGAGACTAGTTGAGAATCTTATCTGAGAGAAGAAAGGAAAGGAAGGTAAATCAAAGAACAGTCGGGGCCCGTTGAATCTGACAAAGACGTAGGCGTATCGATTTCCTCCTAATTTTTTGATCCCTCGCATCCATGCGGCGGCGGGAACGATTCGTCCAAGACACACGATTGCTTTCCAATCCACTGCGCTACGGCCGCGCGCAGCTTGTATCACAGGTTCGTGCTTCTTTTCTCTCGTTTGTCTTACCATGAGGTTTTCGAACCTAGTTGTATACTTCGGATTAATTCTCAATGGTTTTCGTCAAATTTACAGCTACTCAATCACATGTTAGTTTGAAGAATACTCTATGCAGCATACCGTTCTCCCCCACTCGCATGCAGCCACCTCGTTGAGAATTGCGCAGTAGGTCGATCCCGTTCCGGTGTATATATTGCTTCCGTTGTCTGACGACCAAATTTCTCGCGTTGCTGTCTGTTGCCAGGTATCTCGTGCCACAACACAAGTCCGTACACAAGTATAATGATACTAATTCCAAAGCTGCATCACAACCACTGGCCAGAACTTATGGACAATCTATTTCTAGCATCTCTTGTGATTCTTTCTACTGCGCGGATGCAACCGCTCGATGATTTTGGTTTGCGTTGAGACATCTTTTCCGGTTTAACAAATTACGGGTTCGAGGTCGACTCGGAGGTAAAGAAAAATGTATAAAAGCTTCAAGCCCTGCGGAAGAAGAACAATTTATACACCCTCTCTGGTATTCTCTCCTCCCTTGGTCCGACATGCACTCGACATTCATTCATCTCCTTTCCTCTATCGTAATCGCTACTGGCCTTCTTCGGGTCCATGCAGCTACCTACACCCAATCAACATCATATATAGGAAATGACTTTATCAGTGGCGATTTTAATTTCTTCACGGCCGCTGATCCCACAGCAGGACGGGTGTATGTTCTATTTATCTACCTATCACCGTCTTCGTCCACTGAATCAGACGAAAAAAAATATAGAACTTATGTGGACCAAGCAACTGCAGCTGCTGCCAACTTGACCTTTGCCACAGACGATGTTTTTGTCCTTCGTGCGGACGATACTACAGTCCTCTCTGCAAGCGATCCCGGCAGAAAGTCTGTTCGACTTGAATCTGTGCTTACGTTCGGGAGCCCATCAGCTATGGTGTATGTGCAGATCAATAAATTACTGAATGATACCCGCGCTAAGATGAGATACAGACTCGATATCGCACACATGCCTGAAGGATGCGGGTATGTTTTTCTGTGATTATTGCCGTCCATGCTGAAGTTCTGATTGCAATATTTCAAGCACCTGGCCAGCCCTTTGGACATATGGCCCCAACTGGCCAAGTACAGGCGAGATAGACATCATGGAAGGAACGTTCAACTCTTATCTCAATAATGATTGCGGGACTGATTTGAGAAATCATATTCAGGCGTGAACAACCAAAATAATAATCAAGGTACTTTACACACAGGCCCATGTAAGTGACTTTTATCAAAGAGGATATTCTGGAACCTCAGACAGAACGTATAGCCTGCACTATGCCCGCCAGTCGCACCCAAACCGGTACTGTGCTGAACGACGACTGCGCTGCTGCAGATGATGGAAACGATGGATGTGGTGTTGAGTTTGCTGCCAACACATTCGGACCTAGTTTTAACGCTGCTGGAGGAGGATGGTGTGTCACCGTCATTTCCCCCCGTTCTATCGCGCTATGGAATTAATTTCTCGTTACCATCATCATGTAGGTTCGGAATGGAGAGGACATCTACCTTTATCAGTATCTGGTTCTGGCCGCGTGGCTCCACTACGGTCCCCGCCGGTGTATCAGAAGGAGACACTGAAGTCGTTACCGACAACTGGGTGAGCAGAGGAATATTGGCTCCGGTGTACGCGGTATAACTCACGCATGTGTTATTTTTGTCAGGGTACTCCCGTGGCTTATTTCCCCAACACCGATTGTGACATTGCATCTGAATTTGAGGCCCACAATTTTGTAATAAACCGTATGGCTTTTTACCTGTAAATTTCGTGCTCGGCTGACAGTTCTGCCCCAGTAACGTTCTGTGGTGATTGGGCAGGAATCACTAGCGTTTGGGATCTTGCTTGCGCTGCGAGTACGGGAGTCTCTGATTGCAATGGTGGGTTATCACTTCGCAGATCTCATTCCATTGACTGATATTAATATTTGTTGGTCAGACTACGTCAATGCAAACCCCTCCGCTTTCAGCAATGCATATTTCGAGATTAATTCTGTTAGAATCTACGAATGAGCAGCTCATGCAGTGTGGTCCTTCATCGTTAGATTGGAGCTCATCGTGACTCGTACAAATCGTTCAGCCGGGTGCTGATGTTGTAAATTTATAAATGTGTGTAATTGATAGCTACGTATGTATACAAAAAACCAAACTACCACCGATTAAGTATGGGCCGGCGAATTACCTGTTGACGAAAGTGTATGGATAAATAAAACAAGGACCCAGCATATTCAAGCATATGAAAACAAGCATACGAAAACATATGAATAAGGTAGAGTGATGTCGACGATCCGAGTCGGGAGCTCCAGATATCACTAATCATCTTCTGCTACTAACGCCGCTATCTCGTCGTTTTCCATCTTCAAAAGGTCCATTAGATTCTCCAAGATCCAAGCACCATCTTCCGGACCCTCGTGATTCTGCAGTGTCTCTTCATCGTCAGTCACATACTCGCTCAGGCTACTTAGACCAGGGCTTGCCAGATCATCAACGCCGTTACTATTCCGGTGTTGCTGATTTTCAGCCATCTCACGGGCCATCAGGTCGCGGACGGCTTCATCCAAAGCAATGCAAGCTGCAAGGGAAGAACACTCCGCATCGTTGAAGGATCGGGAACGGCGTACGACTCGGGCACGAGGTTCACGAGCCCCAGGAATGCTTGTGTTGGCGGTATTGTGGAGCGAGTGTGCAAAGCGGGGGGCAGCAATCGTAGCGACACTCGGAATGGGTCTGATCGTGCGTCGGGATCGATGAAGTGAAGCAGTGGCGGTAGGATTTGAGGAATTTTCAGTTGAGGCCAAAAATGAAGGGCGTTCGACCTCTTTGTCCAGTCCCAAAAATTCCTTCGCATTATTCCGCGAAGTGCGATTATGCACAAGACTTCGCACCTTCTTCAGCAGTGTCTTTGAGAAACTCTTCTTCGGTTTCTTGTCCACCCCTGCGGCGGCCTTGACCTCCTCATGCTCAGCTATCCGATCGATTCGCGCCGACGCGGGAAAGAAGTCGGCCGCATCTGAATGTCGTACTTTGCGCGCGGGTGGAGTAAATGTAACGGTGGTATAGGTGCTGGTTACAGACGAGCAAAATGTGACCGCGTCGGAGGAGAAGTCTTCTCCAACACAAGCCATGTGCCGGTTCAAGGACCTGTCGCTGGGAACGCGACGGGCATGAGTGAAGCGCCTTCTGGAAATAGACTCAGATGAAGAGGGAAAATGCACCGACATGGTAGATGGCAATATCTGATCCTATGATGAGCAGGAGCCTCATAATATATAGAAGTGTCGCTAATTCCTAAATAGGCTTGCAGCGAACAATGGAGAAAATGGCAAAGCCACGCGAGGTTCAAACTGTGTTCCTTCTTGATTCATTGTCCGTAGAATTGGCCACCCGATTGTGGCAGCGAGCACATTGACAATCTGGAAAAACCAAACCATAGAGGTAGACAAGTCATCAATTGACGTCTAACAAAAGTCTGCGAAATGTGAATATTGGTTGGAACATTGAAAAGGCTGGTGTTTGGTCGACGAAGAGATCAACAGTGTTCCTTATGATAATATGTAGTCGTCAAGTCGAGGTTATGCTTGAGTTAGTAGAGCCCAAGAAGATCCGAGAAAATCATTCTGGACGAAAATCAGCTTCAGGCCGAAACCAGTATTAGCTGTACTACTTGGAGGATAATGTAGCATTATGCAGCCCCAAGATAGATGAATAGAACAAGCCTGATCATGAGGATGTCGCAGAATAACGCGGAATACTTGAACTACAGCTGGCGCCAATTTTGCAACGGATCCGCTTTCGGTCGGATTTGACTCCCGGACCGAGTCTCTTGCGACGTTTCTTTCTCACTGTCAGTTCCTGTCCTTCCGTGCAGCCCCGGTATTTATCAACGCTAGCAAACTGTTAGTATTCTGGATCTGTTATTCCTGTGTGTATTCAAATAACTATACTCGAGGTTTCGTTCCGAAACTTGAAAAGATCAAATGAATCATTTCGATACGTAGTGCGCCACATTCATATTCTGGAACAGCTTTACTTGAACTTGAGACTCCAAAAAACAAACAATCTGAAGATACAGAAAGGTGTTGTGAATCTTGATCTTCTCAGTCTATACATTTATAGACTATGCTAATACTTGGCACCGCAGCTGCTTACTTTCAGCTACTTTCCCGTTAACGAACTCTATCATGTATATAAAATCCCTAGCACATGTCAACGTCAACCCGTTTGTTCCCTCCAGAGCTGTACAGCTCGGTACCTGGGAGCTCGTAAAGTAATGGCTGATCTGTCCAGCAAGAAATTCACGTATAAATCGAGCCGGGAGCTTTTGCTCCCCACATTATAATGTGTATGTTTCTCCTCAGCTTTATTTCGTTTTTACATGCTGAAAGTGCGTTGTACCAGGGAGAACGCTCTATCGTGTTCCAAATCCTTCCATCATCGTTCTACTGCTATTTTCTAGCCTACTTCATTCCACATCGGCTTCCACGAATTTCGCTCAATGCTTGCAGGATATTCAACAAGGAAAGTTTGGGCCTAACGCCGGCGTTGACAATTATGGCCGCTCAGTTTCAGATATTTCCCTGGCGACTGCTATTCCCTATGAGATGTGTGTAACCGCGTGTGGAGGGGGGTCCGAAGCATTCACTTGGTCAGATTTCTCAAATCAATTCAGCGCATGGTTACTTCCCTGGCTTGCTCTACTCTCACAACTTCCTTTTGGGGCGAACGACAAGCTGGAGAACTTCCTTGTCGTCGTCCTTACAATTGGTTCACCAGTCCTCGCAGCATACTCTGCGGCGCTGACGGTCCTGAATGGTCGATGGATTGTTCGTCGCTTCTCAGGCTCTACGTATCCCAACACATATCGTGCAATTCGCACATTAAGCAGCTTGCAACAAGCACCCATCCAACTTGACTTTGATCGGGAGGTGCTTCTACCTTCGTTGATCGTCCTTCCTGAAAACGATTATTGGTGGAAAGACCTACTCGAGCACTTGAATTATACCCATACCTGGTCAATATCCGCTGCCACGTCTATCGCTTGGGTTTTCATTGCCTATCTGTTCACAGTGATCCAATCACTTTCTGATGTCCTACAAGGAGTAGAAGTCAATGGACAGGCAGTGGGCTCGGTTTGGCTTTGGCTCCTCCCTGTCGTTATCGCATGGTTGCAAATATCGCCAAAGTGCGATAGTATTCGGGTAGCAGATGCTCTTCGACGAGCAAACAATATCGCATACGTTGCAACACATACTGGAATCCGAAGGAGGGCTAGTCAACTAGGTAATCATCATGCAATTTCTCTTCGAGAGGATTATGATCCTTTGTACAATGACGAACGGTGCACATCTCCCATATACAACTATGCCCGAATATTCTCCTGGACCGCCGTTGTGGAAGAGATTTCAGGATACTTTTACGAAGCGACCAGGCGTTCTCACCTCTTACAGCCTGTTGCTTCGGAAATGGAATGGTTGCCCAGCGACCGCAATGGTGTAATGCGAGACGAAAACCGTATCGGTAATGCAACCGAAGTCATTTCCTACTGCCTACCATTCTTTCCCCGACGGTATCAGTGGGGGTCCGGAGTATGGGGTAGAATTATCGTTGCCTCTATCCTAGCTCTTATTCTGCAGTGGGGTACTACTGGGGCTGCAATTTTTGTTGTATGGGAAACACCCACTCGTGGCCTTGGATGCCGGTCTGGGAGTTATCTCATCTATGCTTTCCTCTCCACCGTCGTCTGGGCTTTACTTCTTCTTTCAAGTGTCCTCGCGCGTTACTCCACATTTGACTATGAATCCCGCGACCCTCGAGAAATAGAAAAGCATCATGTCCGTGCCAACCTCGCTGGCACGATGTCCATATTCACACGTCGAGTCGGGAAAACTGTTGCAGCAGTGAATGCTACCTGGATTCTGGCGACTTGTATCTTCCAATTTAGCGCCTTTTTTGACCGATGCTACTGCGACAGTAGTGCGCTAGGTCTTGGAGCTGCAAAGGCATTCAACGTCATACAGTTTACTCCAGAGGACCTCGAATCAATGCGGGGATCATGGATCGGAGGAGTGTTCCTTGCGGTCGGTTGTGCAGCTATCTATGTTGGTTTTATAAACATCTGTATTAATCCCCATATACCCCCTAGTATCAAGCGTGAATAATGTTTCCTATAAATTAACGGTGCGTTGAATTTGTCGCGTTTCCCGCTCTGTATTATCCATATGTATTCTATGTACGAGTTAATGATTTGTTATAATTATATTAGTGTCAAGAGATGCTTTTTGCCTCTGAAATATGACCGTCGACGAGTCAAAGTCTTGAAGTTCTTCGGCAAGGCTAATGCGAACGCACCAATTCCCACGGAACGTCTGCTGATCAATACTACCCACATAGTAGACGGTTTGCTTATTGGCGCACTCAATCATGTCAAGACGTAGACTTGATCCAAAGCTGTTGAGACCAAGCTAGGCTATAGATGCTTTAGTGTGGACAAGTGTCATCCTGGCAGCTGCGTATTCCGATTCACTTTCCTAGATTACTTTGTCCTGATGTTCATAGCCGCATCACCCTCCATGCATTCGAAATTCAGGTCCACAAACTCTGCACGATGCTGCGTCTTAGGATCCAAATCTGTTCTTGATTGATCCTTGACGCGAAGTTAAGGACGGCTGCTTTTCGAACATGAGGATGTAATTTAGGTTCCGAACCATATCATTGTCAAGCTGGCTGGCCAGCCATATCAAACCAGTTCCGCGTCCTACTCTCCTCGCTATCATTTGTGCTCCGAATCCCCAAGAACGTCCTTTCTGTTGTCCTTTACGTTGGCTCTCCTTGTTCTCTGCTGTCGTATTCTGCGGCCCTCAGGGTATTGGATGTGGATGGAACGTATCGCTTTTCATTGTGGTACTTTAGGCGCATAACTTAACACGTGTTGCTCAATTCGAATGCTACGAAGGCTGAGACAATCGAATTTGGCCCAGAGTAGCGCTCATAGGCTGCTTGGTCCTTCTTCCCGATAATGATGGTTGGTGGAAAGATTTCAGTATCGCCTCCTCCGTGGCCAGGGATCGAAAAATCTTATGGCCGACGTTTCACTTTCTATCATTCGCTCTCAGTAAATGCAAATGAAAGATTTGGATTAGTTGGTTGTCCTCGGTTTGGCTTTGGCTTCTCCCTCTCGTCGTGGCATCACTGATATTGATATCATCGGACAGATGCGATGCTATCCATGCAGAGGATCGCGCTCGATTAGGTCCTTGAGTGTGAAAAATGTAGTCGTCGTCCATCTCCCATGTTGTTCCGGCGATTTTTCTCTTATGAAACACGGTCACTCGTGGCCTAGAATATCGTTTTGGGCAGGATTTTGGGATTTATTCAATTCAATCTTCCCTTGTATTTTTCCCTCCTTTTATCAAACGTCTCTACCTGCATGCTCGTTCGACTAAATGCGTTTATTCATGCGAAACACGGGTCAACTTCAGGAATACTTCATTGAAACCTTTTCTGATTGATACATCAAATGCGCTACAGGCTACATACAGACTGTGCAAAGATAATAGAGATAAATAGAAAGCGCTAGTCACCAATGAAGGCGAAATGGAAGGAGAAACGGGAACTGGTAGCGCAAGGATACATAATGCAAGCAAGGAGTGGTGAAAGTAGGAGAGAAATAACAGAAAGAAAGAGCGGCGGGTAGTACACAGAGGCAGATGTGGTCAACTGTCAAAGTGACCATATAATTGGGTAGGAATACTGAAAGTTCGTCAATACGTTGTGGGGGAGCCAAGGTCCTGTAATTACTCACCGAGTCAATGAGAATCCGAAGAAGTTTTGAGGACGGCGGGAGTCACGATGATAAATGTGAAAAGAGATACATGTGGGAGTGCCCGTTTGAAGAAGTTTGTTTGCCTAACAGAAAGATAATCAGCGGTTAAAACAGTGGTAGCTTGCACAGAACGAACGTACACACACACTATGAAATAACGCAGAAGGCGATGGCGTCTCCACCACCTGCCTCTGAGTTCACAGGTACAGAAGCATGATGTTCGACATCGTTGAGGGCGAGAGAGCCATCGTCGGAGGAGGTTGAAGTTGAGAGGAGAGCGTCGAATGAAGTGAACGAGTCCATTGAGGAAGATCGGAAAAGACTTAGATAGTAAAAGTGCGATCTAGGCTAGGAGTTTGATATTTCAATGAGTTGATTGAAAGATTTCGACTTCAAAAGCAAGAAGGCTAGTTCGTGTCTTGACTCCTATTAATCGTAGCGTTTTATAGCCTCAAAGTCCCATTGTACCTCGATTTTGACAACAATGAATGGCCCCCAAGCGGCCATTGTCCAAAAATCGCAAGAACCAATCTTTTGTTTTCAAATCTTGTCCCATCGTGCTTTTCATGATCATATACATCTAGCCTAAACGAAGAAGGGATTGGGGGAGGGTAGAGCGATATTGAGAGTTCGTTGAAGAGTCGCCCATGAGCATGAACGCTTGAGCGGGAAGCCTCATTGAACAAGCGCTCGACTTGACCCATTATGTTCTCTTCACCTTAGCAATTTCTTAGAGTTTTAACACTGAAAAATGACTTCGATTTTATGTGCGAATCGGAAATTGTAGGCCTAGATGCCACACATCGCGGAAAAGAGAAACAGAAGGGCATGCGCAATTGAGACCAGCCTGCCGCTCCAACCTGGCACAAGTGACAGCGAGAAAGTCGGGCCGAGTCGCGTGCGTTGAAGGAAGACGCCCGAAGTCTTAGTACTACTTTCCAGCTAGTTTCTCTACTAAAGCCTCTCACTTATTCTTATTCATTTGAGAGGTATGAAAATTGGTTGGATAGAAAAGATGTACAGGCTACAAAAAAACTAACTGTGGCAACATATAGAGCATACAAATTTAAACCAATGGGCAATCTACTGATGAAAACGAAGAAGGGTAGAGAAGAATTAATGCTATCAAGGAGCGTAGGATCGAGTGCCGGATACAGTAAAAATAAAATCAAGCAAGGAACGACGGACAGAGTCGACTATCAAAGTGACCCAGATAAAGAAATGCACAGCGACCCTGGGTGCTATCGAACAGATTGTTAGCCTCAAACAATCTGTTTTGCATACAGACTCACCTAACGGTTGAACGTTGATTAACCAAAGGGGGAACAGGGCGCACAGACGGAGTATATGAAGGAATCGAACACTGAGTCAGCTGTCAGTTGGTTTTCTAAATGGCTAAAGACAGCAAAATACTGACTAAGGTTCATTAGGATATCACGCAGAAGGCAGTGGCGTCGCCGGCACCTATTGCTTCAGAGTTGACTGGAACCGGCGAAGTAGACTCGTGTTGGGCCTCTGGTAAAGACGCGTTGCCAATACGCAGGGCGCGGAGGACGTCTAGCTCGGTGTCAATCGGCACAAGAGAGGAGGATTCAATGAGGGTACTAAAGGAGTCCATCGGGAGCAAGTTTGAGAAGACGGTGGGTTGTTGTGAGTAGCTGGGGAGGCTTTCGGTGTTGAACTAGGTTAAACTACTGTGCGAATGCAGGGGTTTGTTCGAAACATCGCAAAGCTTATATATCATGCGTTGTATTTTAGACAATGGAGAGGAATAAAGGAACATGAAGGCCGCTCATTGTTCAAAATTTTCCAAGCGGTTCATTCAGGGGTTCATCTGACTTCATTGTCTGTCATGATCATTGTCCTCCGTTAAATATCCCCATCCTCCCCATCCTACCCTCGAGAATCACACAGTAATACTCACACCTTCGACGATTTTTACAGGAACAATAGATAGTCGTTTCACGTTAAGAGTACAGAAAATACATAGGATATTCATACAGCAATAGCACAATGTACATGCTCGTAGAAAGCATCTGGTAGCAATTCAGGAGGGTAGTGTTGCGTCAAAGGACTAGGGCATAAAGTAGACGAAGAATCAGAAACGGAATATTTAGCGGGAGATACAGGTGACGAAAGAGTTGTAGTGTATGCTGGTGGCGGGCGGTGTAGCTCGATAGTATTACAACCGTTTTTAGAGAGTGACGGAGTAGAGGGCAACTTCAACATGTGCTTTGACTTTTGCCGAGAATATCTAGACGGAAGGTCAGTCAGGAGGAAAATAGGAATGAAGGCCGAGGTGCGTATACTCACGTTTGTACATCGGAAGATTTAATGCCTGCAAAACGAAGAAGTGCACGGTACCACAGAACATAATGTCGCCGGGCCTCTTCTGCAAAACCAAAGAACGCAAAGAAGATGAGCGCGCAAGCGACGGAAGCCCAACGAGTAAATAGTATTCCCATAACAAATAGTGGGTCAGCGTCGTAGAGAACGGAAGGGTATTGGGCCACTCGGGAGAAGTCGATATGCGTATTGGCGAGGCTGATCCAGGGCTGAACCGGAGATTGCGTAGCGCTGAGCCAGATGAGTAGAATAGTAAGGGGAAGAGTGCAGATCATTTCCGTCATAGCAAGAGCCATCAGTCTGAAATATCGGCCAAAGGAGAGGGTTTTGTTGCTTGACATGAACTGTGCGAATTCCAGTCGTCGCATGGCGAAGGCACGTAATGAAAGGACTGTCAGACATTGTTAATGTTAGTAGTAAGCAGAGTATCGATTTCAGACACTTGCCACAATAGACAGCAGAGGCAATACCGAGAAGAATTGTCCACGAAAAGGTGATGAAGTACGTTGGTATGGTGTTATATAATGCGGGCATGCAGCCAATGTCTTCGTAAATGTTGAAGCGATGTCCTTGAACGATATACTCTGAGGATAGGTTTAATTAAGTCAAACTTGAAACTAGAACTGTGACTCACGCAATGCTACATATACCAGGGGCCATAAACCACAGAAAAAGCCGTCGATAACGACAGCTCGACGTTTCTAGAAGACGGAATGTCAAAGAAGAGGAAAGGATGTCAAAACATATCGAACCTCTGCGTAGGTAATCGAAGCACTTCGAATAGCAGCTATACTATACAACCGTCTGACGATACAGAACGACGCTGCCGGAAGGGCTACAGTTGTAGCCATCGTAATGCGTATTGCTGAAAGACAATAACGATCAGTAGGTGAAGGGGGAGTATGAGCACAATGCTCGTACATATCTCACACCACACAGGTGCAGAGTTTATCACGTTGCCCTTCCATATCAAAGAGTTCACGAATTGATTGAGGCACGATATAGATGCCCAAAAAATGTAAAAGCACGTCCCCGAGTTCCATGCCTGAAAATGCCAAGGGAGGGGAATCAAAGGAAGGACGAAGCCAAAGAAAGCGAAAATTGGAAAGAGGGGATAGTCGAGATTGGCCATGGCGAAATCGAAATGTTTGACTCAACGCGACGCGAGACCACAATAGCCAGGAAAGAGGTGGCGAGAGACAAATGTGGGTTGGTCAAAGTCCATTGTGGTCTAGTATAAGTATGAGATGCGTCCCTTTGTGGTCGAACAATGGTTTATTGATCAAGGGAGGACAATGGTCGGAGTTTCAATAGATCGGCACAAATTAGGCGCCTAGAGAAATAGACGCCCTCAGCAGAAGAGATACCAGTGGAATCTTTGCTCGTGCGCTCATGATCATGCCTATCCGTAGCTTTTATTTTACTCAACGAAGTAAGCGCGATCGCTATCTATCGCGTCCATGAGTATCTGTTGCGCCCTGGTAATCCCCAATATCTATCCTCTTTCTCACCAACCTCTACAAACTGTCTAAATATCGGAGCCTGAATAATACTTGCTCAATGCTAAGACACAACTGAATGAGATGGTAACCATATCCTGCACTTACTTCAATTTGTAGTAGCCCGATACGATGTGAGCTTCTTCTTGGGCTTAAATAATCGTCATGCATCTTCGCCTCTACCGAAAATCTACCGAAAATCTTGCAAAATTTTACATACACGCCCCATGAACTATTCCTCCAAGGCAATGGTGGATTCGAAGACTTCAGCAAAAAAATTCCATTCGGAATATCGGGTCCACCATTAGTAATACATTCTCAACACAAGCCTACAAAGTTGGATTATGGGTTTAGCGTTGATCAAGATTGCATCGATCTTCATAAGCTCCATGATAGTCTCCGACCTTTTACCTCGTCCGAAGCTAATAGTCCCTTCTGGCTGTACAAGTGCAGAGATACCTACGAGATTCCGCCGTTCCTAGAGAGGCAACAGCGGCCGCGTTAGTTTCGTTTTTCAGTCCATGAACTATCTTAGACCATCTTCAACGTGGAAATATCAAGTCAACGACCCACAAAGACTACCCTACTTGAACTCCCTAGTCTTCAAATACACCCGTCGTAATGTACAAGCTTCAAATCAGGCTCAAATTCGATGGGACAGCCGTCAATAGCAGCACAATACACCTAGTATTCATCAAGAGTTCATACTCTGCGAGAGTCCAGGACATTCGCTAACTGAAGGTTCATACAGAGGTACATATGATATATGCATTGCATTATAAATACAGGACAAGATATGTGGAATCGGAGGTACGGGAAATCTGAGGAGGTATGCGAAGAAGATCTGAAGACAAGCAATCAATCAATGCAAAACACAGTCGTGAAGTATGTAGCAAGTGCGGCGTCACCAGGATCTATACCGAACGTTCGTCGAACATGTATGTAGTAGAACTAATAAGCAACCGTGAGGAAACTGGGAACTGTGACTAAGATAAAGACTGTATAGTGTGGTATAGTACGGTATGAGTTTTTGAAATGGTATGAGATGATGAGCATGATCAAGTTGCAAGGTGAAACTACGAATAAGCAGATGATAGATGATGAGAATGCGAACTACGCGAGGGGGGCGAAAAATAGGAGGAAGAGGATGACGAGGAGATTACAGCTAGTGATACAAGCGGTGCGAGAGGACGCAACGTGGAAGATATAGATAGATCAAACATGAATCGTCAAATAGTGGCCGGTCGTGAGGCCTAGAAAGACCAGTCATCGGTGATTGGTGTCGTGGAATAATGCTGGTAAATGAGTGGCAGAGTAAAGATGTGCGGGTTTCGTCCTCGTCGTTATGGCGGTGGCGGAAGGCAAGGCAAGGCAAGGCAAGACATGCATGCCAAACATAGAATCAAACGAACCGATCTGATCTATTTTGAGCTTTGAGGGCTTTTCGTTTTTTGAATACGTCGCTTAGGTCTTCCAGGAATGAAGAAGACCAACAATAATGTGATAATACAAACATTGAAATTCCGTCGTGAGATTCAATCTCATAGGGACTCTCGAGACGACTGCGTGTGGACAGTAACTATTATCCCAGTGGAATCGTTCGCGTGGCTAGTGATATGGGGATGAGCGATTGGATACACGCTGGGTGGGGAGAATGGTCTGTGGAACGATAGAGCGGGGGGCGGAGGAACTGGAAGCTGCGAGGGAACGAAAGGGACTGGGGTCGGTGCCCGTGTATAGACGTGATGCATGACGGGAGACGTTGGACGAGAGTCCATATACGCATCAGTTATCGAGATATCATCCTCGTCCTCCCGAGCTTCCCGGTGTGAAATCATAGAAGAATGAGAATATGACGATGGCCGGCTGATCTCCTCCACAATCATATCTGGGAGTGTCACCCACGAAGCTTCTCTGGAAGAGTGTAAGCGGGTCTCATCTTCGCATTTGTTCAGGGCAACAGCAGCAGCATCAAGATGTTCAGAATCGACGTAGGATGGAGGGGCGGTACTTGAAGCCATAGGCGTACGTGGGGTGGCTGGGGCATAAGTAGACGTTGACGACGATGGTGAACAAGGAACATCGTGTGAAGTCCGAGTAGAGAACGATTTGCGGTATGGACCTAATTCGACATCGTCATCATCAGGAAAGCAGATAGTTGAGCGGGAATCGGCTTCGGTGAAACTCTTTCTGGCCTTTTCGCGCGCGGAAGGCATAACGGGAGTTGCTGGTGGTACGTAGACAGGAAGCGTATCTTCGTCGTTTGAATTGATTTTGAACTTGTTTAGTCTGAATCGAGGAGGTCAAATGTGGAGAGGCACAAAAAGAAATGAAAACACGTACCCAGCAAGCATGCTACCTTTCCCGTTTTTTGATCTTCCCTCTGACGAAGGACGGAAACCCAGCGGCATGGCGAAAAACCAGAATGCGCGGCGGTAGTTTTTCATCGCTTCTTCTGCGAATCCAAATAGCGCGAAGAAGATGAAGGCGCAAACAATGGGGAGCCATCGATTAATTTGGACAGCAGTGTAATTTGACGTGTTGCTACGCCAAACAGCAGAGGGGATTAAGACCACTCGATTGAAATCGAAGTGTGTATCGTTCCAGGATATCCAAGGCGCTAATGGCACTCCATCTAACCCAATGAAGATGATATAGATGCCTACAGGTATAGTACACATAATGTCGATCAGGGCGAGGAGCATTAGTCGAAGATAGCGACTTGGACTAATGGTACTGTTGGCGGAAACGATCTGAGTGAACTGGAGACGTCGTATGTAGAAAGTTCGAAGCGTGAGGCCTAATGGGTTGACAATTGTTGAGTATTCTTCTGCGAATAACGGGAGAGAGAAAAGGCGCACTTGAGTATACAAACGAGACCAGACCAATGAGCACAGGCCACATATAGTACAAGAAGTATGCCGGAAGAGTATTGTACGTAGTAGGTGAACACCCATATTCCTCAATTATATCGAAACGGTGACCTTGAACAATCATATCTGAAGGATGGGTTTGTTGAGCGCGGGAAAAAAGGGACTGCGACGCGACATACGCAAAAGAAGCACCAAGATAGGCAGTCCGACCGCGATAGCTACATCCTCATAGATTGCTCGCCGTTTCTACTCGTGCATGATCGGTAAATGGAAGTAGATCGGAAACAAAAGCACATACATCATCACGCGTGATTGATACAGTTCGGGTGGAAGTGAGACGGTATAACCGTCGACTGATGCAGAGGGTGGACGCCGGAATACCGACGCCAGCACCAGCTATGATTTGGGACGCTGAAGCGCACTCAGCGATGGGTACAAATCTGAATATAGACGAGTAACGCACTGATATCGCACCACACGGGGATACTATTTATTGCATTGTCGGCCCAAATCAAGGAGTCGATGAAAAGTATCAAGCAAAAGCATCCAACCCAGAGCATGAAGGCACAAGTGCCGGAGTTCCATGCTTGAAAATGCCACGGTAATGGGATTACACTGAGTGCGAAACCGAGGAAAGAGAGAATAGGAAAGAGAGGAAACGTTGGATCGGAAGTTTGCATGGCGTGGATGTAAGTCAAATCCAACGGGCCAGCATCATATAGCCACTTTTCAAGTTCAAAGTCCCTTTGTTCGCCCGTTTAGGTGAAGGCATTGTGCACAAACAATGGGGAATGTTGATGAGGAACAATGAGCTATTGTAACGTGAGAAGGTGGTAGCTTCGGCGAGTTTGCCGAGCTTCCATCTGTCGGAGATCGAATATTACTGAGGTGCCGGTTAGCCTTTCCTCCCCTTTCCTGCTAATGGGACGATTTCATCAACTTGCATGTTCTAAGGAGTAAACGACGGGTCGATGCGGGGTCCTGTCTACAGGCTGTATATGATATAGATTTCTTAGGAAGGGAGGACCGGCTTGGTCCACTTACAGGGTTTTGCATAATTTCGTGAACAATCGAGTTTTTTTCTTTTTGCGGTCCGTATATATCCGTTCCCAATTCGGAATATCTAAACGTGATGTGACCCCATCCCTCCTCAAAAAATGCATCTTTTGGTGGTATACTGAAGACACTACTGGGATGATGGGATGTAGTAAGAGAGACTCAGAAAATACTGCAATGAGGTGTTAACTACAAAAAGAATGAGGAAAATCACTTCATTCAAACAAAAATTCTGGATACCTTGCCTTCTATGGTGCAGTTGGCTTAGTCACCACTAGTTTTGAACAAGCGGACTGACACACTCAAATTTCAGTATTTTTCTTATCTCTCTTACAGAAAGGCTTATAATAGATACAGAAAGAGAACTGTAAGAGCAATTTCTCTCAAAGTAAAAATTGCCAAAGTAAGCTACACATGAATGGCGCACTTCCCAATTGGGAAGTGATTAGGGTTAGGGTTACCACACTCTACTGCACTAAGGGTCAGCTAAGGGTGTCTCAATGTCAGCTCAATGCTCCCTTTTGTCCATTCTGATAACAGGATATATCATCTATACATTGCATCGGGGTGCCAGGGACCCTAGAATACATCAATAAGCTTTATTCCTCTCGGAAATGCACATAAAAACACCTAAATCGCATCTATAATTTTCAAAAATTTTTCCAAACCCCGAATGGCGCCTGTCCCAAATAGGTGGTGACTAAGCCAACTGCACCATATAAGCTTAACACTGTTCCAACAAAGAACTTGAGGCTTGTATAAAGGATGTTTTGAATACAAGGTCACAAGATATCAAGGAGATATAGGGCAGAACTGTTACAGGCCTGATAATATGTGAGGCCTAGGATATGCTAGGATATGTAGGGATATGTGCGTAGTGAGAATCGCGTCACATCACGTGGCTGATAAGATAGGATATATTCGGACCGCAAAAAGAAAAAACTCGGTTGTTCACGAAATTATGCAAAACCCTGTAAGTGGATCAAGCCGGTCCTCCCTTCCTAAGAAATCTATATCATATACAGCCTGTAGACAGGACCCCGCATCGACCCGTCGTTTACTCCTTAGAACATGCAAGTTGATGAAATCGTCCCATTAGCAGGAAAGGGGAGGAAAGGCTAACCGGCACCTCACTGAAAACCGCACTATTATGTCTTCAACTCATGCTCATGAGGAACTTCTGAAGGACTTTACGAAGCACAAGAAAAGATGGATTCCGTCCAGCACTAGCATCTTGCATTAAAAGTCGCTCACAATTCGCGAACAGTCTAGATGGTTGACGTATGATTGGAAAGCCGCTTGTTACAAGGGAAACTGCTACTAATACAAATACAAAGCTATACAAAGATGGCTTCGTCGGAGTATGCCGAGTATAATAATGCGAAAGGAGGGTGCGAAGCAATACCACAAGCTAGTACTACATAAGATAAGATCATTGGAAAATGTACGTTCTGGTCAACAGAGGAGTACGATTTTAAATTGTGGTTTCGACGAGCGATAAGATCCGCCACTGTAGACAATCAATCAAGAGATCACTGTTAGTATGAACTGATATGCGAGGGGGCTTGGGAGAAAAAAACGTACAAAGGGGGAGGACGCTCGCAACCACTGTTGATCTTCGTGATAAGATCACGCAATAATACAGTAACCACCGAGCAGAGCAACAGAACCACTTTCATCTGCATGTTCTGAGTCGACTGGGGCAGCTACACATGTGGTGGATGATGGCTCGTTGGAGAGAATCTGCAGCTTTTCGACTATTATGCCCGAGTCATGCGTTAGGGAGGAGGAGCCCGCAAGGACAACGTCGAGACTGGTGAATGAGTCCATTGGGTGTAATGAATGTTACGGAGGGCGATAAGGGATATGTACGGCGAGAGCGAGATTATCGAATATGTGAGGTTGCTCGTAAAAACTGTTGGGGTGTTGTTCATTTAGCTCGGGAAAATGTTCTTATAGACACCTAGAGTCGGAGTTCGAATTCCATTTATCATTGTTCCCTGTTACCCGAATATCCTGAATCATGAATCGCGTCGCTGATGGCGGCATCAACGAACAAAGAACTAGCAGCCGGATGAACAAAGAGGGAAGAACAATAAGTCAATATCAGCCAAAACAAGAACTTAAGCGCCTAAGTTCCCACGTTGCTCGCATGAAGCGACTAGCTTGAATTTCTGCGGCCGCGGGTTCTAATTAAGAATCCCGTCATCTAAGGCCTTTTTTGGTTTGGGGTTTTCCGATACTAGTCGAGCAAAGACGCTCCTGGAATGTCAGAGCTCATTATTGGGTCCACAAGCGAATGTAAATCTGCCCTGAACCATCACATCCATACAGAGTTATACTCACTGGAGTTGGGTATGACTTCTTATGACTTGCGTTTGCCGATTCCTACTTCCTCAACCTGTTTCCCCAGTTTCAAACAGTCTCTATGTAAGTCTTGTAAGCGTGAGCCTTGATTAATGAAGTAAAGTAGAGAAGAAAACGGCTCGTTCTGGCAATGGATCATTCAGATTTGGCTCGTTCCGGCCTGTTCCGGCTCATCCATGGACGTGTGAGTTTTCACTGGGCCAAACATTGAATGCCTTACTTATGTCAAGCGAATTTGGAGACAATGACGATCAGATGAGGAGAGACAAAAGAGGTAAATGTAAACAATGGAAGGAATGCCGACCAAGCCGTAACGCTCGCGGTTGACTTGTTCATTGTTCTATTTTCGACATTGTGGCTAGTACGCATATAAGAGAGGTTCCTAAATTCATTCTAAACACCCACCAATTTTAAGCCCCTCGAGAGAGACAGATAGCCTCTTATTCTATTGCCTTTGTCGCGACATCTGCTGCTATTTTGCGCTGCCTTCGTGCTTGAACATCTATCACGCCTCTATCCTCATTTCGAGATAATGGACTCATTCACTTCTTCCTCGATCAATGCCATCTGTGCTCTGGCTTCCTCCGACCCCTTGCAAAGCACTAAAAACCCTACTCCCTCTTTCCCCACGTCGGAAATTTCCTCGACTGCTGATCTGCCGTTCGATTTGGAACACCCCAGTGATAGCGGTGCAGTGGCAGATTTCGGATACTGCATTATTGCTTAATCCCCATCGCTGTCATTCGACGTCTGCATTCGGTCATCATTCTATGTGAGAATCACGGTGTTCCTGTTCGGAATTGATTTGACGCCGCTAACTTTCGATATCTTGATTTGCTCAGGAAAATCCTTCGAATACTTCGTGAAATTTTCTCCGTCTGCCCCTGTGCTCTATTGATTCGAGCATGTATTCCTCCGGCTCGCATCTCCTCTCCCGCATCTTTACCGCATTGTAATTCGAAGCCGTCTGTATCAGTGATCGCGAGGTTTTCCTCCATCATCTCACCCTCCTTTTTCTTTCGAACGTCGTTCCCTAGCATTATCTTCTCGTGGTTCTCCCACTTTTTATTGTTGTATTTATCACTGGCAAATAGATTTGTATCGTATCGCAGTCCCCCTAACAATTTTTTCCCTGGATCCTTGAACCAAGTGCTGCTCGATTGTATACTTACTAATTTGGCGGTGAGAATATAAGTATCCTTTTGTTTTGAAAATAACCACTTTCCTTTCCGTGTTTATACATGTAATTTTCGCCCCAGTTTTCCTTCAGGTGTCTCCGGGCTCGGGAACTTCAAACATGGACATTACGATTATTATCTTCAGAGTGACCACGGCATATCTCTAACGATAAGTTATGAATCGCTCGACAGATCCAATATACGGCATCCTCCCGTATCAACATTCTGTTAAGCACTGGAGCACGACATATATTTGAGAGGATTATGAATCCGCCTTTCAAAGCTGGACAATTCATGGGACGTCTTTCTGTATCCTTAATGACGCGATAAAGAATGTCATTCACGACACTTGGATGGGTTTTATCCAACTCGTTAGTGAATTCGGGTGCCCAAGCAGATTGGGGGAGTTGGAGAAGATTTTGCAAGGCGCGTCCAGCGAAAAGGAGTGATTCTTCTGTGGTAAGACTCATGCGCGCAGCGAGAAGGTAGAGACGTGCAATAAGGGATATGTATCCTGGAGTTGTGGTAACAATTGAAACGACGCCGGAAGCAGGAAGGGTGAGGAGCCAAAAGAGCATCGTGATAGTCAATTGTAGTTCTTCCTTGAAATCGTCACCTTGATCTAGGAAGTAGGTACTAGGTCGTTCTAGGTAATTAACCGCCAGAAAAGAGCACCATGCGAATATGTCCGGCCATCATTGCATGAATTTGAGCTCGCTAGCGTCTCCATCTGCGAATCGATATCCGTTCAGTCCACGTAACAAGACGTGGAGAGCAGTGTAACCAAGCCTAGTAGTTTTGTCTGGCGCTTGGTCTGGATCCGGAGTGGAGGAGAGCAATGGATGGGTTTTATTCGGGATGTTTAACAGAATCATGGGCATTAACTCGATCAGAAGGTCGACATCCTCCTGTACCTCTGGCGCCAGACTCTGCAACGCCTCGACAGAACCATTCCGGGCCTGAAGAAGTAACCTCTGTACTGTTTTCAGTATCACTAAATCCTGAAATACCAGATCTTTACCTTGACGTGGGGCGAAAGCCGGACTCCTGCAGGCATACATTAAAAAGAGAAGAACTCGGTTTCGTAATCTTCTAACGCCGGCGCGTCGGACCTGTTAAGCCAAAACTTTCATGGCTCCTTGCTCCTTGTCTCCGACAATTTTTTTTGTTTTTTCGAGTTTCATAGACCTGAACTACCGGTCAAGCGCCCGTGTGTTCGAAGTTTCAAGTCATATCAAGTTATTGTATCGGCCTTTGATACGTATGTACATTCTATCTCCACTTCGTCTTCGTCTTCACCAACGACAATAGTTACACACCTGACTATAAGATGGTGGAGAGAATCAACGCCTTCATGAAAAAAAAATCCCAACGGTAAGGGAATTGCAGGAGATAACGACCAATGTAAATTGCTCTAAATTGGGATCTGCTGATACGAGGAAGTCTAGTTTTAGTAGGTGTATCCACATTGTTTATGAAGGTAGTATGAATCAAATCTGTGGGATGCCAGTGGATAAGAGTAGAGAATTAGTAAGTATCTTGTGAGCTTGTCTCCATCATTGACACCCATGTTACAGCTTCCTGATCAAGTTGCCTAAAGAGAAGCGGCGAGTAAAGGAGAGTAGGATTGAGTCTCTTCCACTTTTCCGTGAAGAGACTTCAAGAGGTGCATGCCAAAGTGCAGCACCATTGATTTGGTAAGAAGCAGAAGAGTGAAAGATGGGAAGTCAGGAAAAAGGGAAGCAAGCACGATGGAAGGAGTCGGAGGGGACTGTGGGTAGACAGTCACATACATGCACTCCCCGCGGATACCAGGCATAGCTTTTCCGTCCTAGGACTGTCGTTTCACTGTTTGTTGCCGACTGAGCTTGAAACTTCAGTGATCTTGGAGTGGCGCAGAGAACACGGGGCTCAAGCATGCATTATGGTGATCCATCGAAAGCGTGAAGGCGAGGAGATCGATGTTTGTGATTTTTACAGTTACAGTGATTTCGTACGCGAACTTCCATGAATTTGAGGGCACGCGGAATAGAGGATCTCCGTGTATCGGCAAGTATCTGGTGTAACATTTAGGAGGTAGATGTTAACGATAACTCTCTGAGAATGAAAACGACTGAGCAGACGCACATGCTTCACATACTTATACATACCGTATACAAGCAATTTCCATAATACGCGACCAGCGTGTCAGAGGTGTTCCTTTCAAGCTTGAGTTTTGATGCTGTCTTCGCCTGCACATCGTGTTTGAGGCATTAAATGTTTTTGAAGTTTGGCTGCTCGGCTTCGCTGACTTCAACATGGTCGAACGTGAAGCGAGATTCAAGCGTCTCTGTACGCGTTTTCAGAGCATTGCTGGGGTACTTTGTGTGGGCATTCTTGACAGAAACTTCTTGCAACCCTTGTCCCCGGGGCCCGAGTAAAAAGTTTAGTCAAGGAGATGAATCTGTTCAGACGTGTTGAAAGCTAATATTCAGAATTCTAATGGCTGACCTTATTTTAGGGCTTCTTGCCAGAGATTAGATAAGTTCGGCTCGGCCCCAGGTAAGCAGTGCAGGTCGTTCAAGACGCGTTTTCCTGCTTTCCTTCGTGCTTTCATCTACTACACGCCAGATAGCACTTGTTGCACTATCCGTCGCTTTCTGACGACTTATTATCGCACTGGATATGGACGCATTCACCGAAAAGCTCACACTGATTACCCGAAATTTTCCTGCTCCCATACGGGAATTAGGCGTCTCTCTCATTGACGAGGTGAGTTAGTATAATGACACGGTATTTATGAGGCTTTGTACTTACCGAGTAATGCCCCCAGAAATGTTATGTCAAGCTCATTGAACAGCTTGACTTTTCTGATATCGAATGCCTCAAGCTTGCTCTAAGCAAAGGACTAGGCATCGGTATTGTTATTGGGGGGTCAATAGTGAAAGTCCCACAGATTGCCCTTAGTGAGTCTCTTCATACACGCTTTCTCGAAGGACCTAATGTTTGGCAGTCCTCCGGACCCAAGACTCTGCTGGCCTTTCCATCTCATCCTACGTTCTTGAGACGCTATCTTACCTCATAACCCTTTTCTACTCCTACCGAAGCTCATTTCCGTTTTCCACCTACGGAGAGAACCTTTTCCTCGGTGTTCAAAATACGATTGTTTCGCTGTTGATCATTTTACACGGCGATGCACCTAATCCCTCCCGGCGAACTGGAAATCTTGGTATCTTGACCGGATTCTTCGTCGCCAGTATTTCCGCATTATACTCCATGTCTCTCGAAAATTTGGGTTACTTGCAGCTTGCCACGCTCCCGCTCTCGTTGTTTTCCAAGATTCCCCAAATCACCGCCAACTATAAAGCCAAATCGACGGGCCAGCTTTCCGCATTTGCCGTCCTTTCACAGATTATCGGATGTGCCGTTCGAGTTTACACGACGTCCACAGAAGTTGGCGATCCCGTCGTTCAAGCTGGCTTTGGCTTGGCTTTGTTCCTTAATGTCATTCTTGGGATTCAAATGATGTCGTACTGGGGCAATATTCCGCCAGCAACCAAGAAGAAGGTCGCTGTAGAAAAGAAAAAAGTAGCCCCGGCTGAAGTAGAACTTTTAGACGAAACCCTTTCACAGGATTATTTCCTGTCCAATGGGCGTCAGAGACGTTCGAAGCCCATGCAAAGGGTCGATCATGCCGAGGGTTCGAGTAGAAAATGGGAGAGAAAGGTCGATTAAGAACAATCTTGGTGATAACGATAATAGAGGTAACCATTATTCTATCGCTTGCTGTACTTGTGTCTGTGCTATAGGAATTCTATCTGGATTCGATGTCTCTTTGCGGTAGACGCGCGTGGACCTCGGTCCTGATTACTCATCAAAATGACTTCCTTGATCGTGAAGACTGCTTGTTCTCGACTTCCTGGTTCTATCTCTTTCCTTCGATCTGCTGTCTTCAGATGATTCACTGTTGGCGAATCCAGACGTCGAATACCTCACATACCTTCCCAAGTTCTTCTCATTTAAAATTGCCGTTCATCGCATGGGTTTTCATCTTCCTTTAAAGCATGTTTTACAAGGTGTGACGCATGCTCGTGAAAGAGGACATTCATATCATTTCAAACTTGCCTCGTTATGGTACACTACGCGGCGCCCACAAACCCGAATAAGGATTGTATATGGTTATGAATCCTGATGTTACTCATATAAAGATTCATATAATCCAAATCATCGCTAACCGTAACAGTTAATAGCTCTTTTCCGGATTTAGCAGATTCATGAAGCTTTGATTCCGAAGCGCCGCTGCCTGTATGGAGAATGTGCATATGTGTCGTGTCAAACGGAATTGGCGGTTTCTCAGGTCCCGGGCTCCCCTCGAAGCATGATCTTGATGTCTTCATTCTTTTCTTTTAGTGTGACATTAGTACAGTATGTTTCGGTTTTTTTGTTAAAGAATTTTCAACGCTGATTAAACTATCTACGTAGATTGTATATTTCAAGACTCAAGCTTACCGTTCATACCACTGGAAATGCTTGGGTCGCGCTCGTTAGTGCGGGTGCTTATAGGGAATGTACGATGGATTTGACCATTCATCGTGCTTCAAGAGAATTCAAGGACTCATTGCGTTAGCAGTCTGAGTATGAATTCGTATGAATTTCACTCCGGCACAACACTGTCACTGCTGACTGAATCGAAGCAGCGTTGTACTTGGGTTGTACATAATCCCAGATATGGCATTGACCGGCGACTACACTATTGAAGTAAGCGGTACCACGGACCTTGAAGCTGGAAGCCTGTTGTCTGGTCCTGGAATTGTTCTCAACACATCAACGATCGCAAACTTCCGTCATTTTAGCTATCGCCACTTCAGATGGCTGCCAGGTGCTTATTCTCGAACACTATATAATGTGAGTCAAATCGAGATGGGAAATATTGACATCCCCTCCTCCCCTCCCCCATTGTTAATCCTTTGCCCTCCCATCCCTACATTCCATTGTTACGAATATGGACTGCACGAAATCAGAAAACACTATTCGGAATAATGAGCTCGATCCTGGATTATTGAAGACATCAAGTTCATCCGCCCTCGACTTCAAGCACGACGATTCAGGTCAGTCTTCCTACTGCCTGCGAAACTGGCTTTGAAATTTGAAGATTGAATCTCTCTCTCTCGTATACGTCCGGCCCCCAGGTTCCGAGTCGGAGAAAGTCCCGCCCCACCAACTACAAGCTATCTCTCCGAATGCAAGGCTAGGAAACCCGACCACATGGAAGAACAATACCCATCCGCAGTGGTGGCGAGATCCTGGTCTACGTCGTAACGTATTTTGGATTGCCGTGCTCTACTTCGGGTTGTAAGTCCATCTCAGTCTTGGTTGTTTGTTCCAATCCTAGATATCTCGTGCTGAATCCTCAATTCCCACTTATCGTTGCTTCTGAACCTGACATTTCAATTGACTTTTTTTTTCATATTGTTAAAGCTTCACCTGGGGATATAGTACGGCCTTGCTCAATTGCCTTCAACCCCTGCCGCAGTTCAATGAATATTTCCATAATCCCTCCGGCGGAAGACTGGGTATAATATATGCCAGCCAGTCCTTACCGACAGTGATGTCAGTTGGTCAAATAGACAATCTTCTTCAACTCAACTCAACTCATCATCAATTTTCCAGACTCGCTCCAGCAATTCCGTGGTCGAATGATTTCCTAGGCCGAAAACGAACGATTTCGATTGGGAGTTTGATAGTGGTAAGGGTCCTCAGAAATTCCCGACGAGATTGGGATATTCATCATCATCACCCTACTTTTTGCTCAGATATCAGGAACTATCCTCGGAACACTTTCGAGAACTACGGCAATGCTCATAGCAAGTCGCGTCATTGTCGGTCTTGCACTACCCTTTATGTCCGTGGCGTGTGTCTGTCTCGTCAATGAACTCGCGCATCCCCGACTTCGTGGGTAAGCACATTTGCACTCTATGTAGTTTTTACCCTTTCAATTGGTCGATCTTTTTCTCCGCTTCATCACCGAGGCTTAACTCAAAACAACTCTTCCACTCACATGGGATCGTTTTGATTAGGATATGCGCCACAATCAACAGCTCGATGTATTTCGGCGGTGTCATCGTCGTCTCGTGGCTCACTTTCGGGACTCTTCATTGGGATCAGTCTATATCGGCTAGCGAGAATAATACCTCCGCCTATTCAGGAGATCAATGGGCTTGGCGCCTGCCTATACTCTTACAAGCACTCGGACCTACGATCCTCCTATGCTTCACCTCTGCGTCCCTTCTTCCCGGTCCTCTCTTATCTTTACTACACAACAGCAAAGGAACCCAAACCCGTGTACGCCCACGTTCAGCATTCGCCGTCCCGGAATCCCCTCGGTGGCTTGTAGCACATGGGTACATACACGAAGCCCATTCGGTGTTAGCTCAAGCTCATGCTAATGGGGACATGCAAGACGAGTTGGTTCTAGGTGAATTGGGCGAGATCCAAGATTGTTTGGTGAAAGAGAGGGAAGAAGCTGTTGGAAAGGGCATGTGGGAGGGGTGGAAAGATTTATGGAGGACTGAGGGGTTGAGAAGACGGATGCTGGTTGTGACGATTATCGGTGCTGGATCGCAATTGAAGGGAAGTGAGTGGTATTTGTCCCCCTTCCTGTTCAAACGGATCCGAGTCTGAGGTCTAAAACAATCATTGTGATTTGATTGAATTCCCAGCCTCTGCCATAGCAAGCTACATCACCCCGATCCTCAACCTCGTTGGATTTGTAAATCCAGACAAAATAGGTATGTCTTATCCTTCATCGAAACTTTGCCCAACTTTTTTTTATACTCTAAAATTCGATTTACTCAAAAAAACCTTAAATTCTGTCCCTTCCCCCCACCAGCCATCATCAATGCTTGTTTGACAACTTGCGATTTCATCTCTGCTATTGCCGGTGCTCTATGCGTTAATTCCGTCGGCCGAAGACCTCTATGGATTATCTCAACCGCTGGTTTGCTTGTATGTTTCGCGGTCATGACCGCTCTCGCAGTTCAGTACCGGGGCCACGATAGCCTTATTCTTTCTCCACCGAATTATATATCACCCACTAACCTACCCAATGGGTCTGTTTCATCCCCTTTTAGGCTGTTTTCGCGCAAAGTGCCTCCATGCCCGCCGCCTACGCATTCATCGTCGTCCTCTTCATCCTCCGCGTCTTCAACGGAATGGGTTGGTCCCCGTTAACACATAATTACCCCGCGGAAATCCTCCCGTACTCTATCCGAGCCCGCGCGCTCTCGTATTTCACGTTCCTCGAAACGTCGGTGTTGGCGTTCAATCTGTGGCTGCATCCGGTTGCGTTCCAGCATCTTGGGGTACGTGTTTGGTAATGTAATTTTGGGCAGTGGGTTACTGAGGCATTGATTTATTTATTCCAGTGGAGATATTTTCTTGTATTCGTTGCGGTCCTTTCAGCGCTTTTGGTCGCGATATGGTTTTTGTTCATCGAGACAAGGCAAGTCCTTTTTCTTTGGCCTCTCCCAACCGATGTCATTAAATCAATTAAATTCTTTTCTTGGTCTACCTACCTATACAGAGGCCGCACCATCGAACAAGTAAGCTTGTTATTCGATTTATCTCCTACCGAGCGGCGCCGTCGAAATCAAATCCTTTCTTCTCCGGATCTTGAAGATGGTGGTGATATGAAGAATAGAAACGACTCTGAGAAGAGTTCAAGTTGATGAACTATTACATGAGTATGAGTGTGTACACAGTACTACTACATATCGCTTATCGCTTTGCGCGGTAGAAGAAAGAGCTCTCGGGGCGGTATATATAGGGTAGAGTATATAAAGTATATAAAGTATATAGGGTATATAGTGTATTACTAGGCTGTAGGAGGAAGGAGGGGGAGGGGGAGGGCGGGGGTCGGGACCCCGGGGGAGGGTGTGCAGTGGGGTAGAAGAGAAACAGCGCCGGGGTGTTCATCACTGACTCATCACGATTCATGGTACGATGGGATATTTTATGGAAATAACGAACTACCTTAATTTAGCGGATAGTACCGTCGTAAATAACTTGTTTTGATGAATAAAGTTTTCATTTTGCTGCAAAAGAAGGAAAAAAAAATATGGTTTTGCTCAGTTATCAGTTGTTGAACATTGTGAACAGTGAGTGGGGGTGATTAGTGAGGTTGATTGGTTGGTTGGTTTGGTGGATTCAGGATTTTAACAAGAGTGTTTTAGTAGTACATTCCGTAGATTCCACAGATTCGGCAGACCCCACACATTGGCAGACCCCACACATAGACCCCTTGAAGAATGAAAGATCCCGGATCACCATATGAGTACCCCTTCAAGTTCACTACATTTGTGAAGGTTCATCTCGGACACTCTTGTTTTTGTTCGTCAACAAAGATTTTGTTGCAATAGGTGAACTAAGGAATTCTGCAATAGGTGAAATAAGCCATTCTGCAATAGGTGAACTAAGCCATTCTGCAAGGAGTTGGAATAACTAATATTTTTTATAAGAGGGTTGGAGATGATGTGTGATATATATATATATATATGTGGAGGAAGGCAGTACAGGTGTAAGGAAGGAAGGGGAAGGAATGAGGAAGGCCATCAGGAAAACCGTCCCCTTGAAATATGAGACAATTTCAAGAAAATTATGAAATTTTTTGTAAACTAGTACTACATTTTCAAAAATTCCGATATTTACAAAATATCATGCAATTTGATTTAGTTAGAATTGGTTTGATGAATCTCCAAACTATGTAGGAATAATAATCATAATTGGTACTAAAATTCATAGTTAGCTATCGCTATGGAGGATGAAGTAGCGGACAACTTCTTTTTCCTGAATTGTGGCTTCGACTTGGCTACTGGCCATAAATGGTCGAACAATTCCTCTGCAATCATGTAATCAGTACTGATGTAGGTTGCCCGGAATCATATTTCTGGCCTCCTAAACAATATACTATGGTAACTACCAGTTAAATATGAAGTGACAGGGCTGGCCAAGCCTTTTAGAATTACAATTTTTGTAGAAGTACAAGTAATGGTAAAATGCAATGACTGTTGCTGCCCGCGGAGAGCATACGGAGTTTGGGTTATGTAAGCAGCAGTATATTCAAAACGCGGAACTTAACAAAAATAATGGTTCCTCGTCGCCTCTCGATGTCATCGCTCGATTTTCATTCTACCTCCAATGACAGTGACCATTGACTTACATCAAAAGAACATCCTCCACCAAAGAAGCACAGATGTGTTGAAAAGACGTCAGGGCCGGAATCGGAACAAGAGGACAACGACGACAGTGACGTGTCAGAAAATACATCAACATAGGATTGTATAAAGATTGAAGGAGAGGGTGAAGAAAAATACCTCTGTTTGATGACCTCCAATTCATGCAGAGGTTGTTCGGTACGTTCAGTTCTCACATGGCACATTTTGTTTTACTTAAAAGTTCATACAATGCTACTAGTGGTTTTCGGGATTGGGGCGAATTGCCAAGTCTCGCTTTCGAACAATCAAAATGTGTCTGCAGCCCCAAAAGGTGTACTTTGTCTCAATTTCTTAATCATTCTGCTTCAATGAATCCGCATGACGCATGCAGAGTTATACCTCGGTCGGATTTGGTTTCGCCGTTGGTAAGAGTGCCCAATCTCATTCAAGTTCATCACCTTGTTATTGACCAGTGTTCCATGGTAGGCATTAGTCTCGGTGTGTGGGTCAGTGTAAGCAGGTCTGGGCGTCGTATTAATCCAGCGATAAGGCGAGACATCAAATTCACATTCTAACGGTCACAATCCTTATCAAAGGTCACCATCGCCCTTGCCACATTTCGCAAATTTCCTTGGAGAATGGTACCAGGTATTGTCCATCACGTCACCGTGTAATGGTTGGCTAATTTGATACAGGATATATATTCTCCCAGCTACTAGGTGGATTCATTGGTGCTGCACTTATATATGCCAACTACTACCACGCGATCAACATCTTCGAAGGAGGTTCTGTCCTCAGTTTGACCAGCAACATTACACCGATTATGATGCACCACCTTTGTCACGCTACTCTTCTCCTGTTGCTCGTTCGATGGAATAAACCCAATGCCGAACAACTTGAGAAGTCCTACGCTTCAGCGACGTATCCAATCCATTCTCAGTTAATTTCACTATGATATATAGATAAATATAGATAGAGTATATATTCCTCTGCCAATCAATACATCCTTCCTGCTCTATTTCGATGCTCTATTATGTTTGTTTTTGTGAAATATGAGGAAAGTTACATTGAATCATGCTCAAAATATCAGCCACTCATGCAAAAGGACTAGAATTATGAGTGAAACCAACTGACAAGTTGCTCAAAATACTTGAAGAATATTTGAAAAGATTTGAAATGTTCTTGAAAGATTTTGAAATCTCAAACTGGGCCGCCAAATTTTCAAACTTTCACACATATTGCAACTATATAATATTTTAGTACATTCAGCATTTTCATTGAACTTTCTCGCATGTAATACCTAATTGTTGTCTATTTCAAGGGGACAGTTTTCCTGATGAAGGGGAAGGAAGGAAGCAAGGAAAGCAAGGAAGGAAGGAAGGAAGGGGAGGGAAGAAAGGAAGAAAGAAAAGGAGGAAGGAAGGAAGAAAGAATGAAAAAACCAAGAAACTCAACCAAAAAACCCAAGAAACCAAAAAAACAAACCCTCACAAACCAAAACAAAAACCAAAAAAAACCAAGCAACCAAACCAACCAAGAAAAACAAAGAAAAACAAAAACACAAAAAAACTTTACAGAACAACAATGGCATGCATTAAGAGGGAATCGAACCCCCGGCGGGTCGAGGATGTGTGTGAAATCCTATCGACAATTCCTAGATGGCAACGACCCAGGTTACCACTACCCCATTAATGCGTGGTTGATTGAGTAAGAGTAGAAATAGGAGGAAGAGTAGAAAGAGAGGAAGAGTAGGAAGAGAGGAAGAGTAGGAAGAGAGGTATGTGAAGGATATGTATAACCATAAACATAAAACATTGAACATTAAACATTAAACATTAAACATTATCTACATAGCACCCTCATAAGTAGCTAGCACACGCGTGCTAAATTAAATCTTTACCACCGACTCGAAAATTACTGGATAACAGCATCCCGAGTATTATCCCTGACACTCTTCAAGAACCGCGCGAGGTGTGTTCCGCCGGTTCCTTTTAGTGCCTCCCTGTCCTTCTCCCCATTCCCCTTTGCCTCATCCTCGCCCTCGCCCTCGCCCTCCTCCTTTTCCTCCGTCTCGCCCTCGCCCTTCATCTCGCCCTCGCGTTTTGTCCTGCCATCGCTGCTCTGGCTATCGCCCCTCGTTTTCACCCGCGCAGCAGGGCCGATAATATACCTCGCAACAAGAACAATATGCGCATCACGGAATTTCTTGAGTGCGGTTACAGCGGAGTTGTATGCACTAAGAAGGGGTGTATTCGCGTTGAGGAGGGGTGTATTTGCGTTGAGAAGGGGTGTATTCGCCTCCGCCTCCGCCACCGCCTCCGCCACGGACTCGAGGACCCACGCCCTCAAAGACCTCCTCCGACTCTGTTCCCTGAGATGAGAAAGAAAGTTACGATGGTGGCGGGGCATGTATAGCTGCATCCTCGATAAAAACGTCGAATCAGGGTCGGTATCGGAGGTATGGTGTTGATGCTCAACACCCAAGAAAATATCCAACGCATGGATCAAAGAACTCTGCCCCGCAGACGGACCGCCCAATTCCTTTGGGTATTCCAACGAGTCCAACTCCGGATCCATCTCGATCCCTTCAAACACCCATCTTTTCTCTTCACTCTCACCTTGAAACCACGGTCGAATTTCATCGTAGAACACCGCCACATCGCACCCCCCATACATCCTCCCCAACTCCTCCTCCATCTCCCCAACCACCCCCGCCAACTCCCCTAAGAACCCCGTAATCCGAGTCCGCGCGATATCGTCCCCGACGAACAACTCATCCAGGGAATCCTGCATCAACCCCAAGGCTCTAACGCCGATCAACTCAATCCTGGCAGAGGTGAGGTAGAAATGCGATTCAGAGGCGGTGGAGGTGAACGACGTCAGGACACGGAGGGAGGAGTTTTGGGGGTTTAACCCCCAGTTGTATAGGACATCGTCGGAGTAGGTGAGTAGAGGTGGGAGGTGCATCTCCCGCGAGACGCGGAGGAGGGGTAATGTGATTGGGGGAGGGATCCGCACTTCCTCAGTACCACTCTCGTGGGTGTGGATGTAGAAATGCAGTATCCACGCTAACACGTGATGGGCACGGCGGAGATGGGGTTCAGAGTCCAAGAGAGGGGTTATAGACAGGATCGGGAGCTACGACGTCACCACATTACACCTTAGTACACCTTACACTTGAGACGTAAAGGGAATGACATAACCTACCTCCCGTACTCGACCCCTCCACCTCTCCTCCCTACCCCCCGTCTCCGTACCGATATCTCTCCCTAATCGAAACGCCCCGGCACAGGCTTCGTCTAATATCCCTTCCCAGGCTTCGTACATCCCATACTTCCCATTCTCCCCTCCCACTCCCCCCAATCTCGCTATCGGCGGATGCGGGGGCATAAACCCCGTCCGTGGATCCACATCAAAGTCGTGTGCAGCGAGGGTGGTGGTGTCCACCACCACACGATTACTATTACTGCTATTACTGCTACTCGGAGACGCGATTCCAGAAGGTCGTGGTTGGGAGAGGAAGTGTGTGGAGGGGAGGGGGAAGAGGGTGTTGGTGCTATTCATTGAAGATGTCGTTGGTGTGTTATCAGTGAACGAGTCCATCTCGTCCGTCGTATTCATCGTATCCATCGCGTCCATCGTTGGCGTTGGCGTTGGTGTAAAAGTCCAATCCATCGTACCTCGTAGTGGTACTCTTCCAACCCCTTATCTTTTTTTCCTCTTTTTTAGATCTCTTATCATACTGCGATCCCGTTCCGATTCCGATCCGAGGTTTTTTGGTTTGTAATGTTCTATTGTTGATTTGTAACTTGTGTGGGAATGTTGATACCACGAACGGATCGGGAAATATCGATGATTACTCGAGCTTAAACGGAAGTTCACGCAAGGCTAATAGCAGGTGAGTTTAGCTCTCAGTGCTCATCGTTCGCACCTCGCTAAGGCCATCTCTACCTACAGGCTTGCATGGGCCCGCCCTCCTGAGGTCTACAAGTGAGATGGCCACTTAGCAGTGCTACATCCCAACCGGTAGGAGAATTCATTACTCAGATTTTTGACACCTATGTAGTATTCGCTGTCGTGCTCTACCGAATATAAGTACTTACATTGCGCTTCTTTTTCTCGCCTCTCTCTTTTCTTCCCTCACCGATTGTACTAACCGATTGTACTAGCCGTAGTACATTGTTTTTCGTCGCGTCGCACAAAGTGCCATCTATCGAATCAAAAAAAAAAGAAAAAAAAAAAAAAAAAATCAAACTACATGTCCGATGTCCAACAGCAACAGGGAGAGGGAACATCTTTTTCCCCTGCACTTCCCCCAATGGGATCGAGTACCGAACGAGCAGCCGAACTTGCTGCTCGGGCTTTGCAAACCATTGCCGACAGGGTCATCGATGGACGTATTACAGCAGACGCCAGCCGCAACATCATGCGAACGTACCTCGAGACAGTGTTTGACACCTTCCAACTCCATGCAGGGTACAGTCTCGGCGACAGTCTCCGACCCTGGTTTGAGATTGTCGACAACCATGCCCAGCGCCTCACACACGCCGAGCGTGAAGGCCGTCGGGGGCAAAATCAACAGGCAGGGAGCGCACAACCAAACAGGTCCCGAGTACAGCTACCCGGCATCAATGAACTCCTGTCATGCCCTGGCTACAACCAGACCAGTCCCAGTACCCACCACACGTTACCATATATCCTACCCACCTCCCGTATGTCCTCTGCACCTCCCCAAGTACCACCAGACACCTCCCCAAGTATTTCTGACGCAGCTACCCAAACGTCCTTCACCCCGACACGCATACGAAAACCCTCTAGCCGATAACCCCTTTAAGTATTAATCTCGATTACCTCCCTCCCTCCGATTAGCTACCTCATGCCTCCAGATGTTCCCTTGTTCACTTCCCGTACCTATTTAAGTAACGCCGCAATGTCCTGAAGCCCCAGCTTGGTATATTTTGAACACACACCCTTTTGCATAGGTCCAGTCCCTGTCCCTTTGTACCTGCTAACCATACGGATTTCTCTTTACTCTCTGTTTCATTACCTCTGTTTCTCTCAACTCTTGTCTATCGTCTCTGTGATCGTCTATACGATCCAATACACGCTTTTACTTCACGTCTAAGCAATCCGAGTGAGTTCCCAAGCTCCCTCAAACAATACTAAAGCTCCCCAACGCCTACCGCCTTGGCGAGCTAACCTCCCCAAACCTCCTCGAGCTCCCTAGCTATTCTATAGGCTTCAGGACCTCGATCTAGGTAACGTCGAACTACGTACTGCTTCTCCGTTACCACCTCCCACACTCGAGGACGTCCATCCTCAAGCCTAGCCCCCAGGGACCTACCCTCCCTGGCACGTCCCTTCTCGGGAGCTTACAACCTCGAGACCCACCTATACATACGACCTACTCAATCCTATATTGACGTTCTAGCGAGTACAACTCCTACTACGCAATATCGTACGGTCCCGCACCCTTCCTTAACCTCCCTACGCCTTAGGGACCTCCCTGGACCTCCTAGGAACCTCTCAAGGGTCACCATCCCGTCGTTCCAGCCACTACTAGGTCATTCCTGTCCTCGGTCGCGGTTCTCGTAGCTCCCTTCGAGCTCTAGCCTGCTCCTAACACGCTACAACATAAACCTCCATATACCAAAGCCTACCCTAAAACCTATTTTGACCCAGGTCTTACAACTCCTTGCTGGACCGCCTCACGGTGCAGCCCCAGGAGGACCTCAAGGAGGGGACCTACCAGGCCAACAGTCACTTGCAAGAGGTATCATACCTCCCCCAACATCCAGGCAGTCTAGAGGCGAGGATACCAGGCAAGAAAGGCCTGAGGACATCGCTGATAACGAGACTCAACCTAGGCGAGGAGGCCACGGTGACAGGGAGAGGTTCGAAGAGGAAGACACTCGAAGAGAGACTCGAGCCAACTCAACGAGAAGGAACTACAGGGACTCGTCCGATGAAGAGAATGAGAGTGATGACGGGACCCCCCGAGGGAAACCTGCAAAACGTGCCAAGCAGGACAGAGGCCTCTTCAATTGGACTGCTAATGCGTTTATCAAGCAGTCCATACTCTCACCTAGACACAGAAGGATCATCAAGGAAACTGAGAACTTCAAGCTCGACCTCGATGATGCCATCGAGAGCATTGAGCAAAGCGGAATTAACCCCATCTTCCCGAAGAAGCTCTGGAAGTCTGTCCTCCGCGATGAGTACATCGAACTCTCAGAAGTACATGCATTGGTCGCAGCCTACCACAACCCGGAAGCACCTCGACTGGCCTCCAACAAGTTTGCAGAAGCTCTCGAGTCCTCCACATTCGCAAAACCAGCACCTACCAAAGCCATTACTGACCAGAACACATGGCGTCGAGCCTGGAGGGCCACCACAGATGCAATTTCCTTCGCATTTGCCGACCGTCGTACCGAACTCACCGCTTATGAAGAACACATTGGTCGCCTCTTTGACGACAATCTTGCCAGCTTCCACCGCAACATCATCAACTATGACAAAGCCGTACGACAGCTCATTGGGTCCCGTCGCGACATCCTCTTCGACAAATTTGATCATGCCGAAGTTGCCAGATTCCGCATCATGTACCTCCTCCCTACTGGAACACATTTCTCAGCCCCAAGCTTCTCCACACCCAGAGCAGACCAAGCTGGCTCACGTCCTCGCAACAGATCAAGAGAGATATGCAGGAAGTTCAATCGGGGGGACTGCGATGGCTGTGAATGGAAGCACCTCTGTGCTACGTGCAATGAGTCCGGTCATGGAGCACACAACTGCAGGAAGGCAGCCAGGAAGTGACTGGGAACCGGCTGAGTCCTTGACTAGCCTATCATCCCTCGCCCACTTCTGGAAAGCAGCAGTTGAGTTTGTGTCAGGTGTACATGATGAGCATAACGAGGTTGAAGAGAAAAGCAAGGTGGGGGAGGAGAGTGCAAGCGAGGGGAATAGTTCACATCTCTCCCGCTTCATGCGAGGTCTTGGATTCAGGGACAATGCATTGGCACCACACAGTCGCACTGCAAGCTATACAGAGTCCGACGACCCACTTCCAAGACCTGCGCCAAGAGAATTTGAAGGCCCTGCATGGAATACCATTCAGCAGAATCCGCATCTGTTTCGAGTGCAAACACCTATCAATGCAGACCGTCTGGAAGCACTGCTCAACACTCACCCCAACCAAGCATTTGTGAAATCGGTAGTCCTTAGTTTGAAGGAGGGCTTTTGGCCTCGAGACGAGTTCCCAATAACTTGGGACAACTCATGGGCGCCTCTACCATCTGAAAAGGAACGAAATTTTGTTAACTCCCAAAGTGAGCTCGAAGCGGAGTTGGGGCGACACTCACAGCCATTCGGACCTGACCTGCTCCCCGGAATGTACTCAACGCCTGTCATTGCTGTTCCGAAACCACACTCAGAGGATTTACACCTCGTCGCACACCAATCTGCTGGAGAATTCTGCCAGAACAACATGGTTGACAAGAGCCAGACGAAAGGCAATCACTTGGACTCACTTCTTGTCTTCCTACCTCTCCTACTTGCGTTTGTAAGAAATAACCCAGGGAAGAAATTCGTTCTATGGAAATCTGATGTCTCGAGCGCATTCCGACTACTGCCTATGCACCCACTTTGGCAGATAAAACAGGTTGTCACGACTGGGATGCCCACAAGAGAGGAGGTCAGGGAAGGAAATCTATGTGAGAGCGGGAGGAAAAGATTTGTCGACTGGTGTGCCTGCTTCGGGAACAGTGGTTCACCTCGAGCCTGGAATTCCCTCATGGGCCTTGTAGTTTGGATAGCAATACACATCCTACTAATCTTGTTACTCTGCTGCTTCATGGACGACTGTTTCAGCATAGCTCTGGAAGGGGACATGGAAATATACGAACCATATGGCCTGACACTCCCTAGAGAGCAAGCTCGTCTACTACGACTCTGGGACTTTCTTGGGATCCCACACAAACAATCGAAACAAGTGTGGGGCGAAACTTTGACTATTATCGGCTTCATGGTAGACCCCAATGAGTTGACTGTCACCTTACCAGCCGATAGAAAAGACAAACTAGTGGTTCAAGTCAGAAAGTTTGCCATGTCATGCCAAAGGACCCTGCAGGAGTGGCAACAATTGACCGGGTGGATCAATTGGTCACTGAATGTCTTCCCGCTATTGCGTCCTGCACTATCAAATGTATATGATAAGATGAAGGGAAAATCCAACCAATCCGCTCAGATTTTTGTGAATAAGGCCGTACGTGATGACCTCACATGGTTCGCAGAACACGCCGAGACCTCGTCTGGTGTGTATCTCTTTGCAAATATCGATTGGGACCCTCTGGAAGAGTTCGACATCATAGTATATGGAGATGCATGCCTTCAAGGCATGGGTTTTTGGGTTCCCTGCCGGGATTTAGGATTCGCAGGGAAGACGGATGCCTCATCCCCCTTTGCTCACCTTATATTCTACTGGGAAGCACTGACAGTTCTCTCTGCTCTTCAATGGCTCATTTCTTCACCTGATTACTGAGGCACTGGGACGACCTTTCCGTTTCACCTTCAGGTCAGATAGTTCGAATACAGTCGACATGTTCAACTCTCTTCGCGCGCAACCAAAATACAACCCTATACTCATTGCCATTGTCGACCTCTTAATTGATTCACATGTGGACTTGCGCGTTGTCCATATATCGGGCAGCCAGAACTCCTTATCACGTTTTGATTTCGACAGAGTCCGTGAGCTCCAACCAAACATCCTTATCACGTTTTGATTTCGACAGAGTCCGTGAGCTCCAACCAAACATCACAATATTACAATTGGAAACCCCTCGTTTGGCGCTGGGGGAGGTGAAAAAATGAACTTAGAACCTTCATTGGCCAGGCAACCTACTCGGAGGCCCTGGTCCATAGAAGAACTAGTGCGAGGCCGTAACATCGCACTCGGACTCGCGACTGATGTCTCTTCGCAAAACACCTACAATTCTCACCTCAACTCCTATATTGCCTTCTGCACTATGCACTCATTCCCACTTGACCCCACCCCTGACACCCTATCCTTCTTTGTTGTATACATGTCACATCACATCGAACCGCACTCAGTCGGCTCATACCTATCGGGCATATGTGACAGACTGGAAGTTTACTTCCCGGACGCTCGCCAGAACCGAAACTCACCCCTGGTGAAGAAAACCTTGGCAGGCATGAAAAAACTTCGCAGTAAACCCATCCAAAGGAAACAACCACTCACTCGTAAACATTTGCTGGATGCCGAACACTCCCTCTCTGACCTCTCGCCCTATGACCATTGCCTTTTCACCATCATGCTCATCACCGGGACATGCGGGCTGCTGCGACTAGGTGAACTCACACTCCCAGACAACCCGGCGCTCCGCAACTTCAGGAAGGTCACACTGCGCACTTCACTGGAACTAGTGGGCGATACTGGTTTCTCCTTTTGGCTCCCTTACCACAAAGCCGACTGATTATTTGAGGGCAATCGGATTGTCATCCTCCCGAAATGGAACCTCCACCCCATCCACATCCTTCAACGATACCTTCGACTCCGTGACAAACGCTTCCCTTTCCACCCGCATTTGTGGGTCTGCTCAGCAGGTTCTGTGCCAACTCGTTCCTGGTTCATGCGTCATCTTCGCGTCCTTGAACCTGATACCCGCTGGGCTGGCCAGTCAATGCGTGCAGGAGGTGCCACCGCCATGGCTGAAGACGGTGCTCCCCCACAAGCCATTCAAGCGGCCGGACGGTGGGCATCCGAAACTTTTCAAATCTATATCCGAAAGAATCCTTTTGTCCTGAATGCTATGCTAGCCACTCGTCGCACGTAACCAAAAAACCAACATCTCATGAATCACCTATAGCCCTATAGCCTCATTTTTTGGTATTCTCTTGCTATTTCCCTTCTTGCACCCTCGTACGACACTGCTTCCCCCTTGCACCCTCGTACGATATCTCAACCTAATACAAAAACGGCCTTTTTTGGGTCGGTTTCACTGGCTAAACACCTGTCCGCGGGTCGAACCGGAGCGATTGGATAGTATGTAGTTTTGGTGTTCTTACGGGATGAGTGTGTTGGGAGATAGATTCCCTTTTAGTTACCGATTCATTCCGGGTTCACGTGACTCCGTTTACTTATAGTCTTTTTCACACGTTCACCACCCTCAGCTGTTACTACTTTGTTGGTTCCATACTGAGGACTTTATTCTTATCGCTCTACGTACAGGTATATTCATCAGCTGTTACTACTTCATTGGTTCCATACTGAGGACTTTATTCTTATCGCTCTACGTACAGATACTTGACCTCTAAGAGAGTGGATAGATAATTCAATAAATAGATAGAGTAGTAATTGAACAAGTAGTAATTCAAAATAACAGCAAAGCCTGTCAAGCCTGTCAAACAATCCTACTTATCTATACTCTAGAAACCTATAAAACCTTGGATAGATAGATACAGTAGGTAGTAATTGAACAAGCAGTAATTCAAAGTGAAAAGTGAGAGCAAAACACTGACTATCTATCTATCTGAAGCAATTTGTACTATTACTATCCTATCCTATCCTAACAAATGGTTAGCACCCAAAACAAGCCCAGCAAAACGCTAGTACACGAGTTCCAATCGAATGACCATTGTAAACCTACATTTTACAGTGACCTTCTTCAAAACAAGAATAGGTTTCTGGGGTTCAGTCGTATGAGCACAAGCAGCAGTGTTCCAGATGGGAATATAAGATCGTGTATGGAGTAACAGATACCAGCGGGTCTTGGTCCATTGGGTTTCTCGTCGCTGTTATATGACAGGAAGTTGCGGGTCGAAAAACGGATATTCGATTGTTGTTTTATTCAAAGCATAACAGCGTGATGAGATAGTCCAGGAGTACGAAAGCAAAGATAAACAACGACCTAATATATGTATCTGTAAGAGAAACAACGCATCAGTATACCAACAACGGAAGAAAAGTGGTGGGATGTCGATGAACGCTCACCTAAATACGATATTCCCATGGATACAACTCTACAAACCAACACAATCTATACTCCTCTCTGAAGCAAAAATGACGATGCAATGTATCTGTAGGCGAAGCATGCATCAGTATAACGACAACGGATGATAGTGGTAGGTGAACGTTTGAACGCTGACCTTAAAGACGATATTCCCATGGATACAACTCTTGAAACCAACACAGTCTATAGTCCTCTCCCGTGAGCCTCAGACGCTCTCTGATCTGCTGCATCTGCTCCTTTGTGGGTAACGAACCATTCTCAGGACGAGTATTATCAGCGAACCCCAAAGCATAGCACGAACCGTCTTCGAACGAAGGATCCACGAGACACCCAAAAGTATTCGGCCATATCTTCCGCGCTTCATCACACATGTTTTCCAGTGAAATCTCGATTGCGTCGCGTTGTGCTCTTAATTTTGCAGTATCGATGATGTCCGGGTTGCCGATGATATCTGGGTCGGCTTCGGCTAGGCGGGGAAGCATTAGTCTCCTGGGGAGTATGATTGCGTATGCGAGAGGGCCGTAGTCCTTTTCTGTGGGTACTACTACTGCTGTTGTTTTCCGAGAGGGACGAGAAGGTTTGATAACGTCTGATGAGAGTCCTGGAGCGAATGTGACTTTGGGTTGCATAACGATGCAACGTATGGACCTTTGAAGGTGGTTTATCGAGTTCTCTCTTACTTTTGAAAATTCAAGGATGGGGTTTAGAGGTAGGGTCAGGTTTATATTGGAGATCAAAAACAATTCCCACGTCACGTTATCGTCCCGACTTCCCATCGACTCCCCCATGCTTGCTTCAAAGAAAAAAATCCAATATCCACATATGCATAAGTTCACTGATATGATAGCCGACTTATGTAGTTGAGAATGAAAGCAAACGGAAACTGGAGCAGTCGTTCCACCCCTTAAGCCCTCACGCAGTCCTTTCTTCGCTCTTTTCTCACATTCACGGAAATCGAGCGCACGATTTGGATGACCAGAGGTTCTAAGATAGCATGAACATCGCATGAGCGAGACATGCAGAAAACTCTTGTGAGTATCGCTCTTCTTACCAATTGCAATTTATTAAACGGAAGAAACTTTACCAGAAACATATATAAACCGCGTTCTCCAGGTGAATGCCCGACGAAAAGGATGCAAAGAGCTTTATTTCGAAACCTCCTTAAATGGTTGATAGCTTTGAGATATGTTTTATAGAGATCTAGATTTAATACTGCAAAACCAGGAAGATGATGGATGTACTTACCGATCTGGGACTTCGATGGGGTCAGCGTATAGAGAGGTTACCTTCCACTGGACCAGACTGGACCATTGTTACCTTGATGCACTAATCTTCCACTTTCGATAAATAATTATAACACTCGACAATCAAGGAATATCTATCTCTCTATATACCCCATCCTCAACATCATGGCGTATCCTATACGGCACCTCAAGCAACTCCTCCCTTCGTTCATTCCTTCACACCACCGCCATAATTGACTCCGGATTATCCTCATGATGCACAATCCTCGAATGCAGAGGCACAACCGTGACTGGCGGCGTAATCGGATGCGGAGCCTCATCCCCTACGAATTGTACAGAACACACATCCACCTCAACACATTCCTCACCCGCTCTGGGACCCCAAAAATAAAAATGATGATGGTTCCAAAGCGGAGCATAATTCGTACCGAGTAGTATACGTGACATCTCCTCGTTCGTGAGGTGTTTGTGTTTTCTCCATTCTTTTAGTATTGCTTTGACCTCCTTGCTAGTAGAACGGCTAGCGGGCGGTGCCGGTTCCACCGTACTCGGAGTCGTACATGAAAAAGACGGTGACTTTAGCCTTTTCTGCGGTGGAGCTGGTCGTCGTGGTCATTTGTGATCGTCCGGGTGATGCTGGGGGGTGGGGACTCTCTGCTGGTGTGTGGCTGTGGCTGCCACTGGTGTTAGTTGTATGCTGGACGCCACAGAGATCAGGTTCTCATAAAAAGTTTTTAACGACGGCTCAACTCACATCCACAGGCACTGCATGTGTCACAGAGACAAGGCCGGCGAGGAGTCCAAGGAAAAGGGAAAGACGACTCAAGATCATCATCTGGGGTAGTATATATACTAAGCACTATTGTACGTGTTTTCTTCAAGTTATAGATGTGTGGTACTTTGAGGGTGAACTGGCCAGCAGTATTCCCCGTAGCTTCGGAAGTTGGTGGTTCGAGGAAAAAAGAGGCTCCGGATCAATGATATCGACTGTTACCATCCTCCTATCCTATCCATCTTCAGGCGCTGCGTCCGCCGTCAGTGTCCCTTATTCTCCTGCCTGTCCGGTATCACCTGGTATCACCTACGGAGTCAAGCAGAATCGATCACCGTACGTTCTAATGCTACCACGCATTGATCGTGTTTCATGCTGTTTCATGTAAGTCGGAGGAAAGCAAAGGTTACACCGGTCGGTCCCATTTCATGTGGATGTATCCCCATATGTACTTCTGGAAATTCACATATGAGGTCATTCTAGGGGCTTGTTTCAAGAACCTTCATGAGCATCTTCAAGTTTTGCATTCCGATTTGGGAAAATCGTAGGACGACGCGTAGCCTCGCGTACCTTTTATCCGATAAGCTCATGAAAAATTTTCGCGCCTGAGTCCTGAAAGGGCCCCGTGGAAGAGATATAATAGTGAGACGTTCGTAGAAGAAATTTCTCTTTATTACTCTTTGTCCGTCATAGCCCTGGTTCGGTTCGTCAGCCACCTCCCTCTTCTGTTTGGTTCTACCATCATCTGACAATATTTTTGTGTTCAACTCAAAACACAGGCAGTACTAAGAGTGGGTTCGCAGGCGAATTCATACATAGGTAAAATGCAAAATTATTGTTTGTTACCGCGCCGCGTTGACAACCCCATCTTTCGCTCGATTTATCCCCCACCCTACACCTGTCTCAATTTACATATTACAGACGCTTTTCTGTTATTTCCGTTTCCTTGATCTACCGTTTGCGAAATCTTCACATCCACGGTATGTACTACAATCTGCCTGCACAAGGTATCATTGACTAATTCCAAAGTCTCTTCTTGCCCCCCCAGTCGTCGACCATCCTCGTCACATATACTCTTTCTAATCCAAAAACACACAGCATGATATTCTTCATTCCGTTCCGTTCATGGTGTTTACTTTCGATCTTTCTGTCCACGCTCTTCGTTGCCCCAGTGCTTGCCAGTCCCTTGGCTCTCCAAAGTACTACTACGACCATCGCCAGCGGCTCCGATAGGCCGCTTGAAGCACGGGGTAAGTCCAAGTTCAAAGTTTGATTTCTCGGGGGGTACCATACTAAAATCCTTTTACATTACACACATCTTGTAGATGAAAATATGTACAAATCCATACCTGTCATAATTCGCCGCCGCATTGGCGAAGTTACAGTTCAACCAACGAAACCAGGTAACCCGAAAGAAGCTTGGGAAATCTTTTTTGGTTATCTCATTCCAGGGTTCGTTGGTCACCTTGACTGGCAGTCTGATCCCCACGCATCGAATTGGCCTTGGGTTATCAGCAGGACTTCCGCGGGGCTTGATCGTCGCACAAAACCAACCTTTTTTGTCGATTTTGGGACCAAAGATCAAATGGCATCTTTCATTGGACACTTGAAGAAGCCTGACTTTCTGTTCCAGGGGAGATTTGGTTTTATTGATGCTGTACGCAAAGAGTTGCTTAAATACTTGTCCGAGCACGGCCTTCCAGTGCCATCAATACCGGAGCATCTGGTGAGTGTACTTGAGAAAATGCTAGAGGAGGAGGAGAAGGTGGAACATACGGAGATTGCTAAAGAGGTAGCAAAATACAAGCAAAGTTACGTGGAGCAATGGGACGAAAAACAGGCACAGGCTCAAAATCGACCCGTATGATTCTTATGATAGGCTGTTAATCTTACTCTTTGTCCAGTTGCTGTAGAAATTGTCGATGAGTAGAGTCGTATGTATGTACAAGAATCTTCGTTTTTACAAGTCCCACAACATTCCTACCCTCCTACTTCCCAGCTCTTATTGCCCTCCTGATTCGCCACCCCGGCCCAATCTGCATCACCACATACACCATCGGCGTCATAACCGCACATACCCCTCCCAGAAGAATGAACGTCCACCCAGGACCGTCGAGTGCGTTTGCGATGAGGTCGATGACTGAGACGAGGAGTGCACCGGATGTGCCGCGGAAAAGATTATTCTGTCTCGATGAGTTAGCGAGAGTGTTTGACAACACTTGAGACTTGAACTCACGCAAGCAGAAACGGAAGAACTCTGTTCAGGCATCAAGTCAATAACGAACGTCGCATCTGCGTTCATCACGATGATAGCTATGAATCCCACTATATAGAAAATGAACAAGATTAGCACAGTCAACATACTCAACCTCGCTCGTCCGATTTTCACAGCTCCGCCATCAGCGAAAAGACTCACCAATAAACTGCAATATCAACGGAACACTGATATGTACCTGTCGCTGTATGGACCATCCGTATCCTAGATTCGCACCGACGAAAAAGATCATGAAGAACGGAATGAGACGGAGTCGAGCCTGTAGGAAGAAAGGAACAAAAAGGGAGGATGTGAGGGGCAAGAACAGAGTTCTTGTAGGCTACGTACCTTCTCGATCGGGAAATCCTCATCGTACCTTCCTGTTTTCTTTTGTTCTTCTCCTTCTCCTCTCTCTGTACCCTTCTCTCTTCCCCTTTCCTTCACTTCCTTCTGTATCCTCCCAAACTCCCAATCCAACACCTTCCCACTTGTCAAACTCCCCAGAAACATTCCTCCCCCGATCGCCAGAAAACACAACCCGACTTCTGTCTCGCCTAATTGCGGATACGCCGAAGCGAAGAGGGTTGAGATGGTTGCAGTAACGGCGTAGTAGACTGCGTTGACCGTCCCGTTGAAGAAAAGAATAAGGGTGATGTCGGGGTTGTGGAGGAGAATTCCGAAGGGGTTCTTGAATGGTTTTCTTTTGCGAGAAGGTTGAGGTTGGTTTGATTTGGGTTTGGATGACCCTCCTGCGCGACCTCGACCGACAATTCGGATGAGTGGTTGGTGGAGGATGGATGACTTTGTGGGAAGACTCCCGTTTCCGACTATGGATCTAAGAGTTTCCGGGAGAAATCTATGTGTCATTTGACATGGTTAGTCAAAAATACCAATGTGTCTCAATAAAAACCCACATAATTACAACCAGAAAGGCGACTCCGGAAGAGATACATAGGAACCAGAAGATTGACCTGAGGATTTGGAAATTGAATTTCGAGTTTTCATTCGAGGAATTTATGCAACCAAAGTATTGAATACCAAAGCTGAAATATACTGACCTCCATCCCAGCGTACCAGCTAACGCACCTCCAATGACTGGTCCAATGGCTGGAGCGAGCTAGTTTTGAGAGCGTTATAACGAACGGTCAAGAGATAGAAGTATCAAACCAAGGAACACTTACCAAAGGCCCACTCTGATACACTCCAAAAAAACCACCTCTCTCATGTGCTTCCGCGATATCCCCGATTACACCTGCGCCTGGGATTTCCATGAACAAATGAGGGTGTGTGTGTGTGCATTTGACACCATTTAGAGATAGTCTACGATAACTCACCTAGCGCAATCGTGCTAGCCGAACCCGTAGACTGCAAGCACCTGAGCAAGAGAAGAAGCCAATACGCCGATGTTGGGATCAGAGCTAGTCCGACGCAGGTGAGCGATAGGATAAGGAGACATGATGCGTAAATAATTCGTCTTCCGACCTACATGATAGACTCAGTTTGAAGAAGCCCCGAAAGGAGATGACATATGGTGATACATACATTATCAGCCAAAGTCCCGAATAGCATTGGAGCTGCGAGTGAAAGAAAACAATAATCGCAACAACTGAGGATTTGGTTTGAAAAATGACAAGAAATGTTTATACGAACAAATTCCTTGAAAGATCATATACATCGTGATCTACGCGCAGGAGAAAAAATGTTAATCAAAGTGTCGGATAGTGTCTTATAGGATAATTGTTACTCGAAATACTCAACTGTGAGATTGATGAGCTCCGTGGACTTGTGGAATGCTCCTGCGATGGCAGGTATAGCGGGGACTAGAGGAGTGTAACAAGTGATATCAACCACTACAAATTAAATAATTGGAATCCGACGTACAATAAACATTCGCAGTGAGCGGACTACGCGTTGATTGGCACCGAGAATAAACCAACCATTACTAATTGAGAGATCGAATTTCAACCCACCTAAACAGCCCAGAGATCGCAATTAACAAAACCAAGAACCACTTTTCGTTTCTCGTGTAGATGCTATAGGGTTCTTTAACTCTCTGATCATTAGTCTTCTCATCTGTCAATGGCTCTTGAGCTATTTTGTCGGCGTGAAGTGACTGCTGGCCTAAATTCTTCGACTCCGACGAAGGTTCTTGCTTTCGAAGAAGAGGAGCGCCAGTAGCAGTAGGTGAAGACGAAGACGAAGATGAACCCGACGCTGACAAGTCGTTGCGGCTTATTGACATCGTTCAATTTGATTCAATGTATCGAAAGTATACTTGGGCCGGCGGTCTCGTATAAGTTCCTTCGTCGTGCTAAACAGATAGTATAAATGGGTGAGTTTTGTGTCCAAATAATGAATTTGAAGAAGGGAAGGAAGGAAGGGTGATGCATCGAAAGGAATCTGTGCAGGTCGTGGTTTAAGTATGGAAAAGGACTTCGGAAGTTTACCGTTGATTCAGGATTAGAGATAAGATGGGTGGATAATCTTATCTGACAATGATAACGTTATCTTTGGCGGCGACGAAGGTGAATTGGGTCTTTTTTCCCGTCCTCCGATCATCGTCGAACGTGTAAAGTTATATTAGATCAAAATTCTCTCAACTTAACAAGGCTCATCGATCACAAGACTTCTCCTTTCTTCAACTGTTTCCATTCATCGCAATTCACATCACACTTGATCAAGTTCCCCTCACCCCCTTTCCCCATACATGGCACGCCTCTTGTTTACTATCCTGGGTCTCCTCGTTGCCTTCCTCGCAGCCCTATACCAAATTTACCTCAGCCCCTTATTGCAAGTTTTGGGTGTATTCCGCACTGTAGAGAATTTCGGGTTGGACCCTGCTGCTTGTAGAGGTTTACCAGAGTTTCAGGCTTGTGAGAGTATGTGTACTCATATCTGTTAACATCGCTGGTTGGATGCTGAGCACTGAGTCCGATTGATAGAAATCGTCCTCCACCAACCCACTGGAATCCTTTACCTCGCCTGTTCAACCCCAGAAAGTCGACTCGCGTGGACCCCCGCAATGGGTCAACTCAACGCTCAAAACAGATCCGTCGAGGACTACATCGCTACATTCGATCCAACCACCTCAAAGATCACTCGGCTTGAACTCCAAAACTATCATAGCGACCAGCCAATATCCGTACACGGCATGGACGTCGTTCCTTCTAACACTAACCCAAACGAGCTTTTCGTGTATCTGGTCAACCACCGTGCACCTCCACGTGAGCAAGATCCGGAAACTGTAGGAGCGGATTCTGTTATCGAGGTATTCAAGACCACAGTATCCGGGGACCAATTGGTCCATATCAAGACAGTCAGAGATCCAAACGTTATATCAACACCAAATGATGTCGCCGGGGACGCTGATGGGAAAGGGTTTTATTTCACCAATGATCATGGTTTCAAGGTTTCACATGTACGCTAGTCGTCATCTTATCCCAATACGAACTCATCCCTCATCTCAAAAAAACCGTCTAACCCTCTGTCCTTGAAAGGTCCGAACACTCCGCAACGTCTTTTCCTCAACAACCTCTGTCGGGTACTGTCATCTAGACCACGGTTGTAAAATCGTGGCATCTGGATTATACACCAACAACGGAATCGTCAAAGCCCCGGCACTGAATGCCAGTGTATACGTCGCGAGCAATATGGGCGGAAAGATATCTGTTTTTGAAAGACAGGCGGTGGATGATTCTTTGATATTAATGGACGTTATACACATAGGTACGTACAATAGTAGGTGCCTCACAGACACCCTTCGAGAGTCAGGGTTATTGAAAAACCCATTTTACGTAGGACAGGCTCTGGATAATCTTTCCTTGGATAATAACGGTCATTTATGGGTTGCAGGTTCGTCGGTCCTCGCCGAGTAACCCCCCGCATGCTAATCGTATTTCGGGCCATGTCTCATCAGCATTCCCCAAAGCCCAAGATATGGTTGAACACCTAACCAAAAACCCACTGCACCTCTCACCCGTTGCGGCATTCAAGATCTCCGTAAATACTGGTCCAGGCTCCTTTTACGGTGAGAAATACGCGGTCGAGAAGGTTGGTTTTTTTTTCATTGCGCTTGGTGGTGGTCTCGTTCCTCGTTGGCAGTAGAGCTACTACATGGCCATAAGATGTCTCTCGGACACACCCATACACACATACTGTTCAATAGAACTGACTACCTCTTACCTCCACCCTCAGATATTCGAAAACGACGGAACGATTGTCTCAGGATCTACTTCGGTCGTACATGACTCTGAACGAGGGATGCTTTTCATGCATGGTGAGTTTTACCTTCAATCTCCAGACCCTCGACTGCCCCTTCTTTTCCTTCTTCTTCAACCCAGACTCTGATGAGAGCAATATTGCATTGTTTATGTTAGGTGTGGCTGCTCATCAACTTGTTGTGTGTCGTGTACAGTATTAGATTATAATTAACATATTGGCATATGCGTATGTATGTTTTGCATTTTTTTCCCAGAATTCAAGAATTGTACGACACATCATATGGGAATCGATGATCGATGTAAAGGGTGTATATAAAATCGCAGAGCCGATTGTTATTCCAAACGAATCACGACCGTGGAGGGCTACCCCTTGCTCTGGTAGGGTCAAACCTTTCCTTTAAACATATCTCCTTATTCTATCCCTCATCTGCGTCGGGCTACGTACCCTGATCCTAACACCGGCGTATCGGCTTCTTCTCTTACTCTCTTGCTCGGGTATGCAGTCAACGGGTCTGTCTCTAGCACGATTGCGTGAGGTGGGTTGTGCAGTATCTTTGCTCGCATATATCATTTGTGTTTAACTGATGTATCCAAAATAACGATTTCTGATTCAAACGGGGGCGTTATCTGAAATACGACAAAAATGCAAAGGGGTTTTTTGACTAGTAGGCCCCGGTAGGGGTGTATCAAAGTGGGCCTTTGGTGGGATTACTCTGTTCAGCAGTCCGTTCTTTGAAAACCCTGATATGGACACTCGAACTGTTCCACGATGATTATGTATTGCTTTTTATCCAAAACCCAGCTTGATATAGTCATCGGACCGGTCGTCGGAAGCGCATTAGTTGGAACACTGGGATGGAGGTCAGTATTTCTCCCGGAAACTCAGATCCGTAGTCGGAAACTGGTCGGAAACGAAAGTCTTCCCATAAACTCATCCATTCTCCACCAACTACTCAACCGAATTGTCAGCCGAGGTCGCACCAGAGGGTGGTCACAACTGTCTCTCAAATCAAAACCTTTCAAGAATTCCTCCCAAATCCTCCTCCGAAAACCCGACGTCACCCTTATCCTTTTCTTCAACGGAACTGTCAACACAGTATACTACGCCATAATCTCATCCCTGTTCGCTTCGGCGTAACCGCAATCGGGTGAAACGGAAGTCGGGTTGTGTTTTCTGGCGATAGGGGGAGGGAGTTTCTAGGGAGCTTGAAGAGTGGGAAGGTGTTGGATTGGGAGTTTGGAAAGATCAAGAAGGAGGAGAAAAAGGAAGAGGGAAGGGTCTGGAGAGAGAAGAGGAACAAAGGAAATCGGGAAGGTACAGTGAGGATTTCCCGATCAAGAAGGTACGTAGCTTCCAAGAAGCTATTTTAAAACCTCACACCCTCTCCTTCTTTCTTTATTCCTTTCTTCCTACACGCTCGCCTTCGTCTCATCCCATTTTTCATGATCTTTTTCGTCGGTACGAATATTAATCTAGAGTATGGACAAATTCGGGCCTACAGCCCAGACAGACCCGCACCCGATTTCTCCGATTTTGGTTGGTTGGTTGCCAGAGTAGACATTCCCGATTTCGAATTACATATGACTAAGCAGTTCGTGGGATTTGCGCCGCAGGTTCGTGAGGCTGTTTACAGGTACATGCCAAGGACAGTCCTTTCGGAAAGCGATACCGGCGCCTATACATAAAAGCGAGAAAACTTGCCTCTAAACCCCATCCCTGAATTTCCAAAAGTCATCATATAGTTGCATCGTTATGGAACCTTATGGAACCCAGAGTCACGTTTGCTCCAGGACTCGCCTCAGACGTTGTCAAACCTTCTCGTCCCTCTCGGAAAATACCCACAGAAAAGGACTACGGTCCTCTTGCCTATGCAATCATACTTCCCAGGAGAGTAATGCTTCCCCGACTAGCCGAATCGGACCCAGACATCATTGAGAACGTCGATTTAGCCAAGGTGTGGGCACAAAGCAACGCAATCGAGGCTTCACTCGAAAACATGTGCGACGAAGCTCGGAAGATATGGCCCGACACTTTTGGATGCATTGTGGATCCCACGTTTGAAGATGGTTCATGTTACGCTTTAGGATTCGCTGATAATACTCGTCCTGAGAATGATTCGTTACCCACAAAGGTTCAGATTCAGCAGATCAGAGAGCGTCTGAGGCTCACGGGAGAGGACTATAGATTGTGTTGGTTCGAAGAGTTATATCCATGGGAATATCGTCTTTAAGGTCAGCGTTCACCTACCACTATCATCCGTTGTCATTGTACTGATGCATGTCTCTCCTACAGATACATTGCATCGTCATTTTTGCTTTCTCTTCATTCTTCGTCTTGTCGCACTGTTATGCTATAAATGCAACACAATGTCCTTAGAGGATCACTATCCTTCTTGCGCATTCCTGCGCGCCGACTGTTTTAACGAGCCTGTTTGTTTTTATTGAACGGCTGTATACACATTCCAGACCGCAAGCTTCGTTTTCGACCCGCAAGTTGAAGTTTCTGTCGTGTAACTGCGGGCGGGTTATTCGGTATCAGGATCGCTCTGGTATTACTAGCGGGGATGCACAATGTATTGTCAACTTGTAAACTTTCTGCGGCTTTGCAAACGAACGTTCCGGTGCGAATGCCTATGAAATTTCTGATGCTCGATATTTTCTCTATCTTACAGCAGCTGATATTGAGCGTCGAAGTCACTTCCGCTACAAGGACTTGCCCCGGACGTGCTCAAACCATCTCATTTCAGACGGAAGACCACCTTGAATCCCCAACGTTGAGACTTCGGGCCACTCGCATATGCGCGATCCTTCCTCTGAAGAATGGAATACTGGTGTAACTGGGGTAGCCCTGCTTCAACTAGTCCAGTACAACAAGAAAGAAGCTCGCACACGATTTCTAGTCCAATCAACCCTCTGTGAACGTTTGTAAGATCAGGATAAGCCACTTTATTGCTTTCGTATACTCATACGGCTTTGCTGCAGCTCGATTTCCCCTTTCCTCGCAAACATTTCCAACTCTGTCACTAGTGTTCCGCTGACATTGCAATTGATTGATAAGAGGTGGTTTTGTCAGAGGGAGCTGAGGAGATCGAACGAGCGATGTCGGGTACGTCGACTATCTTGAATTTGCTTTTTCTCTAGTGGGATTCATCGTGATGAACGCAGATGCGACGTTTGTTGATGCCTAGACAGAGTTCTTCCGTGTCTGCTTGCGTGAGTTCAAGTTACACGTCATTTTCCATTTCGTTACTCTGTTGTCAAACTCTTTCGCTAACTCCATTCTATCGAGACACAATAAAATTTTCCGAGGCACACTCGGTGTACTCCTCTTGTTAGAATCAACCTCATCGCTAATGCACTTGATGGTCCCAGGTGTACATCCGTCTTTTCGGGAGGGATTTTTGCTATTGTGTATGTGGTCATGAGAATTGTGCCGGTGCAGAGGGCGAGGAGAGCTGGGATACGGGGGAGAGGAGGAAGGTTTGGGGGACTTGAATAAAAGCAATGTTAATGAGGCCTTAAGGGTGAAAAGCTTTCAATTTCTGTTCCGCGTCTTCTAATCTTCTAACAGTGAATGACGGTCGAAAAGGACAACAGGAACGCCAAGTTCACTACATGATGCATGGTAACACTGCCCTTCAAGGCCTCAGTAGGTCTCTCTGACCAGCACCGTGACTGCTCGTGTCTAGCTAACCATCATATGTGTTGCATCTTTACAGTACTGTATCGTTTATTTCTGTCCTTTTGAACGCGTACTCATGCGTGTCGAACTGCCCTTCAATTGAATCGTCCCCGCTTGACCATCCAACCCTTTACTGTCCTCTGCTTTATTATTCTCGACCTGACCACCTCCTGCTCGCCTACCTCCTGTTCGAGTACCCTCTGATTGGCTACCCCTTGATTGACTACTCCCCGATTTACTACTCGAACCAGCATCCTTTACTTCCGCCTCAGCCTTCGGTCGATAACCTAATGTCCCTGTCGCCTTCATAAAGTATATCTGTCTGATCTTGGTTAGTTCGTTATCAGAACGGACAGTCCCTATCTCAAAGTATATGTCACTGAATAGGTCATAGAATTCGTGTCGCAGGGCGCGGTGGTTGTGAGGCTGTTTACCGGGTTCAGGCCAAGGGCAGTCCTCCCGAGATATAGGTGCATATCGCCAAAAGGGACCGGCGCCTATGAAAGCAAGAAATTGGCTGCTGTTTGGGTACTTTTTAAAATGGATGATGGTATAGTTGATCATTTGGTTCATAGCAATTGTCATGTGGATTTCCATATCTGAAAAAAAAGCCAGATACGCCTGCAGGTCGTCTAACTTTCTTTTCGCTAGGTGACGCCTAGGAGCACGTTTCAGCTCAGTATAAGACTCAGGAACGTAACCTTCCACCGTCCATCCCCCGAACTGAACATGGTTGCAATGAGCTCGCCTCTCATCTAGAGTATAGTCGTCAAATGGAGCGGTAGTGGGTAAAAGACTCGGGGGAAGTTCCATCTTAGATAATTTTAGAGCGATCACTGTGTTGTCGGGGACTCCGCTGGAATACTGTCTACGAATTGCATCCACTGTAGCAACTGAATCAGTTAGAGATCCAGTCTCTGCTTTATCGTCTTCTTCCTGTGGAGATTTCACCTCCACGTTGGGAGGAATGCCTGCGCTGGGGACAGTTTCGCCCTCATCCTCAATACCGAGAATCAGTGGTCCTAGATCGGTAACATCGTGGTCGTCGTCCTCAACTACGTCGACTGTCACATCGGTCTCCGTGCCAGAATCGCCACTTATGTGGACATGAGATTCCTCTGACACAGTGATGGAAGTTGCAGAACCTTGGTCATGCACAATAGGAGCATGAGCAGAGTCCCCGGTCGATTTAGATTTCTTGGTCTTCCGCGGCAGACCTTTTTTCTGCACCGGCCTAACATTCCCTACCCAGAGATGCTGCTGACCAGCGACAATATGGTAGGGACCTCCCTGGATAGGGCTGAGAAGGTCCCGCAACGTATCTTCATACACGATCAAGTAATGGTTTTCAAGGGCACGGGGATTTGACAGGAAGGACCACGCATGCGATTTGTACTGTAGGATGTCGTGGCTGGTGACATAGGGCTCCAGCGCAACTGTAGGGGGTGGTGGAGGAGATGAAATGAAGTCGAGAATGGGTTTAGGCGCCATTGTCTATAATTTCGATGTAGTCGAATGGAATGGGACTGGGGAGCAAATAGAATTGTACGACGCTTTTGTATCCGACACGAAGTTAGGGGAAATTGAAGAAAATACTGTTCGTAGTTTGATATGAAACAACTCCGAACTTGTGGCAAATTGTTCAGAATCTAAGAACTAGTACTGTTCATAGCAAAGAACACTGAAGGTTTGAACAAGGTTCACAACAATCTCGTGTAGGTAGAACAAAAGAGAACAAAGCCAGTCTGATCCTGAGTGCGCCACAGTTCACATATACAGTGTGTAAGAGCACAAGGCCAGACAACATGTCAGTCAAATAATCACAGAAGATCACAGAATTGGCGGTGTCAACGAGGCCCCCAGAATCTCCTGCAGAACCTCACCCGAAATAGCGTCATTTTGGGCCCGATTTTGACGATTTCCTGGTCCTAAAATAGCGTCATTTTCAGTCAAAATCCTTAGTCCTTGTCCGTTTATAGCGTCATTTGAGTCGGCAGGAGTCGGCGCACCAGCACCAAACCAAAAAAATTTTAAGCACCGGAAAAAAATGGAAAAAGAACACCAACATTTGAATTTTGAAGAAATTTTTGGAAAATTTTTCGATTTCACGTGACGATCCTGGTCCGAAATAGCGTCAATCATGGCAAAATCATAGCGTCAATTAGGGCGTCAGGCCGGGTGGGGTTCTGCAGGAGATTCTGGGGGCCTTGTCAACGTGATTCATCAATTCTCTCGTTGTTTTGTGAAGGGTGCACCACAATTGCATTACAGTCGTGTGAATTGTTTTCGATATAAACCTGCTCTAGAGATTGGGCCCTTGACTTGCCTCTAAACCCCCATCTGCCTATCCTCGTAAAGTTCAGAAGTAAGAGTGCGCTAGATAAACAGCGATTCTGCACTAATCACATCACTATAGTTCGTTATGGAACCTAAAGTCACATTTGCTCCAGGACTCGCGTCAGGCGTTGTCAAACCCTCTCGTCCCTCTCGGAAAATACCCACAGAAAAGGATTACGGTCCTCTTGCCTATGCAATCATACTTCCTAGGAGAGCAATGCTTCCCCGACTAGCCGAGACTGACCCAGATATCATTGAGAACGTCGATCTTGCCAAGTTGAGGAAACAACGCAACGCAATTGAGATTTCGCTCGAAAACATGTGCGACGAATCTCGGAAGATTTGGCCAAACACTTTTGGATGTCTTGTAGATCCGACGTTTGAAGATGGTTCTTGTTATGCTTTAGGATTCGCTGATAATACTCGTCCTGAGAATGGTTCGTTACCCACAAAGGAACAGATTCAACAGATCAGAGAGCGTCTGAGGCTCACGGGAGAGGACTATAGATTGTGTTGGTTTCAAGAGTTGTATCCATGGGAATATCGTCTTTAAGGTTAATTCGTTCACCACTTTCATCCGTTGTCATGATACTGATGCATGTCTCTCCTACAGATACATTGTATCGTCGGGCATCTTTGTTTTCTCTTCATTCTTCTGGATTATCTTGTCGCACTGTTATGCTATGAATGTAAGACAATGTCCTTCATTCTCTGTACTATTGTTTTGTTATGAATACAACGCAATCTCTTAAGGGATCACTATCCTTCTTACGCGCCGACTGTTTCACAGAGCCTGCTTGTTTCATCAAACAACTGAATATACCGCAAGCTTCGTTTTCGACCTGCCCTGCAAGTACCTGACGTGTAACAGCGAGCAACCCATTGATATTGCGGTCCATTATTCGGTATCAGCATTACTTGCTGGGATCTATCGTCAACCCGGTCATTTTTGGGGGCTGAGACGAACGTCCCGGTGCGAATGCCTACGAATTTTATGATATTCAATTTAGTCTCTTTCTTACCGCAGGTTGGGTCGTCAGACGGGCCTTCTACATCAGTCATGGACAAGGGCTGGTTGGTCACATTCACTGGAAATCTGATCCCCCGCGCAACCTCCCTGCAACCTCCCGACATTTTATATGGACAGCTCTTCTTTCCTTACCTATCGAAAGAAGATACATCACCTCTACGTGCTCTCAAAATTTCCTTCTCACCAAGTATTGACTTGGACAGTCTGCATCCCTCAAGTACTCGGTGTCCAGTTCACTCAAACTCTGCTATTGGAGGTGTGTCCGAAAACCTAAAATATCTTGGATGATTTGTCCTTTAAGCCTGTTCCCTCGAAGTGGAAGAATGAATTGGAAAAAGCCCGATACTGAGTTCTTTGTGACGGAGGGATGGAGGGCTCATTGCTGAGTATGTTCGACTTGTAACGTTCGTACTTCTAAAGGAGTTGCGTTCACTTACATATTTATGGCCATACTGATTCACAGTCTGGTCCACCGGGGGTTACACGTAGCCTTAGTCTTTCTAGGACGATGAACATCATCATGTAAACTTGTAAACAATGTATCTTTTGCCTCAACATATGGGAATCGCAATCGCGTTTCCTTAGGTGTGGGGAATCTGGACGGTATGTGTATATAAGCTCTACGCAGCCTTGCCCTGGTCATCCCAGTAATATGCATCCCCTCAGAATTGCCAGGTAAGCGAGAGGAATACTTGGATCTGTTTTTGTTTGAGCCGATTCAAGTTTTGGCTAAAATGAACAATCGTATTTGCCTTATGACCTTTTGTTGGCCGAGACCGTCAAAATTTGGATTTTTTTTTGTTCGGAGTGCCAAATCGAAGCGTATTTTAGGCGAGAGAACCAGCATTGAGGAAACTGTAGCCGCTTAAAATTTGAACAATTGCATGCATTTCAAGGATGTAGAAAAGAAATGAGAATTCCGAAAGATCGAAAGCATAGTACAAGCAACGAAGCGTACCACAATAAATCAAGCCAAAGAAAATAAGTATTCACAGTATGCTACGGCTAGTACATACATAGGCTAAATGCAGGGAGATACGGAATACAACAACTGATAGACTATTGTAGACCTGAGAAAAAAAGGGGAGATAGGAAATGAACGAGAGTGAGTAAGATAAAGCGACAACGTGAATGCAAAATAGGAGTGCAGGAATTGATGAGGGGGCAGAACGGGAATATGAAGAATCAAGGAGCGAGTGTAAGAAGCCGACTCCGTTGTCTTGGATGGCATTCCTGAAAGTGGGGATTGAAATCGTGAAGAGGATAGGCTCATCTCTGATCGACAAAGACAGGTTGAGAGGAAAAATAAGTAGGCAATAAGTGATAATGCAGGGACCAAGAGAGCGAAAAGCTCAAGCGGTGCACAGGGCGGAGAGCAGGAAGAAGCTGGGGGGAGCGGGACCGCAATAACGACGGAGTATAGGGTGAGGGGGTGCGCGGAGGGAAAGGAAAGGTTGCCGAAGGCGAACTAGCTAAATAGTGTCATTCAGACGAGGAAATAACGAGGAATAAACGATCATTCAGCTCACCTAAGTTATGTTCGCAAAAGGCGTGATAGCGTAAAGGATCAGGCAACAACGCAGAATCCAGTGTATACGGTGCTTTCACCGTCATGCTCAGCGTCAAATGGCAGAACATTTGCAGATGAGTCTGAGCCAGAATCTGGCGAGAGAGGAATGCGGTGAACGCTGCTTGGTTCCAGTGGCGAAGTGGAAGCATTTGAAGCGAGCGCTGCGTCGAAGGAGATAAATGAGTCCATGAGAGTTTCGGATGATGTGGTGAATGTTCAAGGTGTGGGTTCAAAGGTAGTGTAGAACGAGCTTTCAAATTTTCAAGTACGAATTCGAAGGCGGAGCGGAACAACTAGAAGAGCAGCGCGAGCGAAACGTTTAGCTTGTGCTTGTGAGTTTGTCTGCTAGTGGGCTTTAAGTTGAAGCTTGAAGCTTTGAAAAGACGTTTTATACGCATACCGGCCATAGTGCCAAAAAAGAGAGGACAATGAATATTTGAATGTCGGCACTGTGTTTTTTGTCTGCTTTTGCATAGTCCACTTCGGGCCGAATGTTACGAAAATATCCTTCCATGTCATCGTCCGGAATCATGAAGCTTTGAAGCTTCGAAGGCCGACCGTCTCAAGAATCAATACAGGCAGACCAAGAAATCAACAGCATCAAGCTCTGGCGTACTAAAAGTTTACAGTAACCGCTGGACGAAGTTCATTCACCAGAAGACATTTCCCCACCGCGAAATCCACCGTCAAAATTTTGCGTTCAAGACAGGTTCAGGGTCTCGCATTCTATTACAGCTTAACTTTCCCGATAACTTTCAGATGCACACGGTCGAAAAGCTCAGGACAATGGACAGTGGCCAGTGGCTGTGTAACACATGGACAGGAAAAGGCGAGAACAAAAGAAGTCGAACAATGAAGATAATCATTGAGCCCTGAAAATTACCATATTTGAGGCCTTGCTTTGTCCTCTAGTTTCGCCTCCTATAGCTCGCCGCACTTCGCTATTCCACGTAAACGTATAAGAGATCGATCGTACGAACTAGCAGGCCCCATAATTCAGAAGCACCCGTTCCTTACAAAAACTTAAAGGCGCTTGTGATTCGCGCCCAATCACCCGACGTACTCAATAATCGTTCCTCCCAATATCACTGTATCCTCTCCTGATCCTCTCTGACCTGAATGGATTCATACGCCCCGATAAACTCGATCTTGGCTTTCGATAATTCCTTCGAAATGACCACAAACACCAGCTCTTCCGACTCGATATTAGAACTCTCCACTCTACCGTTGGACTCAGAACACGATGGAGAAGGTGTCGCAGACACCGGATACTGTGTAATCGCCTAATTCCTGCTAAGCAAGTAAGTCCTACCAGAAAGATTTCGTGATGTCGTCGTACTAATGTAGCCCGACCAGTTCTTTCCATGTGCCTCTGTTGAACAGGGCCAGCTCGCATTGTGTAGACTTGCACGAGCAGTTCCGACTGTGAAACTTTGAAAGTGGCCCTAAACAGCAGGTACTGATTCGAGTCTCGCATTAACACTCCGTACGCAGAATATGATTACTGCAAACGGTTCACGTTCATTCACACCACATTCGGCGTTCAAATTTTGGACCACGCCGTTCAATTCAGCCTCCTTCCTTGTCCTTGTTTCCGCTTGATTTGTTATCATAATCTTTGTTGTATTTTACTTAGGCGTATTTTTAAAAGTTAACGAGGTAGGTGAACTGCTGGGGTAATGTACATCGCACATGTATCATTTGCAGCGATTTATAGTAGAATCGTACTTTTGTCGTGTGTACCACTACTTCCAAATTCATTGTCACTTCTCTGTCTGCTGTTTGACTCGATCGTCGGAAAATAGTTTAGAGTATGTATATCCGATCTCCCATCCTTTCTCATCTTAAGCTTCTCGATAGTCTTGCCATGTTCAGAAACAAACTGATTTCAAAAGGATAGTCAAGCTTCCTTCGGTGCACAAGATGCATTTTTCTATGACTAACGACTCACGACTCTTTCGATTTCCAACCTCCTGCGCCTGTGAGCGTGGTCCGGTGCAAATCTCCATAAGTTGCTGCCACTTACTGAAGACTTTTGGAAAATTGATGTAAATTTCCGATAAGATAAGATTTGTGACTTATAGAAAGTATTACGTAGAACTTATGGAATAAAATTTCCATAAAAGGAAATTGATTTGCATAAGTTCATCATAAACAACAAGATAAGTAGACAATCTTATGCTTTAGCCATTTCATGTTAATTCACCGTAAGTTTCTCATAAGCCACAAAAACTTATGATAATTTGCACCCTGTGTGAGCGATCGACTTGCTGCTGATTGTAACATGATTCATACTAGGGCTAGAAGCTGGCGTGTTGGGACGACTTATTCTCGGACCAATGCGTTGTTCGATTGGTGACATTATACATATGTACAATGCAGCAGCGTATAGATACAAAAGGGTAATGTAGCGTAGCACGATATCACCAGGATCGATGCCGAAAATACAGCAGAAGCAAGAGAGAACTGCGGGAGTACTGTATAGGTATAACAGAGTCACGGTAAATATGTATGGGGGAGGATGCGAAGACATGCAAGCGCATCAAATGAGTGATTAGAAATACAAAGAAACGATCGGATCAGAAGAGAAAGAGTTGTGAAAGTTCATGAGTTGAGGCAAGATTGGCTTGCGCAGTGACATATATCGACATTCAATAATGCAGGAAATGAGCGGCGGTGTAGATGTGGGGTTTCGTAGTGAGAACCGTTCTTGAAATTTGTTTTGGACGAGCGAAGGATGACACTCGTTGCGATTCTAACATCGATGGTGAGTAGCGTGATCATGAAGGGGCTGGCGGAGTTGAAGCCTCTCGCGAGAACTGTGTTTGCACCGTGATGAATATTCCATCATTGGTACTAACCGTAGGCTGCATTACAGGATAAACACTCGGAGGAGAGAACGGCCTATACACAAGAGGCGGAGGAGTGGGGAATTCTGAGGGAAGCAATGGCATCGGGGTAGGTACACGCGGGGGCAGCGAATGAACAGGAGATGTCGGCCGGGAGTCGACAAAAGCGTCAGATATGTATATGTCGTCTTCCTCGTACCCATCAGTGTCACCATTCCGTTGCCAGCAAGGATCCACAGACGGAGAGATAGAAGAACGTCGGATATTGGTTTCTGGATAATTCAAAGCCGACGACGACAGGGGTGATTCGGGGGACATGAGATCCAAATTGCTGACCGCTTTACTCGAAGCAGAAGCGGAAGCGTGAACAGGCGCGGAATCAGCGTATGACGGCGGAGCAGATGTTGGGGTAACCGGCGCACAAGTGGTGTCTAATGAGCAGATAGAAGACGGGACGTTATCCAAGTCCATACGAGAAAGGGATTTGCGGTAGGGTCCGAGTTCGACATCACTGTCATCCGGAAAACAGATAGTTGAGCGGGAGTCGGCTTCTAAGATACTTTTCCTGATCTCTCGTCGCGCTGAAGGGATTGGAGGAGCCGACGAGACCACATAAACAGGAAGAGTATCGGGACTATTAAGCTTTGTTTGAAGCTTCAAGTTTTTGAGCCTAAATCAGAACAAAATAAACATCAGATCGAAAAAAGATGGGTGGTCGACGTACCCAGAAAGCGCACCGCCCTTTCCCTTGCCACCATGGAAGCCCAATTTTCCGGTGATGAACCAGAATGCACGCTTATAACTTTTCGTGGCCTCCTGAGCGAAGCCAAACAACGCAAAGAAGAGGAATGCACATATGATAGGAACCCAACGTGTGATTTGAAGGGAAGTATATGTCCTGAAATCACTGCGCCAGATAACAGCTGGAATTAAGACGACACGACCAAAGTCGAAGTGCGTATCGTCCCAGGAAATCCATGGATTCAACGTTACACCCTTCAAACTAACATAGATTGTAAATGTCCCAATAGGCACAGTACACATGATGTCGATTAAGGCGAGAAGCATGAGTCGAAAATATCTGCTCGGGTTGATCATTCCGTTGGAGGAAAGAATTTGGTTGAATTGAATACGCCGCATGTAGAAAGTACGCAATATCAAACCTGGAGTCAATCAAAGGTTGAAATTAATACACAAGATGAACAAGGGAATCATTACGAACTCGAATAGACCAAGGAAGCGAGTCCAATGGCCACAGGCCACAAATAGTAAAGGAAATACGCCGCCAGCGTATCGAAAGTGACGCTAGAACAGCCATACTCCTCGAAAATGTCGAATCTGTGCGGTTGAACTATGATGTCTGTGAAATCGAGCAATGATCAGTCTGGTTCAACGAATTCGACAAGATGGCACGGACGTAGGATTAGAAACAATACGGGGACCCCGAGAGCAATAGCTAGGTCACTGTAGATGGCGCGTAATTTCTGTATAAACCCTTTGGTAAATCTGGAGAAATTATGGATAGATGATAAGCGTACGTCGTCACGAGTGATTGAAACTGTGTGGGTCGAAGTGATACGGTACAGCCGTCGACTGATACATAGCGTTGAAGCTGGTATACCAAGGCTAGCACCAAGAATTATCTGGCAAGCTATGAACGAACGCATCAATACAGTGGTGATTTGGAGGTATAGGATACTCACAGATATCGCACCAGACAGGAGCAACATTGAGAGCATTATCAGCCCATATGAGGGAGTTGATTCCAGTGACGAGGCAAGCGAGCCCAGTCCATATCATGAAGGCGCAGGTCCCGGAGTTCCATGCTTGAAGATGCCACGATAACGGTAGGACGCTGAGCACGAAACCAAGAAAAGCGAAGATTGGGAAAAGAGGAAAAGTGGGATCCGAAGCGAGCATAGTCCAAGGGGAGATGGGGATGCATGACAGGCCATGGCCACACCTTTTCTAGAGACCTCCCTTTGTTCGCTCAAAATGGGTGGCACCATTGTTCAAGGACAATGAGGCCCTTTGTCGACCGTGAGAACTTTATTTAGTCTGCCGTTGTTGTGGCCGCACTCAAGTTCTCTTCATCTTTCTTGGCCTTCAGCCTGCCTTCAGTTCGCCCTCCTCAGCAGTGTAATAGATATCGGCTTCGCTTTGGCATATCTCAGATTGAGAAGAGGAAAAGTTTTGCTTCAAAGACGAGCCTTCGGAAAGGAAAGGTTCGGAAGTTGGCCTCGTTGCCAATTACCTTATTCAGACGAACAATGTCCTTCGCTACTGGACAATGTATGTACATCCTGTCAATGTCGGAACAATAAAGGTCCTGGGTATAAAGCCTATCTATGTCGGTTTCTTCAACATAATCTTTCGTACCAATTTCCACCTCTGGCACACATCTGAGGAGAATTCAACCGATCCTTGCTCGAAACCCGCTCAAAAGTTAAAACACATCTTGCCATGACCTCATTCGACCTCCTCGATCTCTCCCTCTTTGACACTGCTTTTCCGGAGGAAGCAGGATGCAATCAGCCCCACGTCGACGATGTTCTCCCAGTCAATCTCGAACATGACACCGAGGCGACCGCCGATACTGGCTTCTGCGTAATCGCATAACCGCGTTCGCTGGTGTATCCAACACTTACCCCGACGATCACGACGGCAAGTGCAGCTTTTCCCCCGTCATACTCATTGTCACTTACGCTTTGGTGACTTAGATGGATTATTTAACCCTTAATGCATGCTACTCCAATACTTTGACAGTTATGGATTTAACGCTGCATTCTATCATTATTCGATTTCGTCACTTGTTTCTCTTATTCCTCTTTCCTCTCACATGCATCCAATTTGTACCAGTTATGTAGCTTCTATGTCCTCTTCGTTGTATGCTCCCAGTACTATGCTCAATCCATCATTCTCTTCACTCCTGCTTTATGCGACATAGTGGTCGGTCTATCTTTGGTTGAGGAAGTGCTTACAACCGTGCTCCTGTGCCAATATCAATAGTTAGATTATTCTCCATCCCCTCTGGCCACAGTAGTGTCATCTTTCTGCTCGCCCGACCACGGTTCTTCACGCTACCTGTTTTTTTTGAGTGCTTGATCCTTTCAAGGATTAAAGAATCATACAATCCGAGTCTGCCCATTGATGATGAAATCGTATCCTGAAAGAAGCTCTGCCCACCGGGCTTGTCATGCTGTTAGTTGCTTCGTAGTGGAGAAATACTGGAGATTGTTGTGGTCTGAGTATACTTGGATCTGGTGTCAGGATCCTTCGCAATATGCCCTCCATTGTTTGAAGCAATCCACAATGGCTAAGAGCTCCATATCGTAGATGTCGTAGTTCAGTTCTGTGGAGATCATGGATTGTGCATGGAAGGCGATGGGGTATATCTCCCCTGTTTCTGGATCCAACTGTGATAGGATCCCTGCAATAGCCAAGTCAGTAACGAGCTTGCCTCGTTTTTGTGTGAAAGAGAAAGGAAGGAATCAAATGGGCACTCCAACCAACCAATCTAATACACAATATGCAAGTTCTCTGCTATCAAATTTATTTAATAGCAAGGGGTAGCATTGGCAAAGGTTCCGCAAAGCTTTGAGAGTTAGGTAAGAAGCTTTGATCAATCAATTTGAATCGTTCTAAGGATTTGGTATATTCCTTTGATCAAGGTAGATTCAGCACGATTTGTGCTTTGATTGTATTGATATGGGTATGGGGGTTTGAATCAAAGTAAATTAAAACCAAAACACACAGACCCCCACAGAGGGCTTGTTGAACGCGGCTATGCTGTTCACATGCCACTAATATGATCATGTGTTATGATATGTCATATGTAGTCATATTTAGTCATTTACTATATGCGGATTCCTCTGTACTTCCTTATGTAATACTGTCATACATTTATGTATATAAACAGGCCATATCCTGTACTGGAATCCAACTCGCTTCTCTCTTACTTTTATTGCCTCACTGAGACACTAAGCTCTACTACCAGGTATGGTGCTGGAGAGTGTTCCCACTATGCACTCCTTGCCTGCTCAACAGGGCTAGAACTATGTGCTGGCACAACCACACAGCATGATTTGCCCTTAAAACCAACAACTGATCCTAAGTTCGAAGAATACCCAACAACTGGATATACTTCTCACAGTCACAAGGAGCAGAACACGACATTCCTATACTCACAAGTGCCGGGCCCGAATGGCTGCTGGTGGGAGTGTGTCTTTCCATTTTACGGATTAGCACTGCAACGTCGTCCCAAAATCACTTGTATTCCAGATACATTGGATCGCTATTTATACATACAGGATATAGAGTTGCACAGTACAATTAATTCAATAAAATAAATGTTTGGAACTGCGAGGAAACCTCTACAATTGGTCAGATACCATTTAATTTGAATTTACATGTTCTTATTTGGTCCATAATGGTTCCAAGATTCTAGTATACCTCCAAACATAGGTAGGCACTTCGATATTCATTTAATTTAATTGTTTTGGAGAATGACTCGAATGGTGTTCAACTGTCATTGCTGTTCAACACTTACTTCGATCGTTTGTCACCTCATCCAGAGGCAAATCAGCTCTCCTCAATTCTAATCCTATTAATCTGATTCATCTGGATTAAACTAATTGCTTCTCTCTTTGAATAGACACCCATTGTGCCTATACTCTATCAAGGGAGTTACGCATAGTATTCATTTAATTGCATTCTTCAATATTTTCTACGTCAGGACTCTTTGACATTCATTTGATATGTCTTCGGAGCCTCGCAGTACTTCGATCGTTCTTCTAGTCATTTTCCTCAACCATACAACCTGATTGGTCTATTAGACTAAATCGCAGTTTTTTAGATTAATGCATGATCTCATTCTAGAAGGAGTATTTGATAATTCCTGAGTTCTAGAAAGTCATTTTGAGTCAATCCTCGGCTCATGGTCACTTGAGTAAGTTCTTCCAAACTCCTGCCAGTGTAAGGTCCAATAAGAATACCCTTGGTATGTCATACATGAATGGTCATCCTTCGGATGTAGTCCGAGTCTGGTATAATCCTGCTTGACAAATAGGTAGACTGCTATCCGAAGGTAGTATCGGGGATGGGTAAACTAACCAACTTGTGGTAGTATGGGTATATGGTCCCTTCAACTTATTAGACTGATTCAGTATTGACTTTGACTGTCAATCTGGGTCTCAATTACAATCCTCTCGATACAAATCTATACGTGAAAATGTCACAATTCACAGCATAGACGTCTAGCCAAAATTTAGGCGTGTCATCCCCCCCAAACTAAAGAATTTGACCGTCCTCGGTCATTCGTAGTTTTGTACAGGAAAAGGATACCCAATCTGTTATTAGATTGATTCAACCAGACTATATCTCCTTTTAATGTAAATCACTGGGTTTGGATCTCTACTTCTCCGTGCTTTCCAATCAATTTGGATGCCCTCAAATGGGTTTCTAGCGCTCATCTTATCAATTTATTCCCACGCCTTCTACGAATCGTAGCAGTTTAGCGCTCAATTTGAATTGAATACTTTTTCGGTATTCCTATCACATTTCGAAATTTTAATTCACAATCTTCTTATCATCTAGTCACAGAACGAGCTTCCATTTCATGGAGAGCTGCTCTGACGTACACGCTGATTCAGTGTGTACGTTTATTTGGTTCAGGGCACAGGGTTCAACAAATTTTTCGTTGAAGTCCATTTTTCTCCCCTCATCATTTCTTTCTTTCATGTTGTCAATTCAAAATGGCTTCAACCTCGAGTCAAACTCGTGCTGTCGCCTCAACTACTCTTCTCCCATGCTCTCTAATGGAGGCCCAGGTGATACTTGCAGGTATTCAATCTAAATCGACACTTCCTTTATTTTTCGAAAGCGCAGTTTTCCAACGCCTTCAGGCGGGAGATTATTCTCCTCCTTTACTTGATTCTCAACATTCCCCGAATTATGATGGATGTGGTTCCTTTCCGGCATTCTCATACCCTCGCCCTTTACTTCCATACTGCTTTCCTTCCGAGACTTTGCGCCCTTTGTCAGTAGCATCAGGCTTGGACCTGTTTTGTTCTGCCCAAATGGCAGTTAGAACATTACAAGTCTTGACGGATGATTCTCCTTCTACGGAGTCACTGGAAGTTTATGATGTTTTTGAGGAGGCTGCACCATTTTTGGTGCGTAACTGAAAACCCTTCCTACATCGTTTATATTAATGGTTTTCACTAGGTTTATATTCGGGACTTCTGGATCGGTTGGGCCAATTGCCCTTTATTTGCGGAGCAAGTTCTATTGTCGGCAGAATCCCTTTCACTCAGCCTACCCGCTTTTCTTTGCGACGATTTGACGCAGCAATGGGGCATTTCCCCTGAACATTGTTCTTCAACTGAAGTAAGTGTTCCTTTCTATTGAATTCTCTTTTATTCACATTTAATTTAATTTACAGGGTGTTCACAAATTCGAACAATTCCCTGCCATTCCGATTCCGTTTTGTCTATGCTTTCGTGAGGGAAGCGCAATGATGCGCTCAGTTCCTTCTAAAGATCTAGATGCCTTTGCCTCGTTACGCGGTAAAGGGTCTTTGGCGGGCGCATCGAAGCTTAATCCTCTTGCACCTCCTTTGGAGATCACGTCTTCGACCTCTGTTACCAAGGCGCTTGTAGCTCCCCCTCGATTAATCAGAAGGAATCGGGAGTTAGAGAACCTCAAGGCCGATGCTTCCTCGTTTCGTGAGTTATAAATTTAATTCATAGATTTTTGTTTTATTTATCCATTCTTTTGTTTTTGATTCAGTTTCCTTGCCATGTTCCACTCGTTCAAGAGACTCGGATAACGAGCTCTTGAGTGGGTTTCCTTCTGTAGATTCAGCTCCCTGAGCCTCTTCGTCTACCAAGACTTCCGTGGGCAGGAAGGAGCCTAGACCT